ATGCATACCGTTATTCAAGGCTGTTTATTCGATAGTATCTTCTGGTAACCAGTTTGATAGTACCATTGCAGTTAGGTATGCTTCCTGTAGTATACACTCGTTCGTTTGGTCGCTCGTTGCGTTGGTGGTTGAATATTCCGATTCGTTGGATTGCATTTTGTTCGCTGCCCACCCATTGCTACTCTGATCCATTTTTGTACCTGCTACCTGCCTAGGTAGGCACTTACTGGATGGTCAACTATACTATCTTCTCAGACCTATACATCCATGGCCAAGCGTCACAAAGTGATACATATTCTTGGATGCCCATTCCTTTCTACTATCCGCTTCTTGGGACTCGTATATGGACATTTCCAGAAAGAACAATGAGCGAACACTTTTGCTTGTGGCTTGTAGATACTCACTTTCGTCACATCGGCACATTTCCCCCCCTGTTCGGATAACGAATCCAACAACCTAGCAGCTTAGTCGAAAAGCCACTCTCACTAATTTCATGTCGTCCTCTAGCTGCAGGGGGAACCACACACAGACTGCAGAAGTAACAAGTTGTCAGGGACGGAGCCCTACTTTCTTAGTACCTGGCCCTCTTTCCTCCACGTGTGTGTGAGACCATAGCTTTGAGGTACAACATATTTTGGAACTGTACAAGAGATTAAGGGACGTTTACATCTGTTTCGAGAAGCTTTTGAGTTGGGTGGGTAATTAGTCCTCAGCTTTTGGTTGGAGAATATTATCACATCCACCAGGATAAAACTGTGTGGAGGCTAATCATATTGATCAACGCCAGGTTGACCTGGTACGAGAATTTGCAGACCGTTCTCGAAGCTGTTCTCCATCTCGGGTTGGGAATTGGTGTCGATCATGAAAATATATTGTTGAGAATATATCATCTGCGAGATTCATCCCTTGGATAGCTACACAAACAGACAAACACATTCATCTCTTCCTCAAACTAGTCCCTCAAGATGGAACGAGGCAATGAGGATAGAAACAGAACATCAGGAGGATCTAGAGAAGGAGGATTCCCACGTCCTATTATGGTGGGAATGCCACGATAGTAAAGAAGTTCAACATTAAGGAGGGACTTCAGGGAGGCTAATTCTTTGATTTAACCAGATAATCATATCGTACCAGTCGAGTACCTCGCTGTGCAATATTTCCTGCAAGATTCTATGTATGGATTTTCCGCAAGTAAACGGGGACTTCGGAAAACGAAACTCATGTTAAGATGTTCTTGACCATTTTAAAGATCTCTCGGTGTATACTAGGAACTAAATAATAGAAGATTATCATTGACAAGGAGACAAGTTCATGATTAGCATTGCAGTTGAAAATCACGAGCACAGAGGGCGTGTCATCGGGATAGGTACACCCGACTATAACCGAGGTTTCACCGTGAACCTCAACTATTTGCTCCCGAGCTCTCCGTTCAGAACAGCTTGCACGACTCCACAAGACAGCATCGTTTGCCATACTTTGAATCTTCCATAGATCTCAATAATCACTGCCAGCACACCCGATCTATCTGAGTATCATGGCTTTATCCGAAAAAGATGCTGCTACCAAAGCTCGCATCATCAAACACATGAACGCAGACCATGCTGGTTCTCTGTCCCACTACTTACAGCACTACTGTCAGCTCTCCAAAAGCGAAGCGTCCAAACCGACCCTTCTCGATATCACCCTCTCCTCACTCCGAATCTCTTCCAAGTCCGGTAAAACTCACACGATTCCCCTTGATCCTCCCATGACTTCCTACGCCGATGCTCGACCTCGATTTGTTGCTATGGATTCCGAGTGCCGTGAAGCTCTCAACATCTCCCCATATACCATTACTCGATACGAGCCCCCGAAGATTTTTTTCCATCGATTAATTTTCGGCTTGTGTTTAATGACGATGGTTATATTTGTTACGAAATCGCATATTGTACCTGGTACATTCTTCTATGACAATGTGTTGCCATGGTTTCCAGGCGGCCCAAAAATGTTCTTGTGGATTTCTGATAAGATCGCTCTCCCGACTTTCGCGATACATGTGGTGGAGGTTATTTGGATGGATAGAAGCAGACTCATGAAGTACAATATCGAGAGGGGAAGTTCTATGTGGTGGAAATGGATGACAAGCTGTTTGATTGAGGGGTATGGAAGTTTTGCCAGGATCGATGCTATGATCAAGCAACAAAAGAAAGAGAAAGAGTCTAAGGGAAATGGTGGACATTAAGATCTTTGCCAGACGACATACAGAACAATTCCACGGAACGGCGAATTCTATGAGCTGTAGGGACATACTGCGAAAAGAACGATGACCAACACAACATGGAACCATGGCCAGAATATGATGAGAACATATTTATTTTTTGAAATGGAAGTAAGCTAGATACCCTTGGAAGTTCCACAATCGACAATGTATTACTTGCCCTTTTACTTACCAGTGTTCATCTTGTCTTTCTTTCAGAAGAACCAATATCAACTATGGCTTTCACAGAAAGTTCATTTTCACCCCTTTGCTTTCTTGGTTTCGGGGAGGATCATATCGACGTTGACCTTTAATCCATGCGTCAAAGCTATGAGAGTCGCTATCTATGCCTAATGTTACATCAGTGTCTGATACCCACCCCCGCAAAAACTTCTTTAACCATGCGAGCAAATCCCAAAAGCATGTAACCATCCTACCAACCAACAGATCCATGTAAATTACAGATATCTTCATCTCCTGTTATCACGGTCGGTGATAGCCATGATTGCCTAAGTTATGGTTGAATTAGGATTCAATGCGGCTCTTTCATGGTTGGCGTTAAGCTCAGCCTCCATTTCGCGCTTCCAACAAACGAGAGATATTCTGGCTTTCTGAGGCTGTTGAAAATACTTGGAATTGACCTTGAAATGATATTAGAATCAACGTGTTTGGTGCAGACTCGCTGGTTTGCGATTACTTTCCTACTTTGTGTTTTCAGGTATCTGAAGTCTGGTACTTTCTTTTCAGTCGCTGTTGATATTTGAAGATTTTTTCTGCTCGTAGATTTCTTGTCACTCAGACTGCATCCGCTTCATTGTGATTGTTCAATTTCATTCACGTCATTCATTCATTTGGGTTCTCTATATTTCCTTCATACCAATCAGCACTTTTATACATGTCTTCACTCCTTACGACACTCTTCCGCAGATCCCATTCCAGCTACCACCCCAACTCCTCTTCGACATCCATATCTACTTCCTCAAAAATGGGTTCATGCCTCTCCCTGTCTTCAGGCCCCTCTCCAAAAAATAGCACCTTTACATCCACAGCCTTCGGGCGCTCAGCATACGTACAAATTGAAAAGCAGGACGAGGTCAAGAGATCGTTACTGTTAAACGAAGAAGATTATTATTCGGATGAAGAAGACGTGGGGTTCATGGATGTTCCCCCTAGGAAGTATAGATTGAACAGGGGAAGATTGCAGATGCAAGAACATGAGAAGACGGGGAGGAATGACCCATCACAGGATGATTTTCTTTTGAACAAGACACTCCCTCCTTCTCCGGAAGAAGGAGACGAGCCGCCTTTCGAAGGTATGATCAAGGTTTGGAGTTCGGAGGGAGAGGGAAGATGGATGTGGCCAAGGGGAATGGGGGTTCCGGTGGTGGTTAGTGATGATTATAGGAAGTGGAGAGAACAGAGGGATGAGAGGGTTGGAGGATTAAGATCTTAAGTTGCATTGGGCTTTGTGGTTCAAGAGTTGGAGGTGAAGACACAAAAGGGTTTTGGCACACAGGGCATTGATTGTCTAATTAGGCTTCAGCGTTTAGGAGGTAGGCTAATTTTTTACTCTGGGATTATTCAATTTTATATTACATGCAAACTTCAGTGGTTTTGGTTTTGGTTCTAGAGCGTATATTGTCATCCAATTTTGCTTGAAACAATTTGTTTTTTTAATTTGTTGTAGGTATACGGAGGCTTGCATTGTAATGATTATGGTATAAAGACTATGGAATCAACAGATATTTCTCTTGATGACGAATGCTAGCTAGTGTTCATGTAGCACAGTGAATCGTTTCAATATTCTCTATTTCTTTCGCATGTTTTGACTTTCTTACCATATTTCTGAATTCTGTTCGCTCGGACTTACCGATGGTAAAGAATGAATGCCACAATTTTCCAATTCATCAATTTCAGGTGCGAAAACTGCAGAGCCTACCCAGAGTTCTCATTCACGATGAAGCACTTGAGTAGACCACCTGCATCACTAAAATCATTTCTTGCAGGGACCAGGGCTATCAAATTTGTAACTTGATAAGAATCACGCCGTAACTGTATTAATCTCGCATAAAAGTTGGTGAGAGCGGTACGTTGACCCCGAGCGTATTCGTCTAGTCGTGACACAAACGAGAATGTGCTCTCGTTTTCAAAGACTACAAATCGCAACCTCTAACTACCTAGGCAGTGCCCACACTTCTACGGGAAGGATTATTCCTAAGAAGAATCGCGATCGTGATCGTGGAGCATTGATCTCCGAGGTACAATCTCTTTGGGCCTCTTCATTACTACACCAATCATGCTATCAATTCCTCAAACCACCCAAACCAAGATACGTCATAATGGAATGATTCTTGGGTCTACATGCGGGCAACAGAACACGAACACAGGTCAAGCGCGCGGTAATACAGTGTCAATCATCACGTGGGTCTCGGGCCGGACTCGACCAAGAGATGCCGGCCAGATGTGGCTGATGATGGAAAACCGAGTGCTTCTCTCGAGTTTCTGTAGGCACGCCGAGAATTTAAGGATGATATGAAGTAACTTTTTACTTTCAGTATGGTCGGTCCTCGTGACATCGTCCTCAGGGAAAATCCTCGGACCTCGAGAAATGGCGGTGCAGGAGTTGCTTTCCTTGTTGGTGGTATTAGATATCTGGGCTATCTGGGCTATGGGTTTAAGGGTTATGAAAGCTTATTGAATGAGTTTATAGTTTCTTGTGGATTCCAGTGGAATATTCAGGGATCTCCTTATATTGTTCGCTAAAATGCTTCCACATGGGTCCCGCAAATCATCCAGAACGCGGTCTCTACCACGGGACGGTCCCTCTTCTGGTGGGCAATCAGTGAATCATCATACAGCCTCGAGAGATGTTAGCTCCGAACGAGCAAGTTTCTTCAAAGAGTTTGGACAAAGCGTTGATCCAACCCACCGCAGACCTGTGTCGTCAAGTCCTTTGGAAAACGGATATCGTAGTGAGAGTGAGGGAAGTCGGAGCGGAAATGATACCCACGGGGGGATGAAATCTAGGGGTAGAAGTAGGGGAAGTCAGGACGGATATGGTACAGACAGAAGTACGGTATCTAGGGATAGAAGTAGGGGAAGTAAGAGTGGCTATGGTTCTGATGGTACCATTAGAAGTAGAACAAGGAATGATTTGCATAGTAACTCGGACTCAGCAAATCGTTCAGGTCGGGCTCAGAGTCAGAAACCACGATCATCTTCACAAGCGTCGTCAACTCGTTCTAAGAGAGCTGAATCGGCTACCTTGATACCAGGTCAAGTTTATCGTGAATATGACGTTCACAGTGAACATATAAGATTAGGAAAGGAGGCTATACCTCCTGACCATGGACGAAGAGCTGGGTCAAAAAGTCGTCAGGAAACTCCCGAGAGGGGAAGAAGTACAAACTCTCATAAAACCACTAGCGCGAGATCAGTATCATCCGACGAGGTGAAACACTCGAACGGTCAGCTGGATATACCTAAAAACGTAGCAAACAAGGTCCAGATCAACGGTAAGTTATTTCCAATCTTTGATCACAAAAGAGATATTCAAGCATCTAACATTCATACAGAGCCAGTCTATCACCCTGAAGGAGAGGCAGCAGAATTGTGCGGTGACGTGCAGGAGGAGGAACAAAAAATTAAACGAAAACCAATCAGGGGCACAACGCAATCACGAGGGGCAAATTCGAGATATACAGAACCAAAACTGAATCACCATCGAAGTGGCAATGAGAAGGGTTTAAGTGAAAAATTCAGTTTCGAACCTATCCGGCAACCTCCAGGTGAAGAGCAAACAAGAGATGAATCAAGAGATGGAGCGTGGCAGAGATTTGGCGGAAAGGACAGAACGAGAAACCAAATTTCTCCAGCTGATACAAACAGAGGGTCAGCAAAAAAAGAAGACTTTCTTGACATCCGTGAAGGATGGTTGAGAGGTAAAAGCCACCCAGATAGTACACCGAAAGGGCTAGTAAATCAAACGAAGTCGACACCTAAACGTTATTACGCAAAGAATAAGGGAGATCCAAGCCCCGCAAGCGATAAGGGTAGAAGTAGTTCACAACACTCAGAACAATACACTCCCGAAAAAGACCCATTCGCTGGATACGATGCCCCACCAGAGAAAACAAAGAAGAAGAAGGAGAAGAGTCCATCGAGGGTATTCAGAAATTTTTTCAATAGCTGGCGAACGTAGAAGGGAGGTTTGAGCAGGTCTTGAATTACCGGTGTTCTGCACTCTTTTCTGATTTCGAGAGACTGTCAGGGGATCTTGACACTTTTATCACTGTTTTACTTTTAGCTGTTGGGTTTTTTGTTATAAGCTAGTCTAGTATGTGTTGAGCGATTGGGGCACTGTTAGTCTATGTAGTGTAGTTGACATGTTTGATTCATTTTTCAAAAATTGATTGTTGGACTTATTGTACTTTTTCCCATCTTATATAGAGGTTTTGTGCCTTTTATTATATCAATGTCCTCAAAGTGAATAGATGAAAATTTCTGATCGGATTTCCTAGACCTGATTCATAATGTATACAAATAAACAGAATACTCAAGTAATAAAAACTGATGAGTCGTAGATGCACACCGCACTATTATTGAAGATATCCTCGCTTGTGCGATAGGAGAACATGACAAACTTCCCGCACAGAATTTAGAGAGGACGATTCTTCTACGTTAAAGGATTTATCATTCAATCATGTTTGATTGAGAGCTCTGAATCTCAATATTAACGAATGTTCAATCATTCTTCATATTCAGATAGAGATATAGGACTCAAGATTATAATCGACTTGATCTCATGTCGGTGACAGCTGTATCGAAAAGTGCCCAAGAAATCCATTTTAACTCAGGATTATTGACGATAAAAGATAAGTTGTGTTAATGAGGAGTGATGCGATGCTTCTGCAATTGGTTAAGTATTCACAACTCAGCTGTATTTGCTATTGTGGATGTGTGTATTGGATTAGGGATGTTCAAACAGACCGAGAGTGACTGGTAATGTACTAGGCTTAATCCGGTGAAGTAGGTTCCGAGTTTACTGAGTTTAAACGGTAGCAACGGCCTTCCGAGTATATAGATTCGAGCATTAAACAACTCGTGGTAGACAGATGATTACAAATTGATACCTAACCAAATTATCTAGCAGTTTACATACGCACCCCCGAAACAATTATCTTTCTTCGGGATTCATTACTGAGAGCATCAAGTAGAACAAGTTTAAGAACTATCTATTCCCAATATAAACCGAACTTCATATAAACATACATGGCCATCCACACGACCAAATTTGGAAGCACTGCGAAAGGATATAGTGTGAACTAAACTACATGATACCTGATTGATGGATACATGTTAATATTTTGGCAGTATATAAACAGAAACGGTTGACCTGCAAGCCACTTCAAAAAAGACGTGAAGCAATAACAAAACAACACAGAGACAATGGCATTACAAAACAGTCCGATAAATGCATCAATAAGAAGGAGGGTTATTAGCCGGGTTACCATTAGCCTGCGTTCTTGCCATGTAATCGAACTTTTCAATGATATTCCGCAACGGACCCCATGAAGCGTACCGCATGTTGTGTATGGGGATTCCTCTCGCAAGACCGTAAAGAATGAGATTAGGCTTCGTTATCCTGCGACCGATATCAAAATCGATTTTGGGGGGCACACCTCGATACCATCTCGCGCGATCGCGACGGGACAGCTCTTCCACGACTCCGTAATTGCAGTGCTTGGCAATGAGATTTTTGTATTGTGTAGATCCGCTCGTGTATCGAAAATTGTCGCTTTGCTCCGGCCACATGGGTGCTATGTATTGTCGACTTGGGGCGACAGCCAACTGGCCACGATGGAGCTCGAGAGCAATCTGGCCGCGGCGATTAGCGATCATCTGAGCTTGAGTCATGCCAGCAGGAATGTGTCTGAAAAAATCGAGGCGATACCCCATTGCGATCATGAGAGCATTATGACAGACCATTGCAGCACTGTTTTGTGCATCTATGACAGCTGCAGGTCCAGGAACCGGATTCTGAGCTGATGCATTGGTTCGCATCATCCAATGTTTTGGGTTAAATTCGTTTCCACTTATTGAAGTACCTCCCATGTAGGATGAAAGGAAGTTCAAGATATGACCGATAAGCTTTTGCTCAACAATATAGTGTCGTGGAAGTGGGGGAACGAGATCCGGCCCAGTAGATTGAAGTCCGTTGTAGTCATCCAAATAATCGATGGTTTTCCGTTTAGGTGAAATTACTATCAGTGTGTGATGCCTTAATCCTGGTCCAAATCGATCATCTACCTGCTCGTGGTCAGGGAGTGAGCAATTACAATTATTGACTTGGAAGAGATTTTGAAGAAAACGAAATAAGGAATGTGGGATTTTCATCTGGTACTAGAATTTTTAAACTAATTACGAACCACTTGCATAAATATATGAGATGCCTGAGCAGCGAGCGTTCTAGATCTTGCGGTTTCGTGAGAATGTAGCATCCTAGGAGTAACTCGAAAGAGACCGTTCAACATTCCCCCTTGAACCGCCATAAACAACCCTGATGTCTGTCATAGTCAGATTGTCAGTGGCTCTTCACCGGGGAATTCTTGAAGAGACGAGAAATGAGTACTTGTGACCAAACCAGGATAACAAGGAATGTATTTGGGGAAAAGAGAAAGCAGGGCTTGGGATCAGAGAACAGACTTAGGTATGATTGAGAGTAAAATATAGAAAAAGCTTACGAACATTATAGACCGTCTGAGTTAGTACATCCCATGCGGCCGGGTCACGAATGGTTTGTGCGGGATACGTTCCTGGAGGTGGCATCCAAAGCTCTGCCCCGATAAATGCACAGTAGGGGATGTCATTTACATCATTTGCCGGGCGAGGACAGAGAGAGTTCACTCTTTCGCAAAGCAATCGAAGATATTTGTTTACTGCATATGCTGTGGGTATCCACCATGGACCAGGGGGAATAGGGTTCCCAGGTACTCCGGCGTATCCAGGCCCACCCCAACCAGCAATGACCAGAACTTCATCTCGTGTAGTGACTTTTCCTCCCTGACCAAGATTATCCGGAGCGACTTGGACGCGGAGTGGTACATATGGTGGAATAGGAACAGGTGGGTGGATAACTGTATTAAGTTCCACTATCTCCGCAGCGGTCAATGGACTAAAGAGTCCTACTGGAGCCTGACGGAATGGCATATTAATCAGACAATACGATAGTTGCGCTTGAAGTAAGAGCAAACACGCTGGACGCGCGGAGTTGATTCATAATAGAATATCAAGGACAATGAATGTCGGTTCTCGACAAAGAGTTCGTGTGGCACATTGCCAGATTTAACAATGACTTGATCGAAAGGGGTTTACTTTAAGTCTAGAATGCCCGCATGTAGACCCGCTTCGCGAATGAAATTTGGTATCAAAGAAAAACTCGGAGAGGATATTGGTTAAATTGTTTAAATAACCATTAAAAGGACCCAAGGTCTAGTAAGAAGTGAGAATTGCAGAATCTTATTATTCGCAATAAGAACAGTGGGAAATGAGATCCAAATAGGAAGCAAAAGGGATCCAAATCAAAACTTTTGAACTTTTATAAGACGGCGAAGTGCATCATTGTCAATTGCTCTTTACCATGAACTTCATAGCTCGCAGCTTACAGGAGAGCGAAGAACATGCTTGGAACGATCTAGGCATGGTATTCGACAACCATCGTGTTCGATAGCTGGTACTGTAAACCTGCTTTGATAGAAGCACATTTTGTTGACTGAAAGAAACAGCAAAAAAGAACTCAACTGGGCGTTGGTTGTATGTTGTGTCGAGTATTCTGAGAACTGGTGGACCTTGGAAGATGAGTTAATCAGTAGTTTGACAGATACCTTCCGACAGTGCTAGGTAGGTATGTATACTGTAGGTCACAATGATTATGATGAGAAGATAGGAACGAGTGCAGCGAGGACTCAGGGTTTGTGAGCCCCTATCCATGAGACATTATATAGAGGGTAATACGTATACCCAGGGAGGTTTCCGATGTTGAAGCGAAAAGGAGCATGGGATGGAATACATTAGTTGTCACGTGAGAATAATTTAGTAACGACACAATTAGATTGATGTGAATCATGAAAAAGCAGAGCATCTGGAGAATATATGTCGGAGAGCTAGGTAGGCATGCTTCCGTGAACCTAGAACTACTATGTACTTCGTACTAGATTCGATGATTCGATGATTTCATATCATCGGAAGGGATTGATAAGATAAAGGAACTTTTTGTAAGTTAGTGACTTGGGTATGAATGGAAAATAAAATCAATTGTCCGCAAAGAAAGTTATCGGGGAATATTCTTCTTTTGTATGAATTATATTAAAGGTGGAATATAGTGGAACAGAAGTAGGATTAATAATGTTCGTCCACTCAAGTATCCCCTGTACTAAACCATCTGATTCATCAATTGGAAACAAGAGAAATCGTTGAAATTGGGTTGTCTACGCAAGTCTGAGTCTAAATTGAGCGATTGGCTGTTGAAATATCCGGATTGAGCTCTGAAACAAATTCTAGAATATCCCATAATCAATGCTTTGACATTTGACTGTTATTTACACAGCGAGTTGATGATCGGTCCCGAATACTGAACGAAATATCCGGATAATCATTTAGAATCTTACTCTATTAAGCTTTCTAATCACCAACATCAAGCTTGTTAGCGACTTGGCATACATGGCGGATCTAAGGAGCTGCGTTAATTAAGGGGAAATATCACATATCTGTTACAACACGAACGTACCAAGACCTGTCAAGCCTCTCAAGCCTTTTCTAAGCTTTGCTTAAGCATTACACAAGCTTCATACGAGAGATCATATATATGAAAGCCAAGTCGGGTGTTCAACATCAGGATCTCTTGTGCGCAGCGTATGCGTAGATCTCAAGCGTTTGAGATTGGCGATGTTTAACGTCTGATGAACAGCCAGCACAGCCATCACCGGTATTCAAGTAAAGTAGCATTTCAATAAGTTACGCGTACGCTGTAAACATGGTGGTTCCCATCAGCGGCTGTTGGAAATCAGGGGTATATTATCAACTTAACCAATAATGTGGTACAATTTCTTTCGAGAATAAACGGCAAACCAAACCCCCATACAAACAAACAATTAGAACCATGCCCCCCCCCCCAATAACTCTCCAAATGTGTATGTATGCAAGTGCATTAGATTCTTTACCCATTTCTCCACAACTTATATTAAAAATTCTTTTTGGGAGCAACTTTACAATCAATTCAATTCTCCGAAAAGCCTCCTGTAATTTCCTCCATGTAAGCTCCAGCGGTAGCAGACGAGTGTATCTATCCGATGACATAGACCCTTGTATTAGACAATTTCTTCCATCGTGCGTCTGTATATAACTTCTCATTTCTCCGAGCTAAATCATACCATCGAAGTATCATCACTCTTTACATTTACCTTCTTTTCAATTTCATACCTTCCTTTTCGTTTTACTATTAAAACAATTACATTCGTTGAACATAAACTTGCCGGTCAAAATGCGTTCTGCGATCATCCTCGGAGGCTTGGCCTCAATTGTTCTCGCTTGCGACAACCCAGATACTGATGCTTGTGCCAATGCTTTCACTGTTTCCTCAGCCGCAGCTGGTCCTTTCTGTGCTACTTACACCCAAGCTGCAAACTCAGCTTCCACTGGTCTTCCCGCTTTCGCTACCGCATGCGCAAACAAGCCAAAGAAATTGTCTAGCGCATGCAGTTGTCTTCAAGTAGCAACCACCTTGGCTACTGTTGCCGTAAGTACTCCCTTCCAGAAGGAAATACTCGTGTCTTGAAAACAGGGGCTAACTCGTCATTAGAAGAGCACAAGTGCCGCTGCCGCCTCAGGCGTAGCTGCCTCAAGCGCCGTCGCCCCAGTTGCTGCTAGCTCAAGTGCAGCAGCCGCCAGCTCATACGCTCGAAGCTCTTACGTCAAGTCTGTCACTGCCTCAGTCTCTGCTCTAGCCCACAAAGCAACAACTGGTGTTGTTGCCAGCACTTCGGTCCCAGCTGTTGCATCCGCTGCAGGTGCAGGTGCTGCAGCCATCACCTCGGCACCAGCTGCTCCAGCTGGATGCACAGCTACAGCTTACGCTGATATTGCTGACATCATTGCTTCTTGCACAAACATTGTTTTGGACAACATCTCTGCTCCAGCAAGCTCCACCATCGATCTTCAAGACCTCCAAGACGGATCCACTGTTACCTTCTCCGGAACCACTTCATTCGGAACCACTGCCGACTCTGACTTTAACCCAATTGTTGTCAAGGGTACCGATATTACCATTACTGGAGCTTCCGGACACGTTATCGATGGAAACGGAGCTGCATACTGGGATGGAGAGGGTTCTAACGGAGGAACCGACAAGCCTGATCATTTCTTCGTCGTCAAGGATGTCGTCAACGGTGTTATCTCCAACCTCAACATCCAAAACTGGCCCACTCACTGCTTCGACATTACCGGTGCCCAAGGTCTCACCATCTCTGGACTTACCCTCGACAACTCTGCTGGAGATGCTCCTAACTCTTTGTCTGGTGATGACCCAGCCGCTCACAACAGTGATGGATTCGATATCTCTGGCTCCGACTCCGTAACCCTCGAGAACTGTGTCGTCAAGAACCAAGATGATTGCGTTGCTGTTACATCTGGATCCAACATTCTCGTCACCGGAATGACCTGTTCAGGAGGTCACGGTCTCTCCATCGGATCTGTTGGAGGAAAGTCCAACAACACCGTTTCCGGCGTTACATTCTCTGATTCCACCATCACCAACAGTCAGAACGGATGCCGTATCAAGTCCAACGCTGACACCACTGGTACCATTGAGAACGTCACCTACTCCAACATCAAGATGTCCAACATCAGCGATTACGGTATCGATGTCCAACAAGATTACTTGAACGGTGGAGCTACCGGTGAACCAACCAACGGTGTCACTATCTCCGGCATCACCTTCTCCAGTGTAACAGGTACCACCACTGACGATGCATACAACTACTACATCCTTTGCGGAAGTGATTCTTGCTCCGACTTCACATTCACCGATGTTTCCATTTCCGGTGGTGGAGAGACTTCCACTTGCAACTACCCATCTACTGGATGCCCAGCATAAATGATTGATTTGGAGGAGTGATGAATTTGAGGCATGAAAAGCTCAAGCTTAAGTGAAAAGGAATTCTGGTGAGAAATCAGCCATTGATTGGCTGGAAAAACACGACATTTGTATATATATATATTTAGTTCTTGTATAACATTCGAGATTAATTCTTTCTCTTGAATATTTAGATCTATTGAAAAATTGATTGATTCTACAAATTGAATAATAAATTCCCTGGCCGATATTGAGTGCAAAGTGAAGAAAAGTTGAAAATGGTTATGCTAGGCCCACGAGTCAGCACAAATGACAAACCTCTATCAGCGTATCAACAACATTTTGTTATCCATAAAACAAAATACCGTCGATCAATAAACCCCAAATTCAAATCTCACCAATCACAATCAAATTGATTCACTCAATACTGCCTATCCATCTATGTACTTCCTACCTTCGTACATCTTATTCCCTCAAAAATCAGCAAACAAAGCCGCTCCCAAAAACCCCATTTCCAATCCAAACAACCTCCGAAGAGATACAAAAGAATAGCAATTTCCCAAGCCAAAAATTCCCTTGCCCTCCCTCTCCTTCCCAAACGGGAAATTAAAATAAATAAGTCATCACCCCAAGTCCCAAGTCCCATCTCCAAATCAAACCCCAACTACCTCCCACACCCACCCAGCAGCAAAAAAAGCAAAAAAATTATGACCTACGCAGGGATCGAACCTGCAATCTCTTGATTCGTAGTCAAGCGCCTTGCCATTGGGCCAGCAGGCCAGTTTATGATAAACTGTTTTTTGTTGAAAGGAGATACGGTGTTTTGTGATATAAAGAAATTTTTTGATGTGTGCGTTGAAATAGTGGGATAATTTTCTGCGACCAAGCGATCTGATAGGTGGGGGTGCGTCGGGTTTTGTATTAGAATTTTCAAAGATCCGTTTATCCGAGTTTACCCCTTCATTTTTCAAATTTGACGTTTTCATGATTGAATGTACGAAGTAACAAGTTATGTAACTACCTAATAGATACTATTGTCACAATTTCGAATGATTATCAGGCTCATCAATTTCTGATGTCTGACACCTGACATGGTAATGGTTTGTGTATCAATACCTAGGTAGTCACAGATTAAAATACTTCCATGTTGCGCTCCTCGATGATAATCACATGGCTTGAGTATTTTTGTGTTAAATGTAAATAGAGGAATCTTTCTTTTGAGGAGAGTATTGGCTGTCAGCAATTACAAGAATCGACTCAAAGATTCAGTCATCACAATCATCACGATTTTTGTAAGCAGTTGATATAGGGGTTCATGAGTGCCTCCGAGAAATAAGTCGCAATTTTCATGCATGCTATAACATATCAAAATTCCATACATACACATCATATTTGACGAGGTATATGCAAAGCTTTTGATATCCTCCGATATGGCCTTAATTTTTTTTATTGGCAATAATGTATTGTCATAAATATAAATGAATGTGTTTCCTGTTTCCTGTTTATCTACGAAAGCAGGATAGAACGAAAGATCTTTCTCAATCAGAGCTTCTATAAGCAGCTCATGCAGTAAGCTGAACATCAAGTCTCTTGAATCCACCCTTGTCAGCAACTTCCTGTTGCAAAACAACCATTCTCTTCTGGTCACCAGTCGGATCAGCCGAATCGCCTTCAAGCTTCCATTCGAGGAATTCGTTGGTGTAGTTGGGACTGAAATCTTCATTCAGAACACCAAGACGTTTACCATACTTGGTGACCTTTTCCCAATCACGTCGAACGTTCTTAAGATCTTTCGAGAAATATGCGTAAGAACGCTCAAAGATCTTACGGTTGACAGGAGAAGCCATTTCGGGCTTGATATCAATGTATGTCTTATAAGCGTCGGATGGAGAACCAAGAACGTGGTCAGTCGCTCGTTTGACGGCCTTCATGAATCTTCGAATCTTCTCTGGATTCTGTGCAATGAATGCGTCATTTGCTGTTGTCAATTAGCTAGGGACTCCAAGTGTTTGGACTGGAGAACGCACCAATATACAAAATGGAACAGAAGCAACAACACCCAAGCTCGGCGAGCTCATCAATACGGAGCATTTGAACATCGGAGCGGGGGCGACCTTGATTTGCGAGCCACTCTTCAAGTTCGACCATTTGTACGTTTTCCAATCCGATGCCGGCATGAATAGTTCCCTCGATGATAGCCTTTGAGACATTCATGCCGCAACGAACAGCTTCATAATCAGTTGGCTCCATTCCATAGTGCTTGGTCAACTCATCGATTTGGATCTATGATCGAGGCTTGTTAGATTGTTATCGCGGCTGGAGTATCCAATGCATACTTTTCCAAATTCTCCAACATATCCAATCTTCTTTCCTTTGAGACTGCGAAAGTCGGTGGTAATTCCACTATCCTTCAGATAGACCACCCCGGTGAATGGCTCATCAAGCAAAGAGCCGATTGAGGTAACAGGGAAGTCCCGAGCTTTAGCGGCAAGAGTATGGATCATGGCTTTGAAACCCATATCGACTTTTCCGGAGCCGATGATTTCGGTAACATCTGGTTTACTCAATTAGCTACCACTCAAATAAAATAATTCGAGTCTTTGATTGCTAACCACTAGGATCATTAGGCTCAAGAAGAGCTACTTTGATTCCTTCATCGGCGAAGTATCCAAGCTTTTGAGCAAGATAGACGGGTGCATGATACGGCGTTGCGTGCCTATTGAAAAACAATTTGTTAGATTTCTCCTTTGCTTCAAATGAGCTCTTCCAATCACTTGAAGCTACAGTTAGATTTATGTAGCCTACCAGTTCATCAAGAATGTGATTTTATCAGTCGACATTCTGTTGATCGGGTAGCTAATAAATGGTTAGAAGACTCGCATGGGGAGGGAAGGGGAAGCATGTCCTTTCGCTAGAATTATCTAGATCAAGTTCATATGTACGGTATAATCTCAGATCCAAACTCTATCCATCGCTGACTTGAAGCCATAGATGGGCAGAATTTGGAACACCCGCCATGCCTTTGTTACACGTTACCTTGATCTGAGGATGATTCATAGCGTGAGAGAGCCACGCTTCGATTCTTATCGAACATACTGAATCGATTTGATGCGGGTAAGGTAATTGAGAGTTGAAGTGATTGGAGTTGAAGTTGGAACGTTCGAGTTGTGAGTATTGAGAGAAAATAAAGGAAAGGAAGAAAGAAAAGATAGAAGGGTAACTCCATTATAAGGTACAGCTTGTGGTCAGCTTCGGCCCTAGTGCGGGGTAAAATCAACGTGCACCCACCATAATGCAGAAGCCAAGATGATCTATTGATCCCAACAAAATCAGGTCCTACCAATGAAAAGCTCAAGGTATGACTAAATCCAATTAAAAGTGCAAATCGAGAACATTTTGCCGGCTAAATGGATTGCCGTCACCGTACATAAGGAAGGTAGCTCCAGATATGAATTGTGAACGGCGTCCCGAGTACACATCGAAAACCTAAATTTGGTCTCGTTTACACGTGATGCAGGCATTTGGTTTTGATGCCCGCATGTGGTTCTTGCAGTGCTTCTGCTCTAAGTCCAGGTCCGCCACCTGAGGTCGTACTGCGTCGGGTTAGTGCTCGGAGACCGTTTTGTGCTACTTGTTTAAACATCGCATCTGCAGCAGCGATTTCAATGCTTCCTCCGAGCACACGCGCCTGGGAAGCAATACCAAGGGCGGCAGCTGAAGAGAGCGGATGAGTATGCTGGATTTAAGTCTTCATAGTGGTAGAAATGTGACACGCCTGAATTTGTAGAACCTGCGTTTATCGTGGTGCTGACATTACATCAATCCTACCACTCATTTCAGCGTTAGGTGAAGTAAACGGAATGCCCACACAAAATTTGCAGCTGACATAGTCTACCAACTCCTAAAGCAATAATCACTTGAAAGATTTAGCATTTCGGCTCCGTTGCAACCAGGAATATTGACTATCAATGACAAAGTAGCACCCCTTTGTTTCTCAAAAACTGCGTACTCATCATCTCAATTCGCCAACATACACTGTAGTATAACATTAATATAAGAATCCTCTTGCTGTCTATAAGGAATTGATTGTTAGAATCAGCACCGCGCTTTAAAAGCAAATCGACCATATCTTCATGACAGAATCAAGCCGCGACCACTAGAGGATTGCGATTCCATCTGTCTCCTATCAGCTCCGGCGTCAAGCAAATTTTGTACAATCTCCACATTAGCCAACCCTGCATAGTATCTTAATAAGTCCCCGGACTTGCATGGAATAAGCGAATCTTCAAAGAAAGAATCCGTATATTAAAAAGTTTCCCAGGTTTCGAAGTAGAGAGAAATAGATAGGTCAGCACCTGTATCTGATCTTCTGAGCACATGGCCATAGGGCTGGCCGCAAAAATCCAAATCAATGGAGATGGATCGTGCAAGCGAATATACAGCGAAACGGACCATGTTCATATCTCCTCGCAACGTAGTTTCCTTGATAGAGCCAGGCTCTGTCTTTGCTCGCCCCCGATCATCGTGATGTAGATAACGAGGTGGGATTTTTTCAAAACCAGGCAAGTGCTCTTAAAAGAACTTCAGCATGCTGGCATTTCTAGCTCATGCAGCAGGTTGTATTGGAGAAGGAAACACACCCACGCCGCTGACGGCATACTTTCTCCCACACCAAAGGACCAAACTAATGTTAAATAATCGCAACTGTTAGTGACATTGAAGATTAAAGCCAGTACCTTCATTTGGGCTCGATTCCTGACGAATCTCATGCCTATCGTCAATGATCGACGAGTCACAACAAGGAAAACCTGACATCTTGAAATTGACAAACGATTCCAAAAGCATGCCAAAAAAACCGGCCCTAATTGCTGCTACCGAGAAAAACACGGCAATTTTGACTCTGGCGCAGCTTTGATTTATGACGTAACAGGGGACAGTACGCAACATCTTACGGTCCATGTCAAGTAGATATGAGTGGTGTAGAGTTGCTGATAATTTATACGTCAGTCTGGCAATAACGGTTCTTGGATAATGAAGTCCTCATATGTTGAATATATTCTTCTGCTGAGCAATTTGAATCTCTGGGTTAGACGAATCTAGTGGCTTGCTTCTTCTCTTATAGTGAATTTCCCAGAATAATGCACCTTGTTATTTAATTCATTTCTAGGAGGGGGGGAATCGGCTTTCTGGCTTTCTGGCAAATCTCCATGTATTGATATCTTGCTATACTTGCATCTCTCATCTTACAATGCAAAGTTTGAGCCAGCACATCATTTGCAGAGGGAATTCTCGCGATTTTCTTCAGTAAATGATCGAGGCCTAGAACTGATCCATGAATGAGACTTTAATGTAGCAAACAGAATAGTGCTATAAAGATTTGACTGATTATTTTCAGACCGGACCTCAAAATGTTTCAAACACTTAGGTAGTGTAATAATTAACAAAAGTTTACTCTCGCTTCATGATGCGCAATGGAGTGATAACTCCAAGGAAACCTCCGGTCTTGTCTTACTGTAGATTTAGTTCCAGATTTAGGAATCTCAGCACGGCCTGGAATTCTGTGTTGAGTAACAGCACATAAAGTTAAACACTTTCCAGTCTATTCTATTTCATTAAAAAAAGTTAGGATTAAAGACTAGAATCGCGTATTGAGCAACGCAACGCGTATTCATCCAACTGTTACAGATACTTAGCGTTGACCCTAAACGAGGAGCGCCGAAATCGAATCTATTTAACCTAAATGGTTGATTCATAATTCAGCTACAACAATGTCGACTGTTCAAGGATATACACTTTTTCGAGCAAATGCCACTAACAGAGTGACCATAGGCAACAAAAATTTAAATCTTGAAACAAAAAGTCGCGTTTGCTGATTTGTAAATTCGATTCGACTTCCCTTTTGGACTTCACTTAGGGATAACTTGGCTTGCAATGGATTGTGTGCAAGGAAGCCAGTCTCGATGTGTGCCCTCCAGCCTATGTTCAGAACATCTTGTAACATAAGCCGGAAACTTGTTGCCTTGACTGATGAGTGATGTACGGAATGAATGTTGTCGTAAAATGCACAAAAAAGGTGGCACACTGGCGCCTTTTGTGAAACGAAATACAACTCGAACAGAGCCATGCGGATGAGCAATTTTTTGACACAACAATCTTCGTGTGAATTATAAATCGATTAATCCCAAGCTTAGAAATCCTCCTATCTATAGGAATTGTCCATGGTATATACAAAGCAAAACCCGCAAATCCCTCTCTTGATATCCATCGTTCGTATTCCAAAATCAGAGATGGGAATGTAGTCGAAGCCGAGTTCAAAAACCGGAAGTAACGCCAGGAATGTAACGATGTGGTCAAACAATTGAATGATCCACCAGTCGGAGAATAACGAATGCGGCTGTAGCAATAACGGTAATGGTACGACGACCCAAAGGGTGTTAAATATGTGATGTTGTGTAATAATACTGGTAGTATTCATTCGGTACCTGCCGGTGGAACATCTCCATCTTTTGTAACAATTACATAGTCAGCACTGGTCCTGTCCCGATCAACGAGTTCGTATTCACCTTCGCTAGCACCTGGGGTAGGTGGTAGAGCTCCTGGGATATGTGATGCTAGAGCTGTTGTGTATGATTGTTCTGGCTTTGGTGCAGCTGGCCTGGATGCGAGACTCTCCCCGCTTATTCCAACACCCCGCGACGTGATACTGTTTTCAAATTTTGGTTCTAAAGGGCTTATAGGACCGTCTGTAGACTGTTGTTGGGAAACCGATTTCCCTGGTGAGAAGCTTCCGGGGCTTGCTGCTGCTTGTTTGGCCTTTAGTCTTTCCTCGGTCGCTCTAAGTCTGGCTTCGAGTTCCTCGAGTTCGGATGTTTTTGTAGATATTTCATTCTTCCTGATAGATAAAAATATGATCTTAGTATAGTGTTGTTAAAAATAATGTTGTTGGAAAGAATGCAAGAATTATGAGGCCATACTTCTCAGAAACTATAGCGTCGAGGTCCTCGCTGCTGTCAAGCTTGAACAAATCATCCAATGCGAGAGCGAATGATCGTGCCATTTGACTAAATAACTATTAGTCTCATAACACAGCTTCCAAACCCATCAAACCTACGACTGTGGCCTGCCAGTTGGCACAAATTGACTATCGAGTTCGGCGTCGGACATGATTGATTGTGAAGTTAAAGTATCTCGAGCTATCTAGATATAGGGCTGTAGCTTAAAAGGTACCCCGTAATTGAGATCTTCGGGTACGCAGCACGAGATTGAAAGTTGGAGGTTGGGTATGGAATGTTCTTAGAATGGAAGATGGAAAAATCGTCTTGTTATGATAAGAGTTGGATGGTTTCTGGAAAAGTAGAAAACCTTAAGATTAACAGATTCCGACTTCTTCTTGTATGTGTTAATGAATCGTAATAAGTTTGATGCGGATCTCTTGATGCGGATCCTCTGCTTTCATAGATTGGAGGTTGGCACCTTAAAGAGAAATAATAGGGGCTGCTAGACTAGTGTCATGTGAAATTAATGGAGAAGCTTTTGGTTCGTTCTTTCCATCAGCTGGGGGTTACAAATGACGAGGAGTGGATATATATATGATCAAAATTCAGGAACAATCTTAAGAGCTTTTGGTTCATGACATTTAATCAAAATATGAAAACGTCTAACGAGGTGAAATTGTCTCGAACGAGAGTGGTAAGGGAGTAGTCAAATGGAATGTGAGGAATGAATGCGTATAAATCCTGTCAACTAAAGCCACTCAAGTAAATATAGATCTATGAAAATAGAATAATCAGACCAGCTCTATGCTGGTAAATTGATGTATTGAAAAATTAACAATAGCTAGATAACATTCAGATATTTGGCATGAAGATCATCATTAAGCAATACCCAAATTGGAAAAGGTAAGGTTTCCTATGAGGGGCAATATTCCTAGAAAGTTTTATCGGTTCATGAAGCAGATGAAAAGCAAGTTCGTAAAGCATTGATGTGGCTATCAACAACGCATAAAGGTATGTCTTCGGGAAAAGGATAAATGGATGGGTAGGATACTGGACATAAATAGGGCATAGATTGAAAGTATATTTGAATAAGATGACAGGATACCTCTTCAATGCCATGCACACATTAGAACACTTTTATTCTCCCTTTCTCGAAGAATTTCTCAAAGAGTTTAGACGACCCCTTAATGCTAATAAGAAGCGACAATTTCAACTTGGGGAAGCATTCTGTTGAAAATACAAAAGCTAATAAAGGGTGATAGGTAGTCTTATTGACAAATAGCAGAGTTGGGTAGGTAGATAAATAGGTAGGTATCGGTACTCGAAAACTTTATAGTTTACTCCAACTACGCTCATCGTCATAGATATCGGTAGATACCTAGGTACTAGATCGATAGTAACTCTTACTGTCAGCTCAAGGCGGTAGATAACTCTACCCGTCATAATCTGAGTTATTTGGGTGAATGGCTGAACGATCTACAGCGCTGTTTTAGGTTTATGAGAAGGGTAAAATCCTTGACACTGGTGACAATGCTGAACTCAGTACACTGTATATGCGAAGTAAATATAGTGCGGGAGTGTAGCCGGCTTGACCGTGAAAAGACTCGCGAGCTGGAAAGAATAACATAATCAAATCACTATGTCCATGTAATACACACTCCGTGGGTAGGTATGCAATCTTCTTACATACATAACTTCACATGTGTACACTGTACATCGCACCTTTCGAGCTATTGGAATGCTTCACCGACGATTTCCGACAGGAAAATCGCAAAGAACTGGGGGATCTTCAAATATACCTAAGTAGCCGACCGAAAGCTGGCTTTAAATTCCGAGTCCATTTCCATTTCCACTTCCACTTCCATGAGATCTGATTTTGCTTGGTTTTGTTTTTTATTTTGATAGAGGCACGTGACCTCCTCTAAAAAAAATTGGGCTAGGAAGCTACCTAGTAGGTATTGTTGTGTTCAGAACAGAACATGCGAATGTGAAATGGTATGAATAACCTCATACTCATAAATTTGATCATAAATCAATCAATTGTTGTCCCCATCAACCACGACCAAATTTCCTATCAGTCGCGATCAATTACAACTCTTGATAAAGATTTAATCCTTCAGTAGGTTTTCGCATCGTTTACATCGCTTTAAATGCATCATTAATTATTTGAAAAAAGGTGGTCTTGATACTCTGAACCTTTTATCAGTTTAATCGCGAATTTGATCCACCTAACTTTCCTCTTCTTCGTCGTGGCTCCTCTTCACCCTCCCAAAAGTCGTGGAAATCCCCTCGAAAGCTGGCGAGGAGGATACCGTGGCATGAATACTACTACAGCCTATACGCCTCTTGAATGTTTATTGTTATTTCAATCTTTAGTCGCATATGGCACCGATCCAAACTCATTTACTCAAATTTCTCAACTTCTGACCAATAATTCCCTGGTTAAGGATGGGGAAACATACGATGCTGGAAGACTGAGTGCGGATTTATTGGGGGATTTATATTTACGACTTCTGCGAGACGAATTGAAGAATGATACAGAGCTAGATGTGCAAGAGGAAACTGGACCGTCGCCGTCAAAAAACGAAAACTCTCGAGTCCACATTTGCCAACTATCAAAGATGCCCAACCTTATCGAGAAAAATTGCCAATTTTAGTGGAGAGGTTATATGAGCGGTACAAAGATTACATGGTACGGGCGATCAGGGAAGATGAGGAAAACTACCGGGCTGTTCAACGAGATATTGCGGCAATTGAAAGAGGAGATTGGGATGAGAGAATATTGAGAGAAGAACGGGCGGTCACGGAACAGAATGGGCACAAACAAGTTGCGGATGCTGGCATGAAGCCGAATGGTACCACTAGCAATGTTCCTATCACAGAGGAAGGTATATCGAAGGAATCCAAACCTTTGGATAGCAGACTACAGGATCCACGGCCGACAGAACCTAGGCGTCTGGAGCCCCAGCTGCCACAAATCAAGTCATTTGAGATAGCTATTCCTCAATCATTACCTCAAAATGTAAGAGAGCAATCAAGAACAAAAGCGTCTCCATCTCCCGGTCCATCTCCAAGAACCGAAGGCCGACCAGAAGGTTTGGCTATCAGTGATGTTTTAAACACTCAAAATTCCACCCCCGTTCCTCCCCCCAAAAATGTCACGGAACAACAGCCTCGAAATGGTATGCAACATGGGGTACCACCAATGGCTCATCAAAGATCAGGCAGTCATGGTCCACATGGTCCATCTCCTTTGCAAACCCAGGCTCATTCGCCACAACTTGGTCCTCCTCCTTTGCAATGGGAACCACCATTTCACCCCGGGGGTCCCAATCCTCCACAGTTCCACAACCCTCAACCTGGATCGCCGCATCCATCTCCACACTCTCAGTTTTATCCCCCACCGTTCCCTTCATATCCTCCTCATTCGTACCCGCCCCCTAACCATCGAAATTCCCTACCAAGTCCACATTTACCTCCGCCTCATCATTCTGTACCATCATCTCCACTGAACCCACAATATCAACAAGGCGTTCTCTTACCACCCCCTCATACAATGGGTAGACCTCCAAGTACTACTGGCACGCAACTAGATGCGTTAGCGGACGTTGCTGGGCAGCAATATCGTGCGAATTCTGGGTCTCCTATGGCTCAGCAAGGACCTTTACCTCCGGTCTCTTTGCCTCCGGGGTCTATGCCACAAATTCCACCTCACATGCCATACACACATTCATTCCCACCTCCACCTCCACAAAGACCTCTCTCCTCGACTGGCCACCCTCCTCCACAATGGATCCCTCCCTTCCAATCACCACCATACCCACTACCATATCAACTTAATGGACCTCCAAATGCACGACCGCCATTTCCCCGACCAGAGCTTGTTGCTCCGGAGAACAGGCAATATAATTCACCTTATAATGCAAATCAAAGTCCACGGCCTTCTCTACCCATTAATAATTCAGTGCAGCCAAGACCGCAACTATCGCAGCCTCATACTCCGTTGTCTCAAGCACCTCAGACATTCATGACTGGGAGTGGCACTAAATGGACACCAAGACCATCCGGTGCTACTCCACGATTACCCAGGGAGCCTTCTCGTCCACAAGCCGAAGCTCTTAGTCCTATATTAAAACCTAAAGTATTACCTCAATCAGTAGAAAAGTCTCCACAAAAGAAATATCGGCCAAAGCAGGATCCTGTAAAACCGGGCAACACCAACACACCGAACACGTTACGCAAGCGAGCTGGCAGTATAACCTCAACTCCCACTATTGGCCCATTTAGAAGAAGTCAGTCGGTACAATCACATGCTGACGAGCTCTCTCTGGATAACGAAGGTTCTGGTCTTCACTTCAAACAAGAAGTCGCAACACCCCGTAGCGTTGGTGATGTAGCCGATATAGCGACTGATGAAAGTACAAGTCGACAATCCAAAATCCCACAATCACCTCGTCAAGCAATGAAACGAAAACGTCTTGATAGTCCCGAACTTAGGGAACCCCGTGGTCCACCCCTGTTCGTTTTATGGACTCGTGCATTCCCAAAGATTAGTGTATCTGCCTTAGAATCAATTAGTGGTCATCGAAACGCGAGCACATTTGCAAATCCCGTCAAGGAGAGAGATGCTCCTGGTTATAAAGATCTCATTCTTCGTCCACAAGATCTTAAATCGATTCGAACGGCTATCACGGCTGGGCATAAAGCTGCGGCGGCTGCAGCTGCTGCTCTGGCTACGCCAGATGATCAAGGCCAATCAAGTGCATGGCTGCCTATCGCTGAAGATCTCGTTCCTCCAAAAGGCATAATAAATTATGCTCAATTTGAAAAAGAATTGATGCGTATGTTTGCCAATGCTATTATGTTTAATCCTGATCCTGATCGTGGATTTGGTAAAGCATTTGAGAGTAAGAGGAAAGAGTCCGAGAGGGGAGCAGTGTATGAGATTGATGAGAATTCATTGGTGAAGGATACAAGAGCTATGTTCATGGATGTCGAAAAAGACATTGGAGCACTGAGAAGTGCAGAGAGGAGAAGCGAAGAAGCTGCAGAAAGAGAAGCTCTTGGTGGACCTTGGGGTATCAGACATACAAATAGTCATGCTGCACCTGATGATGATGATGATGATGACGATGATGAAGTTGACGAGCTAGCCGGGGATGGAGATGGCGTTGTAGGGAACGGAAGTGGCACGGTAAAAAGAAGAAGAAAGGCTTAGGGTAATGACTTCGCTTTGTGGTGTTAGTCGTCCCTCAAGGGAGATGTAAATATTATTGTGCCATGAGACATACGTTAATAATGAAAATGAGAGACATTCTCATCGAATATACTGGTTTCTGAGTTTATTTGCTAGTAATACGGTGCGACTGGTGATCAATGACAATGTTTTTATGGTCGAGGAGAATTTGAAAGACTAAAGTAGTGTCATCTTGCATTAAGCTATGGAACAATGCGTAGAGATAGAATATGGGATGTAGGGGTCAACTATTGATGGGAATCTATAGATCTTTCCTAATAGCATGAAATAATTTACGCAAACCTCACTGGAGCCCCAATAAAGGAACCTCATGAAGAGTAGAATTAGAAGACTTAGTCAAGTTTTCGCTTTTTATAGAGATTGATGGATACAATGGGCTTCAATAATGAAATGTGATGAATTTATATTTCAGGAATCAGTATATCTGTTGCGGAATTGAGGAGCATGGATTAGGGAATATCAGAGAAGCGGAAATGTTAATTGCTTGTCAGAATAGGGGAAGAAGTATCAGAAGAGGAAAGATAAGTTCTTTCTCTTTGGGATCAGTTACTGTTTCTATGCTTCACCTAGCTGTTTCTGTATACTAGGCATATGTTTTGCTAAATCGTTATGAGAAAGTGATCCTGTGAGATTCGTTGATGGCCCCTCTTTTGAGAATAAGAGTTATTCGCGTATTGCTAAGCCCTTGCTCATCTGACCGAGATCACTCAAAATGACATATAGGATTTTTCGTCAAAGGAAAGATATGTCTTTTCAACGCAGCATTGGAAACCTTCGCACATCTATGTTCGAGACTCAAAGGGTAATCTGACATTACATTTGCCATTATACTATGGTTGACAGAATTAAAGACACAGAACATGTGGACTGCATCGATGTTTTGAAAGCTGCAACCATCAACGAAGACTTGCAAGGTACTATTGCCCTGGAAAGGTTTCGGGAGTAGCTTTTACGCTGGAAGTCTCAAGGAAATGTGCGTAGCCCGTTGCTATATGAACAACACCAAAAGCGAAACTAGCAGGAGTATTGTGATATCTGAGAAAAAAAAGTTTCGAGTACCTAGGTATGTAACAATTCGGCTCGCGAAATTTGTCCGCGCCTCTTGAATTTCAATTCCATGAACCAACGCCTCCAATACGTGAACTAACGCCGATGTCAAACTTGGACTAAGGCCTATCTAATACGTGGACTAAACGACAACGATCTTTCCAATTTAACCATATGTACTGCGAAGCTTCTAAGAAGCAATTCTGTAAATCTATACACTCGATCTGTGGAATTGCCCCCTCTCCGCACCTCTAAAATCAAAAAACAAAAGGGCATGGAAGCTTAGCTTTCCTCTGGCGATTCATGAAGTACAGAAAGCATAGAGCTCATTGAGCTGACATCACTACTATAGTAAGACCTAGTAACAATTAGCAACTACTCACACACAAGTTTACCACCAAATTTTTAGTGAAACCCACCTATCGTCACCTCTCCGGAACATTCTGCTATCCGGACTAGTTGCATAATCTCCATTTGCATCTCTTTCCCTATACCTTCCTTCATATCCATGTTCGTTCTCAATATCTCTCATTTCCCTTTCCATATACTCATTGTCACCTTCCAGCTCGCTTATATCCTTCTCCAGATCGCGTAGTTCCTCGGTATCACGATATCGTAAATAGTCTGCCTCAGTCATTACTTTCATTCGTGGTATCAAATCTGTTGTGAGATGTTTTCGTTCTTCAGATTCAGAATTTCGGCTCCGGCTATGACAAAGTTCTTTCTCTCTGTGCATTGCGTCGCGTGAGTTGGATCGTCCACGTTGGTTACTATATTCACTACCTGAAGAATGGATTAGCATGCACTTTCCCAGGGGAATAGTGGAGGAACTCGTCACTTACCAGACTCGCCAGAAATCATGGAACCAACTTCTTTCCCCTCATATTCCTCCTCGACCTTACTCGACCAGCAACCCATATTTTTAGGTATCCTGAAATTTCTAGGTATGGAAGAGTCTTTAGCTTTTGGGTATCAAACATATACAGTGTTGTGTTAGCAACGTGAATAAGAGGATCAAGCACCGGGCTTCAACTAAAGAGTCAAACATCTTCATGAGAAGCGGCATGAGAGATGTAGATATCACCAACATCATTGAGAAAAGGCTGACGCGGTTCAATTTGGGTCGAGACCTTAATCATGGTTGTTTATGATGTTGGATGTTGGGTTAATCGCAGTGTGGCGATGTGAACAAACGCTGGCCATTGTCACGACCTAATTCACCAAGATGTGTTCATTGTTATTCATTAGACCTCCAGTTATACATGATAAAAAATCGAATATTGATGGATGAGGTCATTGGAGTAATACATCTATCTATATGTCATAACAAGCTTTCGGAATAATTTATGAAATCGTCCCAAGATGTTTGTTAAGATTTACGAACTTTGGAGCTTGAGCATAAGGATAATCATAAGGATGTTGTCGGGGTCTAGGTTTGAATTTTAGCGCTTAGGTAAGTCGTTTTACAGGTGCCTCGAGAATGAACGGGCCCCTGAAACGCGCTAAAACTTGCCGATCAAAAGCCTACAACGCAAAACATTCATTTTTCACCGTTTGACTAACATTCTGTTCCAGCTTTCCAGAGTTTTCCGGTTCAACAATGAGGTCAAGGAGGAACGCATAAGAGCGAAATTTTGAGCAAGGACATTGAATTTCCTTCAAGGAATCGAGATTTGCCGCTTCAAGTTTGTCAAGCCACATCGATGCATCCTTGAATATAGAACCCGCGCGGCGACCAAGCACGATGAAGAAATTGGACTGGACGCGAATGTCATTGTCTGCAGAACTATTACTGTCGCGCTCTAGATCCGGGAAGGTCTAGAATTTAAATCATTCTCAAGATCTGTGCAGCTTGTCAAACATATGACAGCACGGATTATACTTTTTGAAGGTGTTGAGCAAAGGCTTTTTTATCTTCATCCGTGGTAGTTGCGCACATTTGCGCGAGTTTGTCACATATACTAGAGATGATAGTGGAGTTTAATCTCTTGGCAAGCTCTCCGTCCTCTTTTCAAATTTCTTTTCATTGGTAGTTGCAGCCCATGATGAATATTGTGGGGATTGTTTCCGATGAAAGTTTCATCTGGACTGATAATGTGCACTTGGTGATTTGAGTCAGTTTGGTAGTGGTGAGCTCAAACTTGCTCATTGCAATTGGCTGATGTCTTGGCAATGGGTTGATAATTGAAGGCTTCCTATTTCTCGAGCTCGATCGTTTACTTTTGATATTCGACTTCATTGCTGGCAATCTATCTTCCTCTTTGTAATACCGACATCCAACAGACATCATGGAGGCCATTGAAGCTCGCCATATCCAAATGGCGGATAATACGTCAACCATGGAACCACATTGGGGATATGTTGCTCGTGTATTGCCCTGTACGAATGATGCTGGTTCATGTGAATATCTGGACGCTGTCTATGTAAGTCATTATGCCAATTGCACTGCTTTCAGAACAGTATTCTATGTCGCTTCCGACAGACTATCTCTCATCCCTTCTGGCAATATGACCAATATCCATCATTTTGACACTGACATTCTCTAGCATGCACACGATATATCTATGCTCTACACTTTTATCTTATGGGCAGTAATAGGAGGCATTCTGGTTATACTCACTACTCTACATTTCATAAAACCTTCAGGGCAAGCTTCTACCAAAGCTAGAGACCCAGAGATACAAAGTAGCGCGGGCAATTCATCCTGGTACTATCGTGCATGGCGTGGAACAACGGCTGCTTTCCGACGATATCTTCTTCCAGAAAACTTTACCAAATTCTTTGGACATGTAACCAGGTTGCAGGTTTTGATACTAGCAATAATGTTAGGTTACTTACTCATCTTTACGTGAGTATTGTGCCCCTTTGAAGAGAAGTTTTGTACAGTAGTAATAATGTTCGACAGATTTGTTGGAGAGACCTACAAAACATGGATAACTCCTGTCAAAAAATCGACTCTGTTCAATACCCGATCTGGCCTCGGTGGTTTCTCCGACCGTTTAGGGGCATTCGCGTATGCATTAACACCATTCACGGTACTTCTTAGTACTCGAGAATCAGTTCTAAGTCTCGCAACCGGAATTCCTTACCAATCGTTCAACTTCCTACATCGCTGGATCGGACGTGTTATTTTCATTCAATCCGCCGTACATACGTTTGGCTGGACACTTGTCGAAGCACGTTTATACCAACCGCAACCGACTACATGGCAAACTTTCATTAAAGAGCCTTATATCATCTGGGGTTGCTTTGCATTATCATTCGTTTGCTTCCTATATGTTTTCAGTATTCGAAGAGTTATCCAATGGACAGGATACGAGTTCTTCAGGAAGACTCACTATGTGGTGGCTTGTTTATATATTGGTGCATGTTGGGGCCATTGGCAACAATTGAAGTGTTGGATGATTGCCTCTCTCGGATTATTCTTTATTGATCGAGGGGTGAGGATCTTGAGGACTTTGCTAATTCATGTTGGATATTTTGACGCCAGTGGTAACGCAGGTAAGCACTTAAATTTATCCCTGATCATTGGTTTCACTTGTTAATTAATTTAGGCCTCGGATTCCACCCTGCTCAATCGACCCTTCAGTACTTTGATGATAAAGACGGCGGCGTCATTCGCTTGGAATTCGACTACAAACACGCCCCATGGGCTCTTGGACAACATTTCTTCCTTTGCTTTCCAGCTCTTAGTATCTGGCAATCCCATCCCATAACTGTGGCATCAGTACCCTCAGATCATCACACATACATCATTCGCTGCCGCTCAGGCGAAACTGGAAATCTCAAAAAGATAGCCTTAGATGGTCAACTCACTACTCCTGTAATTCTCAGCAGTCCCTACGGAGAACAGTTGTTAAAACCATCAGAAGAACCAACAAACATCCTAGCTATAGCCGGCGGAACTGGTATTTCATTAACCCTACCTCTCGTTTTGGCGGCTACTGCCAGCGATGCAAAAATGTACGAAGGGCGAGCCATTGACTTTGTTTGGATTGTGCGACGGAGTTCGTGTCTAGACTGGATCCGAGAGGAATTAGAGGAGGTGAAAGGGAGAGCAAAGGATACGGGAATGAATCTTAATATTCATGTCTACATTACACAGGAAGAAGATCCCGAATCGGAAGGAAAAACGGAAGAGGCTGTTATCAACGATGAAAAGACAATCATGGAAGCGGGCGATAAAGCCATGGCAGACTCGATATCAAGTTTGAGTTCGGAAGGAAGTTCCGGGAGGTTCAAGGTTTCATACCTGGGTGGCTGCAAATGTTGTCATCCTGATTTGAAACAGGTAGTTAATAGCTTCATGCAAAAGAGAGCGGGGAATGCATATAGAACGAGGGTCATTGCGAGTGGACCCAATGGTATGGGAAAGGATTTGAGGAGTGCAGTTGCTAAATGCAATGATGGATGTGCGGTTCTGAGGGGGGAAAAGAAGGGTGATGTGGAGTTGGTCTGGGATGCGAGAGATTAATACCAGCACGTAAGGAAGTTTTGGGACAAAAAAGCATATTAATGGGGCGTGGAAGATAAAATATAGATATGACTTTATGCATTATGACTCTATGTATAGCTTGTATTTTCAAAATTATAGGAAATAAAAGTAAAGCAATTAATTTCTTCAAAACCGCGTCTATTTTCTTGGACCAACGTCCTTTGACGTGTGTAAAGTGGCGATCGCGCTAATAAAATGGAATCATGTCAAAATCTGCTGAACTTCTGAAATATACAAGTGCTCTCTCCATTGGCTGCTAGCACAAACCACTTCAGCCTCCTCCCAACAACAAGGTTACATTCCACCTACCAATGACTTCCGCAGAATCGGGAACGACAAACTTTTATTCGATGACTCAATATCACGTCTCAGGGAGATAAGCGATTACTAGGTATGCAACACACAAACCAACCTCCTCGCCTATTTTCAACCCATTTTAGAACCTTCAGGTTCACCATAGGGTCTGTGGGATTAATGCCGGTCTACCGGATTGATAAATCATGGCCCTTTACGAAAGTATCCGAGCAAGAGCCTAGATTCTGCATCGATTCCCTGTCTAATTACAGAAAATGACTGCGAGAATGGAAAGGTGTGGGGAACCAACATGCCCAAATAGGATTTGAGATGACCGCTTCTTCTCCAAAATGGGAAAAAGTTATTGAGAAATGGGTCTGGGGTTGGTTTGAGTCGTATTGATTCGGTAGTTTAGAGGGGATGGAGGTCTGGATGAGGGTTTGTATTACCGAATGAATGGGTTTTATGAGCTGGTGGGCAGGTGTGGTGGGGAGTGGCGATGGGATTTTCCGATGGTGCATTAGGATGGCGGAGAATTGGGAGGATATATAGGAGATTATCCTTAAGAAGTGGGAGCAGCTCTTGGAGTATCTGCTTTGGGCAGTCATCTTTGAGTTTCCTCCTCTCAAGTACTCAATTTGATGTCAATCTCATTACCGACTTATCATTACACATTCGCTATTGTTGAAACTTCTTCTTTGTGATAAACCACGAAAAAAGCCCACCTTTGAATCTAACTACACTTATAATCACAAAATGGCCGTCACTTGGAAAACACTTAAATTAACTCTCTTAACTCGATTCAGAACTACAAGGTAAATGATCCATTTTTCACTTCCCACTCACATCAAACCGCTAACACCCAATCAGCTCCTCTTCTTCCACATTCTCATTCTCCTCGTCTGAAGACAATGAAAGCACTCTCGATGATGAAGCCCAAGCACTAAGAAAAGAACGTACAGGACATAGTAAGTTCTATATTTTCTCTTCGCCAAGCATTGTGGTGATTCTGACGCAAGTGAAAATAGGCTGCAAGAAGAAGAGTCACCTGGAGAAATTGGAGAGAGTTATTATTTTCTGTAGTTTGTTTTGTTAGAGTTATTTTTCTTTTGGCTGGAGTGAGGGTTTACTTTCTTGGACCTGGGCTTGGGATCTCGATCTCGATCTGGAGTTGGGATTGGATGCGCAAAATTGAGATGATACTTGGCGCAATGGGTAGGCTATGAACGGCTAAGTCATTATGGGACATGAGGGATTGCATCAAACTGGCACGGCATGATTTAACAGGATATTGGAGTTTGGACTGGATGAAAAATTTGGGTTTCAGATTCCTTCTAGATCTGAAACTTCCTTCTGTGATTTCTCTCACGTCGGAGAATTTCTCAATGTATTTACATCCTCAAACCATCATTTTCTTGTCCCCCATGAATGTTGAAGTCAAAAAGCACTACTTCATCCTCTTACATTTACTTTGCGAAGGTGTTTATTTCCCTCGTGGCCTGGAAGAAAAAAAGAGAAGAAAAAAGAAAGAGAAAAGAAGAAGAAAAACTTCTCAACACATCAGTGAATAAATTCTATTCAATACGATGACCGGTGCTTCTCATTTCGGTAAAGGTTGTTGTATTGATTTTTTGCGCTTGTAGTAAACAACCTTTTTATTGCCTACCATCAACCTCCCAGGAATATACAAACAAAAATATCACGGTACAGCATATTGTATCGGATAATACGATCAAGCAAACATTGTTTGTTTTTTCATTGCACAGTCAGATATCCTGCCCACCATAGCCAGAAAGATACTTTTGGCAGAAAGTGTCGCATAAGCCCCTACCTGCAAGACCAATGGAGCCAAACAATCTTCACAGAGGTATGATTCCATCAATCCAGACAATGAAGTCGAGAGAAATGATCGATCAACAGGTCGGTGGAGAATCCTCAGTCAGAGGCTATCCTCTTCCCGTTGATCCTTCTAGCAAATTTGCATTCGATCATTCGACAAAGTCGCAAGCTTCTGTTGATGTTTGTCTCCCTAGATCTATTGACTGGGAATCAGTTGAAGGACGAGGCTCTAGACTCTTGGAAGACTCAGACATCGAAATGGAGATGGAAGTTGCAGGCCATGAAAATGGTGAACATATTGATGGGGTTGTTGAAAGTGTTAAACCACGAGTTCGATTTCCGGTAATGACACAAGGAACTATCAATCCCATGGCCATTACACAACTTCAAGATGAGCTTGAGGATGTCAATAGAAAATTGGATAAGCTGCAAGCAACATCTGTACCATTAAAGGATGAAATCACCCTACCAAAGAGAATGAGTCTGCCGCAATTGATGGAGATGTTTCCAGCAATGGGAGATCAGATCAATGCTAAGATGAACCAGGGGTTGAATGATGCTCGCGAAGAATACGAGGTAAAACTCAAGAGGTTGCAAGATGATCACAATGACGAGGTTTTGAGAATGGGAGCGATTGCAAGCGAGATGGAGTCAAAATTGAACAAAGCTGAAGAAAAATTGAGGGGCTTGGCAGTGTTTGGCCAGAGATCCCCAAATGAGTCGTTCGGTAATGTCTTGCCTGACATTCAAAACTCTCATGGCCCTTCAAGAAACACTACCAATAGCAGACAAGACCTTTGTCCACCCGCACAGATTGTCAATTCTCAAGCTCCACAAGCGTTTACTTTCGGTTCTCCTACAAACCCTTTCCGAAATAACGGATTGGTAAACAGCGATGGTTCTTCTACTCATTTTACAAACCCTTTCCAAAACAATGGATTGGCAAACGGCAATGGTTCTTCTACCCCTCTTATGAATCCTTTCCGAAACGAAGGATTGACAAACGGCGATGGCTCTCCTTCCTCTTTCGCAAACCCTTTCCGATTGGCAAACGGTGACGGCCAAAAAAGGGGATGCGACGAGCCTGTTCAACCCGAGTTCGGCAGAGATGTCAAGAGAGTGAAGAGAGAGCAGTTTTGATAACTGGAGAGAGGACTTGTGGCGATTTGGAGGAATACCTATATCAGGGAGGCAAATATAGTGCAAAAGCACCGTTCTCATTTGATATAAAACGGGAGTTTGGATAATTGTATCACCAGCTTGATGGTTCCTGCCGGCTTCAAAATTACATTTGATTATATACCACTAGCAAAGTTTGAATCTTGCAGGGATTATACAGCTGGGCCTAATGAGAGGTTAATGCTTTGGGAAGTGGGAGGATTTAATGAATGCGTAGGGCATCGAGAACGAGAAACCTTCTAGCTTGCCAACGGACATAAAAGTGGAGGATTGTTTGATCCAGATCGGGGTAGTTTGGCAACTTCGTCAGGGCTTCATCTGTCTCTACGTCTGAACAGCTCCTTCAATGTCTCAATCAACACAAGACAATCAAGTATTAGGACTCTCTCAATCAAATTGCAGAGTTTGTGTGATTTCATGACCGAGTGAAATGACATATCTGAGATTATCAATCGTGTAGCGTGCTTACTGCCTGGCTGTCTACTGTCTGATTCTAGAAACGGCAGGGAACCAGAATTTTGGAATGCGGTCCCATATGCAGATTGCCAAGTGACACTTCCCCTTAAGAATTATTCTCATGTTTCCCATAAGAGTCGTTCAGTATAGGGATTGTCATTAGCATTATGGTATGGGTTTGATGTATAGTTAGTTGACACGTGCAGTCGTTATGGGGCGTTAGTATATTGATGCTGCTTTAATAATGTGAAAAGAGTGACTTTAAAGCAGCCAGATGGGCTACCACGCCACGAAAATACCAAACATACAATCATTCTACAACGAAGGTATGAGATTGTGCAAGTGTACCATTGAGCCTTCGATACAATAAGACATGATAGATTCAAAGCAATCTCTAGTCTCACGTGTAAGAATAATGACCGCCATTTCGGATCTTCACCGGAGAACACAGGTGCTTTTCTGGCATTTCCTTCGCTCTTTCCATATTAACGGCATAGCAAACGTGAGTCTGTTAGACGTTTAGTCTTTGGGCTCTTTCCTATTGTAGTAATGGGACTAGGTGAAATGGCTTTCTCTATTGCGAAAGTTCATTTCTCATCTCTGAATTTCACATCGTTGAATCTATACAAACACCTTGGAAATGTATCTCGCATTACCTACAGCTATTCTTTTCCCTCTTCTTCACAGATAACATAATTACTTCTTTCCAGTTACTACTATTCATCCCTATTCCAACGTTGGATATAACGAATTGCCTATACATTGCTCACATCAGACCTGCCTCACCTACTTTCATTGTAAATCCGTGGCTTACTTTGCAAATCACTCAATCAAATTCTTATGAACTATCTAACTGAGTGCCTTCTATACGCTGGAGTTATATTAGGGTTTGAACCAGACTCCGTACTCACTCTTGAACAGAACGTGGAACCAAAATTGACTGCTGGTTTATATTCCGAACCAAATTTCCCCTTGACGACCACCTACAAGTCTTCAGCTACTAGCCCACCCCTTTCACATATTCAACCCTGGTCGTGGTTTCAATCTCAAACCAAAACGCATCGAAATTGTCCGGGGTAACTGGCCGTCTTGGACGATATCTCAAGTTCTGTAACGAGAGGATTTTGATCGATACAACACAAGTCATAATTCAAATGACGGCAATATCGCCATACCTCAATATTCGACCACTTAAACACTTTGCGCAGAACAAGTGCTTTCGTATCACTAGTTCTCACCCAACAACGTACCGTGCAATATATCATTTATGGTCAACACTAGCAACTCAACCAACGCCACGGCACCCATTAATAGTACCCTTCAGGCCTGGCATGACTTGCAAGGGCATGTTATCGACAAGAAATATGACGCTGGTTATATCTTATTATCATACTTGGTTAGCCTGGTGGGCGCCTGGACTGCATTTGAGCTGCTCAATCTGAGGACAACAAGAAAGGGTCGCTATAATTGGTATGAATCCACCAATCTCTTAGGAACCTATTATATTAAGTTGACATTAGGACGGTTCTCGTGTTCGCTTCGATAGCAATGGGAGGTGTTGCTGTTTGGTGTATGCATTTCATTGGCGACGAGGGAATTATTCTTGGTGGAGGTGATCCTACTTTACAAATTTCATACACTAAGTCTTCCACTTCTGAATCGTTCTTCCTACCAGTAATAGTATTTTTCATCGCATTCTGGACTGTTGGCTCCAACGAAACGATAGATCTGCCCCGCGTTGGTCTAGGTGGCACTTTAGCAGGGCTTGGAATATGCGGTATGCATTACCTTGGACAAGCTAGCATTTCGAACTATGCGTGCTTTTATAATATTGTATGGGTCATCATTTCCGCATTCATAGGTATTGCAGGCAGTGTAGGATCTATCTACCTATTTTTCCTGTGGCGTTCATCCTGGGCATCATGCTGGTCGAAGAAGGGTATCTGCGCTTGTTTACTTGCTTTTGCCATATCCGGATTACATTGGCTATCATCTGTTGGAACACACTACCGTCTTCACAGTCGCCCAAAACCTCCGATTTCGAATCCGACCGAGCATTTTGCTATAATTGTCGCTACAGTTTTGGTACGTTGGACTTCGCAGATTCTGTGGTCTATACTGATTAATTTAGACCATAGCCGCTGCCCTTGTCAACATAACATTGAAATTAATGCTATTCACCCGAAGACAAGGAAGCATCAACAGTTCTCAGAAGCTCACTTTGTTCGCAGCCATATTCGATAAACATGGAAATGTGTTGATTGGTCCACAAGGCAGTCTGCCAAATAGAAAAATCACCAGTTCTTTCATCGAGGGCGTAAGGGAACTCATGCTCTTTACTCTCGTGTTCCTAAATGCTAATTAATTTTAGTCATTAAATGAGGTTTTCAACACCTCGCATCCAATATTTCTGTGGATATTTAGAGCGGCGAACAATTGGCATTGTGTTAAACATATTATTCCGGCAATGCGCCTCAATATCAGTGCTCACATTGAAAAGCACAACCTTAGAAGTAGAGAGGAAGTTAGTCTTGTGGATGACGATGGCGACTTAATTAAGGATTATTCTATTGTGTTTCGAGAGCTTTTCTGCATTGCAGCTGCTGATCTTGCGAATGATCTTCGTATACCCATGGAAAAACTAGGCCCTTTGTACGACGATGTCATTGGTACCGGGCAGAAAGTTCCATTGTCAGCAATCATTAAATCTCGTGTTGCTATAGTAAGTGACTTGATCGAAAAAACAATTGGGGATATCCAGCACAAGATCAAAGGTGGTCGCCGCGCCATTAGAAGGCCGAGGAAAGACGTCGAAAAAGATGCAGGGGCAGGAACTGGACAACTACTTTTTCTTGTCAAGAAAGCTCAGCGACGTGAAGCAGAGGCTTTACAAGCAGCGGGATATCGGTTTGGGAAAATTGAACAGGTTCTATCGCTGCTATCAAACACCATGAAGATTAAGGATGAAAATCTTACCAAGCATCTTTCGGAATTATGGAAGTTTGCAAATCAGGATGAGATGTTGGATCCAGGTTGTCATCTTGCATGCTTCGCAATTCGAGCTTCTGTCCGAGGAGGATTTGATATTGTTGTCAGAAAAGATGCTAAGAGTCAGCTCCCGACTATGACCTTGCCTTTCGAATCACTGGAGCAATGGCAGATGGACTTCTTGACCGCTATGAACACCCTCAATGTAACGGAGTGTCAAAGGTTCTTAGCCAAAGCAGTCAAAGCAAAAGAGCTACCTACAAGGGAGAAGACATTTTCCAATCAGCTGCTCACCACGCTCCAATCGCTGAAATATGAAATCGGAGATCCCATCTTCAGTGAAGCATGTCTCATATCTAAACCAATCGAGGCTCCATGTCGTGGAGCTTCCGCAAACCACAGGCCTGGGGTAGGAATTCTAATCGCCTTTCGACTCATGGTACCTATTAATACTCGCCGCGCGCCAGGAAAGAAATGCGCGTTCGCGCCACTCACCCTGTTTAAATTGCAACAACGTGTTTACAAAAATTCTTTAGATCATTCTTTTTTCGTGCGTGCAATATATCGAGAGTTCTCACCGATATTTGCAGCAACATTTCGTGATAGGTCACAAGACAAAAGACTCCTATCACAATGGAGACCTGCCAGATCTGGAGAAGAATTCAAAGTTGAGGTAGTGGAGGAACATGATCCGTTCGGAAACTTTATCACTAGAATCAGGCCCAGCAGGGAGTTGCAATCACGGCCTACTATGGAACGATTGAGAACACTCTGGGATGTAAGTCTCGGCCGCTCTAAAGAAGAAAATGGTTCTAGTGATAGACCAAAACCAATACGAGCGGCTTCGTATCAATCCATGGGGATCCTGGTCAGTACGGAAGTTGAGAGAGATGTGAAGCTCAGCTCGGATAAGAAGGACAATGGAAAAGGGAGAGGGTTTGAGGCCAAGCAGGGAAATAGGGGGGTTACGGCCATAGTCACTGAGGATGTTGAGCCGCTGACGTTTGTGGATGAATTGTTTCAGAGTTGTGTCAAGAATACGGGGATGCCTCATTGATTACTTGAAGACAATGAGAAAGGGGGAGATGGGATGTATGGATGTGTGGGTGTATGGTCGTATGCATATCTTTCGTATTGTGGTACTACTAGATCAGATTAGGTTGCGCTTTTAGGCGTGAGATCGGAACGAAATTGGTATTGTACCTTGGCAGCTTTTACGAATAGAAACCTATGATTTTTGGAACTTCGAGTATAATATATTCTGAGAATATCCATCTATTTTCCTTCAAAATATCTTGATTGATGCATTTGTGTCTGTTACAATGAAACAAATGAGAATGTTGGGGCGATATCCGCATCAAGGTTCTAACAACAGTCAATGGCTCTAATTGAGCCTGGTGTGGCTATGCTCTCGCTAGATCACTCAAGACTAGTAAAAACACCATTTGGAAAAATAATTAGATAGATATCTAGAGCTGGCATGTCCTTTTCATCAGCACTGTGGAAAGGAGGTATGTTTATTTAGTGTTGGGGGGGACGGCATTTTGATATCATCGAGTACTGGGAACGGATTTATTAAATGCAGGTGGCACGGATGTACGGCACGAAGTAGGGAGATGAATATTCATCGTGGGTGGATTCCACGTGGCAGGTTCAGATGGAGTGGAATCTATGATGTGATTTGAATTGAGCACCTAGGTAGAGTTTTGGAGGGAACACACTAGAGATGGGTTAGCTGATGTATTCAAGTGAGGAAGTGGAGGATGGGAAGATTGGGAGATTGGGAGGTATTGATGGTTGGAGGGGTAGGTACTAAGAGGTGAGTGGGGGATGGTGTATTGATTTTGATGGTTAGGTGGATATTGTTGTGAGAGGTGTGTAGTGAGTTTGGGTTGGATGGGGTGGATGGGGTGGATGGGTTGGAAAGGTTGGAAAGAAGAGTTTTATCTAGTATCTACTAGATTGAAGAAAAGAGATGTGTATAGAATCACTGATGCTGAATAGCGCGAGAATCACAATAAAATTGATTGAAATTACAAAGTCCTAATCAGATTGTATTGAAGGAGTTGTATCATCGAAAAGTCAACATGTGCATCATGACATTAAAACATTATTGATGGAAATGTACGAAACTGAGCATGGAGAAACTTTATTGAATTGAATAAGCACAGTAAATTTATAAATTAAACGAAAATTCTCAACTCTGAATACATGATTTAAGCCTCGACATCATAATAAGAACTAGGGTAATACGCTGGGGGGGCAACAGCTCTTCGACCAGCACCCTTAGGAACAAATGGGGTGGTCTTGGGTCCTCCTCTTTTCGTCTTGTGTTTGTTTGCTATATGGCTTGCACATGACTGTTTTTGCACATAACCACCATCTTTTTCATTACAGTACGGGCAGAACCACGCAGTAGGTTTACCTGATGATGCTTTTGGTGCTTTTGATGATTTTGGTGCTTTTCGTGCTTTTGGTGCTTTTGGTCCTTGTGGCGCAATCATGTAACGAGGTTCTCGAGGGGGTGTGCGAGAGCGAGCATTTGCTGGTGGAGGGGATACCTCCTGCAAAGAGTCATCGGAATCTTGATCATCATAGCCTTCACTATGTGATTTATTGTAAACTCTCCAATATTCCGGCCCAGCCATGTCCAAACCAGCCGAGACGTCCCGACTTTTACGAGTACCAGGCGATTTGTAATCATCATACATGCCTCTCGCTGCGCCACCAAGAGGAGGATTAATTAAACCCAAATGTCCATCTTTTTTGCCCTGTTTTTCGTCGAATTTACGTATCATTTCCGATACCGTTTGCAACTCCTGTCTTGTTTCTTCATCGCTTCCTCCATGCGCCACAAGGTATATTCCCTGTTCTTCCAAGTCTCGATAATATTGCCAGCCCGCAAGAGGAAGTTCATTCTTCTTCATAAGAGCGCCTTCCCACCAAGCATAATCTTCCCACGGAAATCGCTTTGACATATACTCAAGATCTCGAGCAAGATATGTCATATTGTTGAAGAAAATTTTGTATTCAGTATCAACAGCAATTCGCCAATCGAGTCGTGGATTCTGTCTTTTCTTCTTGGCTTCAGCTGCCCTTATTTCATCAGGGTCTCGCGTATCCTGCCTATTTTGTTGATTTCTTTGACTGTCTCGCCCCATTATTCTGTCCCAAAAGGCTCGCCTCTCACTCGCTTCCTCTTCCTCTTTGGCTTTGGCCTCTTCCCTCTCTTGTCTTTCCCTCTCTTGTTTCTCCTTCTCTTGTTTCTCCTTCTCTTGTTTCTCCTTCTCTTGTTTCTCCTTCTCTTGTTTCTCTTTCTCTTGTTTCTCCTTCTTGTCTTGTTCCTGATTCTCCTTTGCCCTCTTCCGCAATGCCAATGCTTGAGCTGACCATGAAAATGCTTGTGGTATTTTCCCGTGCGTACTATGGATCAAATCATAAAAGGCTTTGCCCTCTGGCGGAAGATTCGCTTTCTCAAAGAGATTACCCTTCCACCAAGCCCGATCCTTCCAAAAAGTGGGGTCATTGTCAAGTTTCTCTACGGTGGTGTTTATGCCAGCATAGTTAACTTGGAAAGAAGGATCGCCGCGTATTCGCGGGTCTTCTTCAATATCTATGTTTGGATCCAAATCAAATTCGGAAGGCTGGGCTCTTACTGGAGATTTTGAAGCTCCAGAAGGTTTGTCCGTATCCCCCGGTGGTGGAATATTCTTGTCTTTATTGCTATCAACATCCATTGGTTGAGCACTATCTTCGTGACCCGCAGCTATTTCTGGGGTATTCGCTCTGACAGGTGATGCAGAACGGGCTCTTTTACGGCTTCTCTCTTCAACAGGCTCAGGAGATCGATCACGTTTACGAACATTTTGAGGTAGTAGTGTCTGTTCTCCCTCTTTACCACTAACGGCTGCCCTCTTTCGTGCCATTTCCGCAGCTATTTTAGCTCTCTTCTCTGCACGTTGTTTGGCTATTCTACGGTCTTCTTCTTCCTCCTCTTCAATTTGAAGACGGATTTCCTCTGCTTCAGCAGCCTCAATATCAATCAGTAACTGCTTTCTGGCTGCTTCTGCGGCCTCTGCTTGTCTCTGCATCTCGACTTGTCTCTCATATTCCAATCGTTGTTTCTCTCTCGCTTCTTGACTCTTCGCGCTGTCGGGAAATAGGAAGAAGCGTTTAAGCCATTTATCTGCTCTGGCTCGCAACGTCTCAGGCTGATCTGCGGGCGGCTTGTATACCTTGAGGCTCAGATCTGAGGGAGTGTAGTCATTAGGTTGCAATTCTTCCTGTGGTTCAAGAATTACGGCGGGATCACCCGGATTATATCGCACTTCTCCTGGCAAACGTTGTCTGTCAACGAGGTTCAATGCCTTGCCACTCAATGCTTGGAGTTCCTTTGCATCAATTCGATCCCTGGGGTGATATGAGAGGCATTGTAGAATTGTCCGAATAAGCGTTTTCGAATACTCCTGTTGTGTTGCGATAGGCTCTGTTATTAGATCTGCACCAAAATGAAGCTTCAGCCCTTGATCAGTAGGCGAGTCGGAGATGCCGATGTTCCAAGCACTTTCCCCGAGTTCTCTTCCTGTTATCATGTAATATAGCAGCGCACCTATTCCAAAAATATTACAAGGTGTACCAATGCTACGTCCCTCCATGCCGGGATATTTTTGCTCCTGATAAAAATGTAAGCGCGGGATCTCGTCATCAGGTGGTAATTACAAACCGGAGTTGCCCACTTTGGATCAGCACGTCCTCGGATACGAAACATCCAAATTTTATCCATAGGGTCGCTGGGAACTACTGCTGCATTTTCGAATTTCCCAAGCTATAATCACATTAGTGCCATTCTCTCACATGGATGCTTTTACGTACTAAAAACATTGTGCCAGTACTGTCATGCTCTCTGCTAACAGCCATTTTACAAAATACTAGATGACTTAATGCCTGTGACTGCCTCAAAAGATGATGAAATGCTTACTACTTTCCGGTCTTATATCGAGATGAACAACTGATTGATATTGTTCTCGGCCTCGATGATTTGCATCTTCCGTATGACCGTGCTCTAGTCTCATACAGATCTTCGCCATACAACCCATAACGCTCCATAGATCATTCTCTGAAAGATATTGTTCGCTAGGAAGACTCATTAGAGAGTGGAAAAACTAATAATTCAAAAGACTTACGCAAAATTGTTCTCTAGCCACTGATTGAGATTTCCTTGGTCATAATAGGTTGTGTATGTCCTTCCAACTGTTTCAGGGGCAAACTCGTAAACATACGCAGGATCGAAGTTATCATCCGCACCAGTACCCGCGTCTTCTTCGTATGGCCTAGTCGGTAGAATTATATGATCGGCATCGCGACCATGAGGTTCTCGTACGTGATCGAGAATGGACGCACCATTTTGTAGCCTTGCTTTTGCTTGAGCACTGGATGCTTGTTTTACAACAACTCTCTGATAACGTATAATATGACCATGGTCCTCGGTACGCCCCTTCTTGAAGACCGCAATGCCCTTCCCTAAAAGCTTGTCCGGGATCCATCTAGAAATGGGCAAAGTGTCGGCGGCCGCATTGATGTTCCATCCATAAACGCGATTCATCCATTCCTCCCCTCGTTTCTGATCCTTTTCAAAATCGGAGAATTTCTCCCACTCTTCAGTGGTTGGAGGTTTCCTCACACCCCTAAGGCCTCCCGGATTAAATCTATTGGGAGTAACGGCAGCCATGTCTTTGCGCAAATCTAGAAGAAAAGTTAAACTGCAAGCTCCCCTCTTAGATATTCTTAGAGAGCCATCGATAATGGAATTGATATTGGCCATGCATTATAACAAATCAATGAAAATTTAGCGAACAAAGGTCTTGAACTTGAAGGAAAGAAAACTGCAAATGAAAGAAAGAATTCTCTTTTCTTTACATTGTGATCTGAACCCGCATTAGGAAATTTCAATGAGGAGATAGAAGTTTGTCGAACAATAAATTCCACCGGAATTGGATGATTCTCAACCGGTGTCCATTTTTGTTGGTAAACATTCGTTCGATCAACATAAGTAACATTATCTGATTGGTGGACTCAAACTTTCAGACTAATTGAAGAACACTCCATGGACTATACATTGCTCGCATGTTGCATCCTGATTTGGATGAGCACAACCACTCGCCGTGCCAGAATTTCATTTGGACGAAGGAAATTACTCATTCTGAAATTGGGTTCATCTTAACATACGCACTCGCTGTATGTGAAACGATATACAAATCAAATAACTAACAAAGACATGATACGATGTTGATTCAATTCGAATGGCGTGTGTAATGGAGGTTTGAAAAAGTTGTAGTTGAGTTGAGGTCTTCGTGGGGGTTTCAAAGCTGTTCTGAATGGGGTTAGTACTCGACGAGTGATCTGATTGGACTTATCGAGGGCCATTCCGATCGAGAAGGCAGGTATTGTTGTTTTACCTCGTGACATGTCATTTCTGCCTCTAAAGTAACATTTGCTTCACTTCCAATTGTTGTAATCTTCTGGAATTGGGTTTGTTTATTAACTACTAGGTAGACTTTAAATTACTACAACTCCCCACCGAAACCCAATCATCAGATTTACCAGCGCAAAGATCAACCCCGTGCAACAAATTATCACCAAACTTATTAACCCGATCCCTCACCCAGCAATCCCACATCTGTGCTGTTCAAGCTAAACTTGTACTTCGCCTCCAAAACATATGGGCCATCTTCTGGACCCCAGATTTGTTTTCTGCCCCATTCAGGCTGATTGATACCATCAATCCAGTCCTCAACTTCCATGACCACACATCCATATTGCTGGATTGTACGTGGTCTATCTGAAACATTGAAAAGTCCTTGGGTTTCTTTGAGAGCCATGGATCCGTTTTGTCCTCCGCAGGAGTATACCTGGAAAGCATCTTGGTCGCTGTAGACATCGACTTGGATACCAGACCAAGCGGAACGGAGACGTGCAACGGGAGATGTGTGCCATGCAGCGCGAGTGGATGGATCACGGTTGGTAATATAGGCTGTATCATAGCCGGTACAGTTTGCGCCACAATTTCCTAGTAAATCTGGGTTGGAAAAGTTGGCTCCAATTTGTTTTGGAGTGCTCCAGAAATCGTTAAGTGATTGGGGTTGATTCGCGACAATGTCTCCAGTTGGAATGAGGATACTGTCTGTTCCGATTCGTTGTCCACCGTAGGGTAGATAGAGAGAGTGGTTGAGAGCAGTGGCCGTCTCGTTGTTGGCGAAGCCATCGAGGTTCCAGTATGTCTGTTGATATGTTAGACACTCGACAAAGAAAACAATAAAATTGTTTGGAACAGAAATAAACTACATACGTGCGAACTCAACATAATAGGAGTCTTCTTGGTGGTAGCAATAGCAATCATCTTGAATGACCAGGTCATGTTAGTCAAAGTGTAAGTGACATAACTAACAACCTCTCCTGGAAATCCTTGATCTCCATCTGGATCTGTGAATCTCGATATTAGTAAACCATGAAGATCCGAAATCTAAAACTAGAGGAAACTCACCAGTCAAACTGAATGTAATGGAACTCGTGGTATGAGCAACCACAGTCCAATTTCTCCAATCCCAACCATCTGGACCACCATGCAACGTATCAACTCCCGCCGGGTTATCCGCTGTCGGATTTTCATTCGGCAATACATTATACGTCTCTCCATCAATAACAAAACTCGAATTCTTAATACGATTTGCGTATCTTCCTGGTACACCACCAAAATGTGGATGTTGTCTATCTACTCCATAATAGCTTGCATTATCGAAACCTCCGACGATATCACGCTCGATACCAGAGGTATCGTTGATGAAGAGATTGGAGATGGATGCACCATAGGCGATGAAGTTTGCACGGATACCCGGAGCAGAGAGCTCGTATTTGCCATTGGCGTTGGGACCGAGGGAAGAGCCCGCGATGGTGCTATTTCCAGCTACTCCAGTGTAAGATTCACCGGGAGATTGAGCTGCAGTCAGGCCTGCTAGCGCGCCAAAGAGTATTGTCGATATCATATTCATTGGCGTCATATTGTAGAGTTGTTTTACTGGCAAACGACTGTTCAATTGGATGTGGAAGTAACAGCTTAAGAAGTGGCGTGGCTGCGATGAAGGAGCAGCTTTGGTGATGTAAAAGACGATGTTGTTTTCGGGGGGAGAGGCTTAGGAATATAAGACTATGTCGATTAAGCCGTAGATCGCCGTCTCCACAGTGAATTTAATCCAATCACTCAGCTATCTGGAGTGAATGATCAAAGAAGCTTCCGGTTGACGATATTCTCAATTGACCCGACGTCTAATGTGCACAGGATACTTTCTCGAAGCGTTGCGTCGCGTACTAGAATCGCACGTCAATCAACAAACACAAAAGTTTCCGAACAAAGGCAACCAAGCAATTGTTTGACAACTCGTCCTGAAATATGAGCGGGAATTACAACTCTTATATCGCATTGATACCCTAGCTATACGACTGTGGTTACTGCCTCACATGCATCTAACTACATCTACTTCTACCTATCCATAACACCACATATTTCTCCATAGACTAGCATGCAGTGAAAGCTAATCCTAGACAATTCACCTCTTCCCATTCACTTCATTCGTTAATTCATCGTTTCCTCCGACCAAATGATGCGGGGATATAATCGCTCACCTTGTACTGCAGCTGGTCGGTCAAAAGACAGACGTAGGACTAACCGTTTATACTTTCCTCTCCGACCTTCCCAGCCTGCTGCTATAAATCCTTTCCCCGGATCCCGAATTATCAATACACAAACAAGTTCCTATTTAACCATATAAATGAATCCAGGTACAATCCTTGGCTTACCTTGAAATCGTCACGCAAAAGCTTGACTCCTTCTCCTTGTTCCTGCCCATCCCAATTCTAAAATTTCATGTCGTCCCGATCCCAAGATTGTGAGTGGTGCGTTTAAACTTCCTCCCGCCATCTTTGTACTGTTTACTGGTCATCCTCGGTACTAAAGAATGCGGGGTTTGCCCAACCTTGTGTCGAGATACTGGGGACCCCAGATCACGCCAGCTACCAACAATTATTAGATTATAGAGAAGCTTTCATCCGTATATCTGAATGGCCAGCATTCCGTTCACATGTCCGTTTGGCATATTAGTGACCTGAAGCTTGTATCCCCGCATCTCTTCCCCTGTACTATTCGCGCGCATAAACTCCCCATCTTTTCTTTCTACCGTCCACGGAAAATCTTCTGACCGATAGGTCAGCGCGATCCAACAATTTGTACCCCATATGCCATGTACCTAGATATGCAGGTATGCGTTCATATACTTGTTATTGATGTTGTATCGCATGAGCGTCGTACCACACTGGCTTACGTGATAGTTGGAATGATGGACGAGACGAGTGACTTTTACTTACAATACCACCTGCAGTAAGTTCTACATAAACCATGCACGTATCGAAATAGACAAATATGCTAAAAGATTCATTGTAATCCGCCGCATCAACTTTCATTCTTTATAATATCTACACAGGCGCGCTCGATTCAAACAAAGCAAAGGATTTCCGAGAGATATATTTGACAAGACTAAACACGCCCTTATACACCTCTAGAACTAACTCTCCACTACACCTTCCCACCCAGCATATTCATGCTCATGCATCAATCAAATTCTCCTCTTGCCCATCTTTCGCCTTGCCTTCCTCACTGTTGTCCTTTGTATCCTTGTTGCCAGCACGTCCCTTGCCCTTGCGGTCAGCTGCAGATCGTTGGTAAAACTCGGCCAAAACCTTTTGTGGGATACGGTTGAGCAATTCCTTGGGGTAAATGCGGAGTAAGCTCCATGCTTGATCGAGAGATTCATAAATGGTTCTGGATTCGTAGGCAGATTGTGAAATAAAAGTACGCTCGAATTTCTCCAAGAACTCCAAAGATAGCTTATCCTCTGAAGACAAAGCCTCTTCACCAACGACAGCCTTCATTGATGCTGCATCACGACCAATGGCATATTTAGCGTACAACTGGTTAGAAACATCACCATGATCCTTTCTAGTGAGCTTCTCTCCGATAGCAGACTTCATAAGACGAGAGAGCGATGGCAAAACGTTGATGGGTGGGTAAATACCACGATTGTGTAATTGACGATCGATGAAAATTTGTCCCTCAGTAATATAACCAGTCAAATCGGGAATAGGGTGAGTAATATCGTCGTTAGGCATAGTCAAGATAGGAATTTGAGTAATGGATCCGTTTCGACCTTGGACACGACCGGCACGTTCATAGATGGTGGACAAATCCGTGTACATGTAACCTGGGTATCCACGACGACCTGGGACTTCTTCACGAGCAGCTGAAACCTCACGAAGGGCATCACAGTATGCGGTCAAATCTGTAAGAATAACCAAACAATGCTTCTCCAATTGGTAGGCGTAGTATTCGGCGGTGGTAAGGGCAAGACGAGGAGTAATGATACGTTCAATCCTATGAAATATTAGTCTGGTGGCCTACAGTGACAGAATTACATAACACTTACGTAGGGTCGTTAGCCAAATTCAAGAAGAGAGTGACACGCTCAAGACTTCCGTTCTCTTCGAAATCCCGGGTGAAGAAACGCGCAGTTTCCAAGTTGACACCCATAGCTGCGAAAACAATCGAGAAGTTCTCCTCATGTCCATCGTGTGTGCCTTTGTTTGTGACACCTTGTTTCTGAACCAAACCAGCTTGTCTACAAATTTGAGCGGCGATTTCGTTATGCGGTAAACCTGCGGCAGAGAAAATAGGGATCTTTTGTCCACGAGCAATGGAGTTCATCGTATCGATGGCAGAGATACCAGTTGAAATCATTTCTTCGGGGTATACCTAATATAGATTAGCCAAGAATGCGAAATCCAACATGCTCGTCTTACTCTTGAATATGGATTGATAGGACTTCCGTTGATGTCCAAATAATCTTCTGCCAACACCTTTGGTCCCTTATCAATCGCTCTTCCAGATCCGTCGAAAATTCGACCTAACATATCCTCAGAAACACCGAGTTTCAGACTATGTCCTGTGAATTCGACGGTAGACTATCAAATCATTAGCAATAGTCGCAGATATTGCTTTAAGAATATTGCCATACCTTCTTCACATCGATACCGTGAGTGCCCTCGAAAACCTAGCCGCTGGTTAGTATAAGTGTTGGTTTACGTCGAATTCTCAATTTCGTACTTGGACAACTGCTCGATCACCTGTAAATTTATAAAATTAGCAAGTAATTCAACACGATCAATGGCACAAGCATCGCATACCTCTAGCTTCCAACACTTGTCCTGACCTCTGTGTGCCATCAGGTAGCGTCAAGCTAACAATCTCATTGTATCTTGGAAATTTGACCTGCGACTTTATCAGAATACGCTCAAAGACCCCCTATCTATCGTCCTCCACACTCACATTCTCCAAAATAACCAAAGGACCATTGATACCACCGATAGTGTTATACCTGATTCGAGGCGTAACACTGTACGACGACGACTCTCTTGGATCTCCCATTGTGGCGATCTGGTAAGCGATTTAATCGAGTTGTAAAAAAGATAATTAAAGAATATGCTTCAGCTCATAAGAAGCTCCAGCGATGGTTATGCTGGTTGGTTTCGTAGATGACGAGCTTGGTTTGTTTGAGAGGTTGGAGAGCTTGAGATGCTTCAAAGTGGAGCTTAGCTTGTTTGAATCGAGGCAATTGCGATAAGCGACAAGGTTGGTCAGTATCACGTGATAAACTTGCTCCTGGCGGCAAGTCCAAGTGCCAAGTTCTCTCTTCATTTGGGTTAAGGAATCAATGAAAAGGCACTTTAAAGTAGGCAGTAAATGCTATTTATATTTATTTGAGGCCGTTATATCACTCAGCAAGTCGTATGGCAGTAAGCAATGCTATGCATGAACTATTTCACAATCGTGCTCCGTTTTCCCCAATTCCCACCGAACGCCAGTCATCCATCTCAATTTGTCATGGAACAGTTTTGAACCTTCTGAAGGTACCCATCGCGTTAGTTATGTATATCATTTACGACTTCTTGCACCAATCACTGCCTTTCCAACGCTGCTTGCATTCGGCTTCCCGATCTCCCCAGTAATCCATTGTCCAATATCAGCCAATGCATCTAAATCAACACCAGTCTGCATCCCCATGCTCTCTAATAGGTAGACCATATCTTCCGTGGCTACATTTCCAGTAGCCCCAGGACTATACGGACACCCACCTAGCCCCCCAACACTACTATCGAAAGTTCTAATGCCGTGTTCCAAGCTTACAACAGTGTTGATCAACGCCTGTCCATATGTATCATGAAAGTGCATCGCGATATCCTCATTCAGTATTCCAGCTGATTGCATGGTACGTAAAAGTTTTTGAGTCTTAGGTCCTGTACCCATTCCAGTTGTATCTCCAAGATCAATCTCATCTGCTCCCATTTCCAATAATTCCGTCGCTATTTCCGCCACTCGGTGGGGATCTACATTATCGCCTTCGAATGGACAACCCAGCACGACTGATATGTAGGCACGAACTCGCATTCCGGCTGCCTTTGCACCTTGTATGACTTCTTCAAATCGTTTTAATGATGTAGCGATGTCACAATTAAGGTTCTTTTGTGAAAATGACTCGGTTGCTGCTGCAAAAACGGCCATCTCAATGTATGGCCTGTTGGGAGACGACTTGAGATTCTCCGGGCCATCATCAAGAGGTACGTCGGCAGTATTGTATGCATTTCGATTTTGAGACAGGATATCCAGGGCTTTGACAAGACCCTTCCTATTAGGTGCCAGGAAGGAGTATCTGAGTGGACTGGTCGATTCATTATGTTTTTGCAGAACATGTTCGAGAATCTCACTCGCATCTGCCATCTGCCAAAATTCTATAGTCAGTTACCGTTGATCTAACTTTCAGGACTCAGCTTACTTGTGGCACCCATTTCGGCGCAACGAAAGAACCAGCTTCAATATCTTGTAGGCCCGTCTTTGCAAGCCTTTCAATCAACCTGATTTTCGTTGCCAAAGGTATAACTGTTTTCTCATTCTGTAAACCATCTCGGGGTCCAACTTCCACTAATTTCACCCGATTGTCACCATGTTGTTGATTCCCATTTGTTTCACCTACCAGAGGATCGACTGCTGTTGCGAGGCGTCGCAATTGATGAAGCTGTACGCTAGCATTTCGGCATCGAAATATGCGCCGTGATAACATCATGAATAAATTTGCATTGTTCAATTTACTTATTACTGGTGGTTTTGTTTTGGAAGGAGAGCTTGATGGTTCGTCTGGGGAATTGTGCGGGGAGAGCTTGATATATGGGCCGATGTTTAGCCGACAGATTTCTGGTACGGACCAGCCAATAGAGAAGAGAGGACTAGCATTTTATCTCCCATAATATTCCGCGAATAACCGCCCAGTTCTTCGAGTAGACTCTGGCACTACTTGTGTCTCCTTGCAAGATTGTAATAGCCTCTATATTGATGAATAATGTACATAATCGTGAATTGCCCTCGAATTTTGTATATTCGATCCCCCTTCACTGGATCTACTATTAGAGACGAGTCAATAAGTACTCGATATCTATCGTTAGAAGTCACACATATCACATACAAAAGCAAGTAACATCAAGATTAAAAAGGTATAAAAGTTCTATTTTCCATTTTCCATATCCATTAACTATAGTTAAACGCTTCAAAGTATCTCAAGAAACTCCCCCCAAAAGTTCAGCCAATCACCCATTACATCATTGCCGCACCATCGATACCAATAACCTTTCCGTTAACCCATTCACCATCTTGACTCGCCAAGAAGCAGACAACTCTGGCAATATCGATGGGAAGACCGACTCTGTGGAGCGGCGACCAGGTAGCGGCATACTCATCGACTTCCTCATCGCTGAGGTTGGCACCGTTGGGAATGTATTCGCGGCAGACTTTGTGGTACATGTCGGTACGGATTCCACCGGGAGCAATGCAGTTGACGGTAATTTTCTTGTCACCAAAGTCTGAAGGATTGTTAGTACGGTACTTGGTGTATGGGAGAAGAGACAGAAGATAAACATACCAATGGCCATGCAGCGGACAAAAGTCTCAATAGCACCCTTGGAACCAGAGTACACAGTGTGTTGAGGAACACCCTTAGCTTGACCAGTGATGGAACCCATCATGATCAAACGACCTCCAACTTCCAAATTCTTGTAAGCCTCTCTGGCAACGAAGAATTGACCTCTAGTGTTGATGTTCATAACACGGTCGTATTCCTCCTCAGTGACATCCTTGATATGTCCAAAGGTAACGACACCAGAGTTGGAGCAAACAATGTCGAGTTTACCCCATTGCTTCTTGGCTTGAGCAAAAAGGTTGATGATATCAGAGACGACGGAAACATTTCCTTGGAGGGCAACTGCCTCGGAACCGGCCTTCTTGATAGTGTTGACGACTTCTTGGGCAGCGACATCAGAGTTGGCGTAGTTTACAATGACCTTTGCGCCGCGACGACCGAGCTCACAGGCCATTTCGGCACCGATACCACGACCTGGTTCGCAATGTTAGAATAGAATTTGAGGAGGAAAGGTAAGATTGCATACCTGATCCAGTAACCAAAGCAACTTTGCCCTTCAAGCTGGCGCTCTCGAGACCGAGAGGACCTGGGACCTTTGTGTAATCAACCTTCTCCTTAGTGCCATTGGCGGCTCCGTTTGATCCGTTTGTAGCAGACATTTTGATTGATGTTTTGGAAGATTTGCTTTGTGAAAAGAGTACGTGAAAAGAATGGGTATCAAGAGTATTGCAAGATTAAAGCAGAAGACAATGAAGTAAAGATAATGATAATAAAGATTCTACTTCCTGAGAACTTACGGTCTCTATATATCATTTTTATGCAGCTAAAAATATCAACAACACAAGTCAAGTGAAGTCAAAGCAGACCTAAGGTAAGCCGTCACCTCAATGCGTAAACACAAGGATTGACACTTTCCATATCTGATCTCGCTCTATTCAAAGTCCGTGAGAAGCGAGCTTGCGAATAAGACTATAATTTCCTGCATATTAGAAAGTGTCCGTCGAACAGCGATGATCGTGCTGGACGTGCTGATACATATGCGATGCGAAGAATAGTATGGCTTGTGGTGTCAAAGTTTGGATGGTTTTGCGGCTGATGTGGCGGATCCGAGATGTGATGTTGTGCCGCCATGCCGAAATAGTAAAGTAGTTTACGGACTTCCAGCTTCAAATTGATGAATTGATAGATAAATGGTGAGGTAAGATTCCAATCATTAAGCCATGGCATATTATTGCTGGGGAAGTGATAATACAAGATGTAATCAGCTCGGCTTTTCCATATTGCAGAGTAACCGAGGTCACTCTGCAAAAGCCCCTTCATCGACGTGAACGAGAGAATTTGATCATTGGATATCCATATACTGACTATCTGTAGACTAGAAAAGAGTATACAACTGTCAATGTCGTGTACTGAATAAAAACAAAATAAAACTCCATTTTTCCTGTAGGGTCAAAGATAGAAGTTAGCGGGGGTCGATCATAGTCCGTGCATGGGTCCATTCCCACATGTATTATCCAATAAATAAGCTAATCAATGTTTCATGTATCAAGACCTTCTCTTTGGCTCTTCAAATGACTTGGTTTGGGTCAAACGCCCGCACCATCCTGTGGGGTTGTCCGATCAATTGAAGTTATGACAAGCACCACGCACTACACACTACTCGGATACACACTACTCGGATTGTTCGTCAAACGCGAAGACCGAAACCGAAAGAGAAAGAGAGGAAATGGAAGAGGTATGTTTCATGAGATGGCATTTTTGATGACGTTTGTTGTGATTTGGGTGTATTCTTCTTGCGATGCTATATTTCGTCATGTTTAGTTGCAAGGTGAAGTTAGAAAATTGTCGAGCTCCTCCATTCGAGACATTCATCCATAGCTGCAATTCCTCAAAAGTCATGTCTGTCATCTTCGATCCTTTGGCACCAGAGGCTGTGGTTCAATACAAAACATGAACGCCCCGGTTGTCTAACTTAGTGTATTAATATGATATAAGTAGATGCAAGCCAAAGAGCTCGAGTCGCGATACTTCGGGCTTCGTGTGTTCGTGTCATCAGCGCCTAAATACTCCGTAGTCTTGAATGATCCGAGCCCACGTCCACGTCCATTAGCACGGCCCTACGCTTCGGGTGCTAAGTACTATGCACACGACGAGATTCGAGCTTTCTTCTTCTAGAAGTCTCTTATAGAAGCTCTAGGTAATCAGACGACTTCTTTCATTCGTTTGACTTTGCCCTCTCCCGTATTTGAACTTGGCAACGCTGGGCGATGCTGGGCGGTGGAAATTGCCACGTGACGTGTGTCTTGGAGGACATCTAACTGGATTCCTAGGGAATTGGAGCTGTTTATGATGTGTAGACGACGTGTAAACCGGTTCATTTCAAAACTTTGAAGTAGTGTGTTGTTCAAACTTCACACAACTGTTGGCTCTGGATATATTGTGAAATATGGCTGACGCGTCTCATGAAAGCGTGATTTAACCCGACCATCTGGGAAAATCTCAACTGGTGCCCGTCGTCCCTCTTCAATGATTTCGATTTCGATTACACAAGGTTATCTTGGAGGTATAGATCGCCCACAACGTCATCGGTTGGTATGACTGTAGACGCGTTGGCGACACAACCGTCGTACGATGATACACATCGCGGCAATTCTGTCAAACAAGACACAAAAGATCAATCTGACGTAGAGAAATGGAGGCTAATAAACAAATAGTGTATTTTTGGTATCGTAATGTAGAACCAATCAGATATCCTAGTGCTGGTATATAGAAGTATGAAGAATAAATCCGTCTTCATGTGCTTTTGAAAATCCCCACCCATGGTCCAGTTCCCCCTGAAAAAAATCCTGCGATTGTTCATGTTTCGTTCGGGAAGGGCTTTCTACCCCATACAACATAACTACAAGGATTAGCATGGCATGATTTATGTGAAGATTAGAACTCACACAGGAATATATGCGTGGATATTCCTATTCCTCCCAGATTCCTTTGCGCTGAGAAGTAATTCCTTGACCTCTGCCTCATCCATATTTGTTCCCTCTACTACAGTCCGCGCGGTTGAATACAGCCATCGCTTTATGTCCTTTTGCATAAATGCACCAATTCTCTTCTCTTTTGCTCCTATCGGCCAATCATTTATCGGATTGTGGTAGATTGTCTCTGTTACCTCTTCGAACCCAATATCTTCCAACCACTCCATGTATTTGGGAATATTAGTCCAAGGTCTTTTGCCGACCTCGGCAGCTTCAACGCATGTCTGGAACCATTTGGCAATTCCACTACTTTCCATTGAGTCGTCAATGGCATCTAGCGGCAGTTTCGCATCAAGAATCTGGAAATAACCGCCAGGCGCAAGAGCATTATAAGCCGATCTGAAGACCTCTTTCTGGTCAGTGAAACACATCATCAGATCACGCATGTGGATGAAATCAAATTCTTGTTCAAAGTCCCAAGTTTCTTCGGCATCAGCAACAACGAATTTGCAATTTTCGGGTGTACTGTTATATATTTAGCCAAAACTCGTTAGTGTTGAAGAATTAACTTACCTTTCACGTGTCGAAGGGCTAAGGTCGGTTCCAATGACTTGCGTATTTGGGTACTCAGTAGCTGTCCTGGTTAGATTTGAATTCCGACAATTAAGCTTGCTATTACCTACCAAATTCAACTGCCCATATCCCATGTCCAGTCCCAACACTAAGCAGTAGTTAGTAACTGTAATTTATAGTTTCAAGATGGAGAATTCTATGATGATGTATCCGAGTGTAGCAAGACACAATCGGCGACTGAGTGATGGGGAACACGGGATCAAAAAATGATGGGCTTTACTGACTCTAGGACATGCTTCACCTTTTCTGGATTTATGGGTGCTAAGAATATGTTTTCATCCAGCATAGCTTTCAGCATCTGGTGCTGAAGATCTAGTCAAAGTGAGCTTCTGTACACCAAAACAAACACTCATATATGGTCAGAATGTACTCACCTAATCTATCTTGTTCGAACTAGCAAAGTACATCTTTCAGCCAGGGCATTCTTCGAGTTGGGGCACAACTCTTACCTTATCGATAGGTAATTTATATTCTACGAGGGTTACGTTAATATCCTGCATGGTGCTATGTACGGAGGATAAGACGTAAGACTTACTTGTATCTTTATCTTCATGAAACGTCCTCGTTGTATCCGCGCCATATTCTTCTTCACTATCGGAGTAATATGTATCGGCAACCTTGAAAGCATTAGCACGTCCTGCATATATTATGTAGCTGAACAAATCCGGAGGCTACGAACCGCGGGATCAACTTCTAGCTCAACGGCCGTCGTTTCTGTAACCACAATATCAAACCCGAACATGACGGCGAATTTTGTGTGTACTTCGTATTAATGACTAAAACAGCGTGCAGAAGTAACTTTTTGGAGGGAACACTTGATATGTATGAATGATATTGTGGATGCAAGAGTTTAAGAAGTTGACGATGTTTATCAAAGGTGGGATTTCAAGCCAATTTTCCAACGATTAGAGCAAGCGATGAAGATCCCCAAAATGAAAATATCGAATTCTAATTTCTCTTACTCCCACTTTGCACACGCAGCAAAAATAGAGTTTGAAGCTTTTGTGGTTCTCGAACGCTACCGATAAAAATATGTAAGACTGGCAACAGTACTGACCACTGTTCGCAATGCAATTAAGATCGAACATCGGTACTGTACTTACTGTATTTCAATCAATATTTGTGCCGTCTATGAAGAGACGTAACTTCCCGTAACCCTGGTTCCGGGGATGTATTTCCTTGCACCCCATGGTTCAAATTCGGTACTTGGCGTGGGCACAACGGACGCTCGAATCAAAATGGGCCAAAAAAATCTTGATAGATTCGTTATTTGAATTTTTGGGGATATAGACTAGTCATGTATAGACAATCTAGATACATTACTGGCCCAAGTAGTTTGCTCGTAACCGATCAAATTGTAGCCTTGAAAATTGTTTGGCGATGAGTTACGATACCACCAGCCCACCAGGTGCCATAGCACACTCACACTACAAGTTGTGGGGGCTCGAAGTTCTAATACTCAAAGTTAGGCACTAAAAGTGGAATCTATTATATATCATCTAAAAAAGACATGTAGCTAATGCTATGGCTAATGCTATGGCTAATGCTATGGATGGCTAATGCAATGTAGCAAAACGTGATCAGCCATGCTCGAGTTGTATGTATGTATTACATGTATGCATGCGAAGCAGAACGATGGAGGCTCTAATCAATCTTGCATGTCGTCGAATATATGCAGCCTCCAACTATCTAACTCTACTCGAGTAGGAGCACCTAGTCAGATAAGGCTTGTTAGGGGCTTGAATCGCTAGACCTTCCTTCTCACTAGATGCATTTGAATCACCAGAGCCACCCAAATATTTGATTGCTGTCAATTCCATTTCATTTATCTAATCGCATTAATCGCATTAAAATCGTCTAATCCACTATGGTTAACTCAATGAAGGTAAAACTAATCTATCGGATTACTGTACGATGAAATTCTTCCGGAAGGTACGGACGGAGTATACCCATCATTAGAACTGTTAATAAAGAATAAAAGCCTGAATAATCTCTTCTTTTTTTCTTCATCTCCTAACACGGGGTGATATTCTACCAAAAATGCATCATCTTATGTTCCAGTCGGAACCCTTCAGGATTCAAGCCCCGATTGTGGGCAGGACCGGTCAGCTTCGATCAATCAATTTACGGTAAAGCGCCACCATGCTGATTGCTTCCCGTCTTGTATTCTTTGAATTCGCCTCATTCTCAATCGACATGAACAACTTCACTCACAATCACGTATGTGGACAACACCATCGACTGTTTAATTGAATCTTGGCAACAAGGGAAATTTCGGGATGGATGCTTCCATGTATAGGTCTTTGACGATTGATCAATATCAAATACGAGTCGTACATCTCCTTCCAAAATTTTGCACTGAATCAGATCGTACCTTGAACGTGCATATTGAATGCGAATTGAGATGTGTAAGTTTTACCGACAGGCCTCCGTATGAAGCTTTGTCGTATCAATGGGCTTCACCACGAGATCGCCGGATGATCTTTATTAATGGGCAGAAATGTCTAGTTCGAGCCAATCTTTGGTCCGCGCTCAATCAATTAAGGAACGAACATACAGAACGGATCCTTTGGGTAGACGCACTCTGTATCAATCAATATGATACATTTGAGCGAAACCATCAAGTGGGGCAGATGAGCAAGATTTATGAACAAGCGACAAGAGTGATTTGCTGGATAGGCGTTGATGAAGGGGTAGAATTTCCTTCCGCTCACAATATCGATACGACGGAATTCGTTCCATCCATTGCGATCAGGACTCTTCAAGCTCTCAGTCGGTCAGGTAGACGATCAGACCAAAAATTACCTACCACAGGACTACCCTATTCGCTTTTGCCTTCAAGCCCAAGTCGCTCTCTGGAATCATTATGTCGATTGTTCTATCGCCCATACTGGAAACGACTTTGGATCATCCAAGAGTTGACTCTGGCCAAAGAGATATTGGTTCAGTGCGGCGAATATAATTTCGAATGGAAAGATCTCACGCGATGTTGTGATAACCTAGAACAAATCTCTGAACATTGGTTGACTATTCGAGACAAAAAAGTATACAGATTAGTCTGTAAAATCAAGGATAGTATCCCATGCCGGTTACACCGGCAAAGGAAGGAGAGACAAACGCACGGGGAGCAAGCACATCCACTTCTTGAGCTCCTCTTTACATACAGCGAAGCACAATGCGAAGATATTCGTGATAAAGTTTTCGGACTGCATAGTCTTGCCCATGACTGCTGTAAACGAGAAATACCTGTCGACTATGGAATCTCGATCCTGGAGATATGCTCAAGGGTTCTAAACCATCATTTTTCCGAGCACCAGTCACCGCTATTTTACACAGCTAGGCATACGACCGCGGCGCTACATAGGCTTCTAAAAGCGCCCAGACCAGATGAATATTTGCAGCGGAAAATGCTAAATTATACAGCCAAAGCTACACTGAAATTCAATGGTACTCTAGAGGGCACCATCTCATGGCTAAGTCCCGCATCTGATGATCTACCACTTACAGAATGGGTTCTACCCCATCAAGGCCATGAAACGATTATCACAGAAGTCGCTCAGATCCATGAAAAAATGAACGAATTCGGATTCACAAAAAATCTAGACACATACCGGCTCTCCCACATCGGCCTTGCCAAATATAGCCGCGCAATTCCACAAGGTAATTCGTATATCGAACTAGACTCGCCCATCACAAACAACATTTCCAGCCCAAGCGAAAAGCCACCTTCAAGTTCTTCCAACCTCGGGAACAAACTCTTGGGCTTCGCAAGTAGCAAGATACAACAAGCTATCAAATGGCGAGATCTCGATATTATGTTTCGTAAAAGCCTTGATTGGACTCCAATTATTGGAGGAACGGGCAGTAAAAATCGTGTGCGCATATCTATTTCTAGTGAAAATTTGCTGCATTATGTACCAGATAATGCAGGCACGGGTGATCTGATGTGTCAAATTGATGATAGTGATACGATACTAATATTGAGATGGGATGCTAATGGAAAGGAGGGGAATGGTAGGTATGTGGTTGTGGGAAGAGCAAGCGAGGTACCGCATGCGGGGAGGAGGGAACAGGAAATCTCGAGGTACGGAGCGAGGGAAAGGGTGAGAGTTTGGTTGGATGCTCCGACGTTGCAACTGTTGAGTTGGGAGGAGGGCTAGTTTATGAGAGATTTGCTTTGGGTATTTGGCTTGAGATATCTGATTCCTGGCTTTCAGCGGGATATGACTATTATATGTACTCTAATGATTGATGAAATAAGGCTTGGGGGAAAGTGTCAGTCAATCAGTGAATATTGGAAGCGGTGTTTACGTCAGGGTGAAAGTTCACAATTTTTCACTCAACAAATTATGCCTCACATTTCTCGTAACAAAGTCAAGAAATGAGAATATGCTGCAAAACCCCCCACCCTTCGTGGAGCATTCCTTCTGGCATTTTACCAATAACATCTCCCCACTACAACACCATACAACATATATCCAAATCCCACCCATCCCCCAACCCAACACTCTTAAACAGACCTACCAACAGCAATACCAAGCTACAAAGATAAAAATAAAAACGTCCACAATCTCACATATAAACATTCCAACAGTTACCAGTTATCCACTAACCATATTTAGTCGCTCGAAAATAAATAAGATGACCTAAATATAAACCTAGTATTAGAGTGTTAGGATATCGGAGTATCGCATTAGTACCCCATAGTCAGACGAGATATCGTTGGCTAGGTACCTAACGTAGGTAACATAACATACAGTTTATTGACTTGCTGACACTGCGCATGTGGAAAGAGAGGGAATATGCTGTATTTGTAGGAGGGTAGTAGTAATAGAGTGAAATATATATCCCACCAATCTCTCCAGGGTGGAGTAAAATACATGTTCCCTACCGTTCCGTGTCATCCACAACCAAGCAACCCCCCTCCAAAAAATGACCACCACCCCCTCCACACTCTCAAAACCGTCCACCCCTCCCCCTCATAGTCCTACAAACCGCCTCCTTCACCGTCCCCCCCAGCCCCGCCTCGCAACTCTTCTACGCCCCTCTCACCCCCACCCCCCCTCGCCCGCCGCGACGCCATCCGCGTGCTCACATCTCGATCATGGATGCGTCACTCGCTCGATAAATACAGTCGCTAGCTCTACGTAACGGACCCCAACGATTAAGACAAAATCGTGGGTGGAGGGTGTTGGCGGATTGTTGTTGAAGATGAGAATGCTAATGGGGATAGAGGTGAAGAAGCAGTTGATCCGTGGTAAATCCCGGAGGGAGAGAAGAGAGAATATGCAAAGGGGACTTTTGAGATTTGGGCGAAGATTAAGAGGAGAGGGAGAGGTGCGCATTGTGCTATGTTGGTTCTTATGTTTTGGGTGTTCCATCTTGCTATATGATGAGATGAGAGTGAAAAAATGGAAAAGCAACTAGTACAAACCCAGCCGTCGAAGTTATCTTCACCTCTCCTTCTCATCGCCATCTCGGAATCGGTAATTTGATTCTATCGCGGGGTACTTAGAAAGCGGATCAATTCGGTTTAGATTGTTGTGTGGAGGGATATGTTTCTTTATATACCACGCGAGGGTTTGAGAGGATTCGGGATGTGGAAGTTGAGCCGTACAAAGAAGAACATTTGAAGAGCGAGGAGTGGGAAAAATTTGATGAGGAGCTGGTGGAGGTTTTGACGGTTATGCGGAAGCCTTGTAGGAAGGTTTGATGATAGATTAGGAGAGACTGGTTATGGTTGGTTGTGGTGAGTTGCAGATTGAAGGTTGCGAGAGAGAAATTCTGACTGATCTGGCGAGAGTGAATATTGAATCTTTGTTAGCCGATGCACTTTACACTTGCGATAACGAGAACTCTAGGTGCCGTGAAATCAATAACAGAGATTGTTAGTAACAAGTGTTGTGTTCTCGTCGGACGATGAGGGTTAACTATAACAGCATTACTTTGTCAACCCCTTGATTTATTCATAGCAAAGTACTAGACACAAGAATCCGTGAATTTTCTCATACGAATACCTAGGTAGCCTTCACCATGGTACAAAACAAGAGATGAGCTGTCTATTTGGAAATATATGCTGGTCGCAATTTATGAAAACTAAGTAATATGATGGGCTTCACAATGAGATCACAGCAGAGATTATTTACCACGGCTGGGGAAAGTGTCAAAGTCAGAAAAATCCATCAAATGAGACCAATACATACTCGCATTTAATTAACATAATTATATTGCGATAAAATGCTATCGGTAGGTATATATCAAACATTCCAACCCATTTTGTATACGCTCAACGCCACTAAACGCCGTTCTATGCTGTATGCAAGCAATCCACTTGGGTACCATAAACTTTCAACACATCATTAATTTGGCGAATCTACTTCACCGTGAACCTGGGCTCCTTGTGGCTCCTCTACTGGAGAGGTAACGATCCTCATTGCTTCGGCCAGAATGCTGAAACCCTCTTCGATTTCTTGCTCGGTGATATTCAAGCTTGGTACAAATCTCAAAGTGTTGGTTCCAGCAGTGATAATCAATAAACCTCTCTCTCTAGCAGCTGTGACGATAGGTGTAGGGTCTTGGCTAAGTTGTAATCCCAAGTGTAATCCTTTGCCCCTAATTTCTTTGACCAGTTCTGGGTACTTGGATTGTAAGGCTTGGAAATGCTTCTTAAATATTTCTGACTTCTTGAGGACATCTTTTTGTAAAGATGCATCGGATAGTCGAGAGACAATGTAATGAGCTATCCTGGATCCTAGTGGATTTCCACCAAATGTAGTTCCGTGATCACCAACCTTGATCTTTTCGGTTACATTCTTATTGACAATTGTTGCTCCAATGGGGAAACCATTTCCGAGTGCCTTGGCGGTAGTAATGATATCTGGATGAGCTGATTTTGGCAATGAAGCATGGGCCCAGAAGGTTCCAGTTCGCGAAAGTCCACATTGAATTTCATCATAAATGAGGACTGCACCAACCTCACGACAACGAGCTGCGAGTGCGGTAAGGAATTCTTCGGTGGCCACGATGACACCACCCTCTCCCTGAATTGGCTCTACTATAACACCACAGGTCTTCTCCGTAACCAAATCCTTAATAGCATCGACATCATTGTATGTTCCATATTTAAATCCAGGTAACATTGGAGAAAATGGTTTTTGATATTTAGGGTTTGGGGTGGCAGATAATGACCCCATGGTTCGACCATGGAAAGAGTTCTGAAATGAAACGACTTCATGTTTGTCTCCTGATGGATCGACGACCTTTCCGGTCTTTCTAGCAAACTTAATGGCAGCTTCATTAGCTTCACTGCCCGAGTTGCAGATGAAGACAGCTTGGGCATCGTGCATTGAATTCGATTCGAGAGTTTTTTCAATGAGAAGTTTGGAGAGGGCCCCGGTCCATGGATTATGATATAAGTTGGAAGTGTGCATAAGAGTTGTTCCCTGATGTAGTGAATGGGGTCAGATGAGTCACTTGAGGGAGAGTGAGGGGCAGAATTTACCTGTTCTAACATTATCTTTGCAATTTCTGGATCACAATGTCCTAGAGCATTGACTGCTATACCCGCTGTGAAATCCAAATATTTCCTGTTTTCCACATCCCAAAGATGGCATCCGGCTCCCTTCACAAACATTGGTGGTGGTCGGACGTAGGTGGCAACCATATATGGAGCTTGTTCTCCGATGAGATGTGCTGTTTGCGAATTTGGTGAAGGATCTGGATGCGATATATTGGCCTCACTCTAGATTTCGTGTTAGTAAAGTATGAAATTACTGGCACATCATGGAATGCCTCAATAATGTGCTTAGATTCAGCCCTTACATTTGTAGCATAGGCCATTGCTTGTGAGGCATTTCTTTGTATATAGCCATTGATCACCGGCGATACATTTCCAGCTTTCAAAGCAGCTGTCACTCTTTTTGCAGATAATCGAAGAGCCATTGTGAGTTATATGAAGAGGGAGAAAAGAAAGAATGTTGCGTTGAAAATTATATGTGACTCCCAGTAACAATGAGTCGTACTGAAAATATATATATATATATATATCAAAGGATGAAAAATGATACCGGGGAGTCAACAATCTAAGCGTTATCGGAGCTAATCATGCAATGCAAGGATAAAAAGTTTACTACGGAGTAAGTCCCCATGGAAATAGAATTTTTACCTAAATTTATTGTCAATTAATATAGAACTCTGCAACTCCCTCATTTTAAGGGCGTGAATTCTGTCATTATATACATTTTATATGTCATTGCTCTCTTCTGTTTTACAAATTTCTACCGACACCTTTCTTGACCCTGAGATATTTTCTGCCACCGCCTTATCGTTGCTCTATCTACAATGGGACTAGTGTATCCAGCCCCACCATCCAACATTAGGTGAGGGCCTCGAGGGCGTGAAGCTAGAAGATTCAGGTGGCTCAAGCAGTAAAACCACATTCATCCCTCTCCCCTCTAAATTTAAATACCCCATCAATAATATACATTGATCAAGTATCATTCCACCATACGGAGAAGAAGTAAGAGATTTGCATGACTAATATCATCTTGAGAGGGTCGGTCATGTCTTTGTGAAGAGCAACTTGAGGAAGAGGAGGTTCGAGACAAGTAGGGGCTTGCTCGTTGTGCTTCTGGGAAAGAACGTCGATCTATGATTTCCTTATACGTCTTGGCCAAGTCCTCCATCTTGTCCTTATAGAAGTCGAGATTATGGGCTCTCGATTGTGGTTGCAAAGTAACTTCCACTAGTTCTTCATCGCTGTCCTCGAAATCCGAATCATTGGCGGAGAGGTTTTCGTCTGATGAAGCTGGTGAGAACAAGCCGGTATTTGAGGTCAATTTGTTTGCTGCTCCGAGATTTTCGAGCGGTTTAGGTTTTGATTTTGAGCTACCTCTCTTTGATGATGTTGAGAATGACGCAGAAGGCGGTTCTTCTCCATAATTTGATAGGTAATGTTGGAGTTGCGGGTTTTGAGCACTCGTGGAGAATCCATTGTAGTACAATGACTCTCAAGTGACGAGTCTAGAATGAAAGTATTGGTAAATGTGAACGGAGTGAGAATTTCGTGATACCGTCTTATTATTTCTTTATACACATTTTTACCGCCGCATGACAAACAGCGTTTACCAACATATGGACTGGACCCGTCGCGACCATAGCGCTGAACAAAGACTTCAGGCTTGTACCTTCTACAGCCACAGCGTCACCTCGTATGGTTTGAGCCTTTTTCATTACTGGCTAGTGATCGAATGGAATTTAGAAGCCTTCTATAAGGGCCAGGCTTCCTGCATGCCAGAGAAGAATGTCTAGTGTTAACCGCTTTTTTTTATATGTTTCATCGATCCCGCGCGTCAATGGCGGCCTCATTGGCTTCTCTTCTTGTCAGTAGCCGCGAGTACCCATTTTTTAGTGCGGCTTTGTAGAGCTTTTCGATATTTGACCCCGGATTGCCAGACCAGCCAACCTTAAATGCTATGAGACATCTTGATATCTCATCTGGCCTGTCAAAAATTATAATTAATCGCTCGCATTGCTGGAACAAACTCATTCAGACGCTTCCTTCAGCTTCATCATCGCACATGCCAATGTAAGGATACGCCAATCACTCGACGTTTAAAGCTCGCAGAGTTGGAAGCGAATTGTAGAATGATTGGCAATTCTTATGCCTGATCTATAGACGGTCTCAGGAGCTCGAGGCGGCAATCTATCTGACAACTGAGATCTTGACCAAATGTAACTTTGGGCTAAATAAAAGAGCGGCCTGCAGGTTATGTCAGATTGATCAACAAAAAAGTATTATTAACCAGCGGAAAACTATTTATTCGCACGATCTGTTATCAACCGCATCGAAAGGTATGCTTTATCGAAAGGTATGCTGTTTGGTAACACGAGGAAAACCCGTCTTACTCCATACATGCTCTGACACAAGGCTTACCCCGCATTCACAACTTCACCTCCAATAATGCACGCTTAGCCAATTGAAAGTTGTTTCTGAATCTTCGTGCCGAGCCAAATGCCGCACAAGGTCCATTGTGGCAGCACTTGAAGTCACACTCTGTTTTACCCGGTGTAGTCACCACTTGCACATCAAGTGCTAATTCCACGCCTAATAGAAGAACAGATACCACAATCTATCATTCATATAACTATTATGTTTAGCACTTTTTTCCGATCATTCAACAACAATGCCTGCCTCGTCCAACTTTCCAATATCCTCTTCACATGAAAAACAGTCTTCGATAACGGCCAAGAAAGTAAGCACGGCCGCAATTGAAGTCTCTACTTGCCAAGTAGATCCGTCAATTGAGAAATCTCTGCTTAGGAAGCTTGATCTCCATGTTGTTCTTCCACTCATGATCTTGTTTGTTCTCGCTTTTCTCGACAGGGTCAATATTGGTAATGCAAAGATACAAGGGATGACCCAGGAGTTAAAGATGGTGGGGAATGATTTTAACGTTGCTCTCATGATTTTCTTCCCGTCGTAAGTTCCTATCTTGGCTCTTACGGACCTAGCCCTGAAACTGCAAGTCAAATTGAACTTAATACGCCCAAAGATAGATATTCCAAGTTGATTCAACAATCAAGAATATCATATTATCGAACTACGTGAATGACTACTGCTAACCAAATTTAAAGCTACATCTTCTTTGAATTTCCCTCCAATCTCATCCTTCGTCGTCTCCCACCATCACTTTGGTTGACTATTATAATGACCCTTTGGGGAATTATAACAGTTTGCCAAGGTCTAGTGCGTAGTCAGAGTGCATTGGTTGGTCTGCGGTTTCTTCTCGGACTTTTTGAGGCTGGCTTCTCTCCTGGCGCTGTCTACCTGATTTCCATGTACTACAAACGTTATGAATTACAGTGGCGCCTCAGTCTTTTCTTTGCGGCCTCGATTCTTTCTGGGGCCTTTGGAGGTCTCTTTGCTTATGCTCTAGCTCATATGGACGGCATTGGGGGCTATAGTGGCTGGCGCTGGATCTTCATAATCGAAGGGCTTCTCACCATTGTTGTTGCTCTCTCCTTCAAATTTCTGGGCATCCTAGTCGATTGGCCTGAAACTGCATCTTTCCTCACATCATCCGAACGAGAAACCTTAATCCGACGATTAAAAGATGACATGGGAGAAGATACTCAGCTTAACACGCTGAATAAAAAATCGTTGAAGAGGATCTTGGGTGATTGGAAAATTTATGTAGGAATATTCATGTACATGGGAGTTGTAAATACTGGTTATGCTACTAGTTTTTTCATTCCGACAATCATTCAGGAAATGGGATATACAGCGATTGGTAGTCAGGTAAGAACTATCCCTATATATTGTGTGGCTGCAACTACGGTATATTACCCTCAACCCTCTTGACCTTGGTATCTTTTGCATGTAAATTTTACTAAACCTGCGTATAGTGTCTTGTGATAGCGTATTTGACCGATCGTCTTCAGCATCGCTTCGGCTTCACGATGGCTGGAGTCGCGGTTGGTATCATTGGCTATGCGATCCTTCTTTGCCAGTCGCATGTCTCGACCGGTGTTAAATATATGGCTTGTTTCTTCATAACTACAGGCGGGTATATGACGCAACCAGTCACTTGGGCGTGGGTTGCTAACGTATGCCGTTTTAACTTTTTAAAATCCCCTCTCTATTGACGTTCCTACTCAATCATTCCATTCTTATCACCTCGCAAACTAAACCAATGCTTACTAATCCTCAAAACAGAATATGGCAGGCCACTATAAACGTTCCATTTCCACCGCCCTTCAAATAGGCGTGGGAAACATCGGCGGTATTGTCGCATCAAATATCTTTATAACAAATCAAGCGCCAAAATACCCTGTGGGATATGGGGTTTCTCTGGGAATGTTGGTTATGTGTGGAATTATGTGTACGGTTTTCTTCTTCGGATTGAAGAGAGAAAATGGAATTAGAGATCGAGGAGGGAGAGATTATAGGTATAGGGAAGATGGGGAGAGGAGGAGGAAAAATATAGAAGAGGGAAAGGAAGAAGAGGGGAATTGGGGGGATGATTGGCCTGGGTTTAGGTTTGTTCTGTAGGTGGGTTGAAAGGGTGTTTAGCATGGGATGAGCTGTTTTTTTGGTTGACAATTTGGTAGAAAAATGTTGGACTTATGTACACCAGTATTCAACTGACAATTGTGCTGAAATACGCTCTCAGATGTTCAATAGATCATGTTGAAAGTATTTACTCTAGGTACCTATTCTTCGTAATTAAACATCTCACTATCTCCTTGTATGTTGCATCTCTTTCATCTTCTTCTCCCATCTACTTGCCTTTTGTGCCGAGACTCATCGCCGTGCCAAACTCACCGAAGGTCTTACAAAATATTTATTATATATGCATGCTTCCACTTTAAAGCAAGATGCCTATCTCAAATACCAACTCCGCCCCTGAAATTCAAGTCCGTGGATCACAGCCCCGTTTGAATTTGCGCCCGTTATCGCATTCCAAGGAACGTCTTTTTGGGATGCAAATTCTGTTTCGGGCGGAGAAAAGGAAAGAGGATGGAATAAGGCGTCTAGTAGTAAGATAGAGGTGGAGGTAGGGTGTTACTACTTGGAGTCATTGGGTTGGTGCTGTATGAAGAAGACGAGATTGTTGGGGAGTGAATTTTTGAATGGTGGGGGTGAGAAAGAGTAGGTGCCGGGAAGGATTGATACTTGGTGGATAGAGAGGGGATTGTGAGGAAAGAGGGGCGAGAGGGGTGAGTGTCGATTTGTTGTTGGATTTGCTTTTCTAATTTGTACTTTTTGCAGCCAAAAGGCTTTTTGGGTAGCTCAATATCGAATGAATTGGGGCCCGTAATGTTTGGGCAAAGAAGTAAGAGGAGGTTGCTTTTATATAAGAAGCATAGATACGAGGTATCAAGGAATTGGAGGTTGGATTCAAGAGAACAGCAAAGATAGTCGAAAACATTGAAAGAGAGAATAAGTGAAAGAATCAGGAATATATCTCAAAGGTTCGAGACAGGGAGATTTTGTTGATGAGTGATTTAATAGGTTTTGGGAGTGTGAGGTTCCGTCTGTGTGGAATTTATTCACTCTTTCATCTTGGTAAAGTGTTCCGTCCACGCTCATTTCAGGCTTGTAAATAGACATATCAACATCCTTTCACCTTTCATGATGCAATAATGACTTGACAAAAGTTTCCATTGGAAACTCTAAGATTCCATAGTGAATACAACATAATGAAACTACTGTACAATATTGTCTTTCGAATTCTTCAGCTAATCCTTTCTTGACAAAACCGTCACAAGCAGTATCATTCACTCATTGTTCGGCCCTAATACCTCCGAAATTACATGAAGTCACAAGATAGAATTCGAATTCGGCCGTGCTGGGAACCGAATTCGCACAACTGCAGTAAGTTCAAGTCTATTTAAAATTCGAGAAGAGACTTTGCCTTTTGGATTCGGAGTTCTCCAACAATACATCCTCTTTAGGGTTGAAATCGGAAAGTCTTTCAGCACAACTTACTCGATATCAGCATTCCTCGTGGCCATTATTCGAAGAGAGAAAGACTGTGGTCTTTATTGATAAATTTCAGCAAAGGGAAGATTTTCAGTAAGTTTTTTCCTTTCGCTCATGTGAAATTCTGCAGAACTATAAATTCCAGATCTGCTCGCATCAATCCAGCGCTGAAAGGTACCTTAATTACGGACCAATAAAGCTAACAAAGAATATAGTCGCTCATTCTTTTCACCACTCGAGCCTCACTCGTCAATCATTCATTGAGTTGAACTCCACACAACAGAACCTGATCCAATTTGCCGGATATCATGGCGGAAAACTTCAAAGGACAGGGCAAGAAGCCATGGATTCCGCCTAATCTTGCGGCAGTACCATATGGACCAGTACCAAAAACGCAATCGACACCAATTGATCAAATGCCTCCGCGGGACCTTTCAAATCAGCAACTCCAGCCTCGATTTGGCATGAAACCAAGACCCATAGAAGAGATGCAACCTCGATCCAGCATTCCAAGTCAACAAATTCAGCCTCCATATATCATGAAACCAAGACCCATGGAAGAAATGCAGCCTCAATCTAGCCGTCCAAATAGCCCATTTCGACGTCGAACTATTATGGAGCCAAAGTCTATGGAAGATATGCGACCTCAATCCAGGCGTTCAAGGAGCCCAAGACCACCTCGACGAACTGACAAAAACCCGAGGCCTATTGAAGAGATGCAACCTCAAACCAAGCGCTCAATTAGCTCACTTTTAGGTCGAAATTTAATGGAGCCAAGATCTATTGAAGAGATGCAACCTCAAACCAAGCGCTCAATTAGCTCACTTTTAGGTCAAAATTCAATGGAGCCAAGGTCTATCGACAAAGTGCAGTTCACGCCCAGATCTATTAAAGAGATGCAACCTCAAACCAGGCGCACAATTAGCTCACTTCGGCCTCTGATTGTAATGAAATCAAAGTCTATTGATAACACTCCAACCCCGGGCGAGATACCAAATGTTCCAAAGGTTTCACTCATGTCGTTAAAGGCCTGTCCAGCAACCTCTACTGGAAATGATTCCACAAAGCAAAAATCTGGAAGACAAACATTTTATATGTTTTCTGATCTTCCGTTGGAGCTTCAAATCATGATTTGGCAATGGTATGGAAGAGTCCACGCAGACAGTAATCCGAACGTCATCAAGATCTTACGCTGTTTCAGACCTGTGCTACAAAATTTCACGGTGAGAGAGAATCCATCAGAGCGGGACTCATACTTTGCTATAAGTTACAAGCTTCCTCCCATCTTTTATGTCTGCAAACTTACTTTCAAAATTGCGAAAGACTTATATGAGAAAGAATTCCAAGTAATTCCAATGATTAAGGATGATAAACAGTTGACATACTTCAATGAAGACAGGGATATCATCGTTTTGGAAGATGCTCATGTATTGAGGGATTGGAGATACAACCGCCAGACTGAAGCTGAATTCGCCGGATGGACGCAAACAAGCTTATCTCGGCCCGCAGCCGAGAGAATCACAAGAAGAATCAACATGAAACATCTCGTTATTGGTGGAACAAGCCTATCGCATATCGAGGCGAGGCAGCTGGCAAGATTTTATGATTGCGAGTCCATAATGTTGGGGGTGCCCTATTTGATTCGCAGCAGATTCTTCTCCACGGAGGATAGAAGCCAACCCGACCGTGAAGCTATCTCATTTCTTCGTGATCGACTCTTACGCTTCTGGAAGGAGGAAAGACGAGGTCCTTTTGTTAGGGAAGACTATCGCAGAAAGCCCACCCGTCCAGTGGTAGTTGAGCCAAGTTGGGATACGACTGAACGAACAATATCCAACCCAATGTTCTTTATCTGTACCGGTGACGAGATATCATATCAACTGGTATGTAATATACTTCAGAATATCCTCAGTTTCTTATCAGCTCTGAATTACTGACACATGTGTAGCACCGTTTACATCCTGCAATCACGAATTTCATGAGACCAGTCCCAGAAGCTAAGAGCTCTATCACTTTCATGAACGGTATGAAGTTCTCACATAAGCATTCTAGGCTATTCGAGTACCCATGGGAGTGCGTTCCAAAAAAAAATAGCTAGGGATTTCTTGAAGGTTCATTAGCCTAGGGGATAGTGTGGAATAGCAAGCGTGCTTGCAGACTTACCATCAGTCGGCTTCATTTACTTCCAATTCAAGTCCAACATTGCGGCAAACTTGAAATAACCCCGAGGAGAACAAAATGCTTTGGAGTTGAATGGATGTGGTTGAGTTTCCTTAGGATATCTCCCGAATTGGAGAGACTAATGGCCTTTCACTAAGTTTCATTCATTGACGGGAATAGCGGAAGAATTCTTTTACTGGGTAGATCGAAAGACCACAGCACGTCCTATTTTAAATTTGACACCCAGCAATCTGTGTGTTTGTTACCTGCGGCGCAGAAGACCTTTGTAAATAGCAGAATTACCTTAAAATAACTTTTTGAAATTGCGCTCGTGAGAATGCGATTATGACTTGAGCTTACCACACCTTCCAATCATTACTTATGCTCCAGTTATGAATCACCTTTCCTAGTAGTCCGAACTAAAAAAGGCTCAATAGATTCCATAGAGTGAAATAGATATTCCATGCATACACTCGAGTATTCAGACACGACTTTGCACGAAGCCTTGGTAGTTCTACGGCGCCCACTAAGGTGTGAAAGACATTTACACAAAGTGAGCCGTTCTTTTTCATTGAGCATGTTCACTGAAAAAATGTCTTTTGGTGACTCTTGTAGATGCATAGCTCTACGTTGGTAGCTATTGTGGTACTGCGTGAAATCGTTATAATGCGATGGGTGAAACATTATTCATATCTTTAACCAGAATATTCACTTCTTCGTTACAGCCCCGAGAGATGGTACAGCTGGTCATGGACTCATGGTAGGTATGGTTAGGAATATCCATTCTTATCATAAGATAAGCCATTGTTAAATCTGGGGGATTCAACTATTGCCCTTCAACAGTCTCGGCTAACAAACTTTGTTCTCATGTCAACAGTTTGTAACAATTTCAATCTTCTTGTTTCTCAACTCAGATTCTCCACACTTTTTTGACAATCTCAACCATCGCGCATTTATACATTGACTTCTCATACAGTGTCCACGACTTTACCTTTTCGACCCGACAAAGCCATTCGTCATAGCTAGTCACTATCATTTGCATTACGAACTTCGAACTTCATCAAGTTTTACACTATTACTTCCAACATGGCCATTCTCACCCCATTTACGGTATTCCCCAAGCTATCTGATGATTTGGAGAATAGTTTTCCTTGCGTCTCTTCCAACATATATGTACAGTCTTGCCATGGAGACTACAAAGAATTTCCCTCACTTGAAGTCACTCGTTATGAGAACCGATGGCATTCGCTCCGAAGCCGTTTTGTGCTACAGTGATGATTTTGTTACCTGGTGCAAGGTTTCGTTGGCCTTCTCTTGTAGTCCGAATGAATCAACCATGGCATTTTGATGAGTGGAAAGCAAACAGAGCTTACAGTCAAATGCCAGAATTGAGAATTTTGGCGGCAGATGGAATGTGGAATTCTGTAAGTTTGACGGAACATCTTCCTATATGGATGACAACCACTAACGTTTTCCAGGGCTTAGCACAGCCATTTGGTCCTTCCGATAAACCGCCCAAGCGTCGACGAAGAAATCTCAAGGCAGAGACAATTCAAACGCCACCAGTTCGTCGATCAGATCGAATCAAGTCCATGGAGACAAAACAATATCTCGACGACTGGATAAATGCAAAGAAAATGCTCTCATTCAAGACCTTACTTTACAAAGGAGCCGTGGACTTTGGATTCCGCGTTGCGTCGTACAATGTACCACTCTAGTGACCACTTGAAGCGTCTCAGAGCGACCTGTTATTTTGAAGGTATCCAGCCAATTTATTCAATAATCAAGCATTATTTCCTTGCTCCGCCTTCCTCATACAGCTATACCCACAGCACCTCGAAATATCTCATTGATTTTACTACTCGCAAATACAAAGAACCCAGCATTTGCGTGGTCTCGAGCCCTTCCAGACTTCCTTTCTTCGAAATTGTTCTCGTACCACTTGTAGCTGCCCAAAGGCTTATCTTGCTGTAGTTGTGTCTTCCATATCGCAACTCTCTTATTTGTGGTCGATATCTTTTTAAAGCTAGATCCGCTGGAACCCTGAGCTGAGGAATCTCTTTTCAATACGATATAATCCACGTCTCCTGGCGTAGAACAAAAAAAGTTTAACGGGTTGTTAGATTCAAAATTTCCTTGATAATCAAAATTGCATTCTACACATTGACTAAGTCTGTTGATGCGGCATATTTGATTGACATGAGATCATCCGGGCAATACACCAGCAGTACCATTGCAGATTCTCAACTCCTATTCTTGTATGTAAACTGAGAGATTTGCTCCAGAACTAGTCAATGAAACCAGGATCCATACTTTCGCGTATTATAAGAATGAAAACTGTATTTCCCGTCTATGTTGCGTTCCATCAAAACACCAAAAATCCCAGACCCCTCACATACACCCATTATTGTTTTCCATTCTTCGAGGCTCATCATATACACGCTCATACCCGAACCCATGAAATATGACGCCTTTTTCACTGCCACGACTTCTTTGTAACCACACATTGTTAACAGGTAATCCTGGAGCCATTCTCTGCAATCTTTATTCGTCCACTTTGTTTCTGGGGCTTCCTGAAATTTTCACCTGGGAGCTAGTATATCATATTAGTAAACTGGGGAGTTTTGGAAATCTTGGGCTAAAAGCGAAGATGTACTTTTTGATGGGTATTTACCACTTGGGGTAGATAACTTAGATGAGCCGGTATCCATGCTGATATTCATGTTTGAGAAATCGAAGATGGGCTTTGCACCGCCTGTTTGCGAGCTCGTGGGTGCAGTGGAGTGATAAGGGGGAGGATACGTAGGGTCTTCATTTGAGTCTTTGCGAGATGAGAATAGCTTGAATGGGCGGCGATTACCAGACATCGTGAAGAAATGTTTGTATGTTTTAGTAGGTGGCAATTGAATATTTGCTTAGATTTTACATAAAATTAGTAGACAGGAGCCAGTGTAAGAGCAGAGAAACGATATGGCACGTAAGGGGAAAGCAGACTTTTGAATGAAGTGATGTAGATTCTAGTTCTAAACTAACCCGAATCCAAGGTCATAAATTCATAGTGTCTTCCGAAATAGTGATAGTACATCACAAGATTGGCATACATAGTAGAAATTTACCAGATCCTAACACTTTCCAGTTCTACTCCAACACTACGCATGACGACGTAGGTGCTATGTGGTCATCTTCCCCAGAATTTGATGAGTTAGGCATGTATACTAGAAGAAAAACAGGCCGAAACCTTAAACTAGCATCGCTCGGCAAGTCTTTGGTTCAAAATTCATGATGCACTGCCATACCAGGGTCACTGAAAGACTCAGACGGGTTTCTTTCTTCGAAAATAACGGCCGAGGAGACGTCTCTATTGTGATGCGTTGTATTTTCGCGCGGCATAGGTATTTTGATTTCTTACTCAATACACCTGATGGAGCCGGGATCTTCACGTGATAGCATATCCCAAGATCGTCCGACCAACGTGTTCGTTAGCCTCTTGTACCAACATAGATATCCCACGAACGAAGACTTGGCAGTTCATAGTAAATAAGCTAGAATCTTTCCTTGGATCCTTGATGTCCTAGAGTCGTATGCTAGATTGGTGCATGAGAATTACCTCTCGAGTTTCTAAAGAAGACCATCTGGAATCTTTATATATAGCCAATTTCATGATCATCGGAATACATCATTGTTAAAACCCCTTTTAAATGAAAGCTGATTCTATACTACATAATTCCTGAACCAAAAGAATGCCAAAATGGCCCACACATGAGAAACATAGCCTCGACTTTCTATTCATAAACACGACCATCTATTTCTAAGGCTGTCTATGGGTAAAGCATTATTCCACCAACAACGAAAGCAAGTTACATTGTTTTTTTTGGTCTATGCTGATTCCAAAGCTTTCTTGGAAAGTTTCTTGGTGTTGTATGTAGATTCGACTTCAAAAACCGAGTCAAAAAAAGAAAGTGTCGCGGTTGTACTACTCCTAACCATTGTTAGTAAGTTGTGGATACAGAATGTTGGAAGTAGGGGGCTCTTGACTTACATTGATCGCTGCTCACCTCGTTCCACGGCATCTAGAATATCATCAAACTTGACAATACGAACTTCAGGGGATCCTGGAGTGGCAATCCCTTCCCTGATACGGTCAGCTTTGGCGTCGTAAGAGAGCCTCTTCACCTCCTTGTCAGACCAGATCTCCTTGTATGTACCCCACCAAGTTGGCGATCTTTCTGCAATGACTACACGCTTGATACCATCCCAGATGCCCAATATCTCGGTCAAGACATCTTCCTCGCTCTCGCCACTACCCCACCCGGCATTCATCGAAAAAACATTTTCGACTTTTTGGATCTCTTCAGAGATGACATCATCTTCCCCCGATAGAATTTCGAAATGCTCACATGTGCTACCACCAACAAGACTTACATAGTCTTGCTGATAATTGAAGTAGATAGGATTGCGAAGAATACCTTTGAATATAACTGAGTATCTTTTGAGTGCTTCTTTTCTAGAGTCGCGACAAACGTGCAGAACCACCGGCATAATATAATCACCCCGAAACCCTTCCTCTCCTGATCCATCCTCGGCGCAAGGTTTAACACGAACAATCTGTCGATCATCCGCAGCCGCAGCCCAGATCATAAGCTGAAGTTCCGCCGGTAATCTGGGAAAGAGACAGAATGAACGCCGGGCTTTGAAATAAGGATCCAAATTGTGGTCGACGCCGATAATGAGAGGATTGGGAGGTTCGAATAGCTGCATGTTGCGAAGACTAGTCTCCATTCGGAGAAGATCGAAGGTTTGTGGGTGCATCTCTATAATATTTTGTAATTTTCTGCAAGTAGTTGTTAGTTTGAAAAGAATGCGCAAGTGTTTATGGGAAATCCACGCGTTCTTGTACTTACTTTGATACGGCAGTACAGGGTCACAAAAAGCGTAGTAGGCACTCATCTGATTTGCTTCCCACCGCCGTAGTGACAGGATAATTGTTCTTTTAAAATATGCCTTTCTCCTTTACAGGTATATTTTGTTATGGAATTCAACGACTCTTCAAGTAAATAAGAGAGCGGCGGTGCTCTTATTGTCTGACCTGTCACCGAGGTTTCACCGACTCATAAACACGAGAGATCAAAGTGAATACATAAATTGATAAACATGAAGATCCAAGTGAGGCAGAGCAGGGATTAAAAGTTTTGATTCCAAAGGGCTCTCAAAAGTCAAAGAATTTCAGAGCCTCAAATTTACCAACAAACTTGCTTCACTATCAAGTTGGCACATCGGCGGTTGTTGTTAATTCGAAAACAACAACATACACAGATTTTACAGTTTCTTTGCAAGCCAAACAAGCCATGGCGGTCACTACACTGGAGAGATTCACATGTTTTCCCAAACTACCTCTCGAGCTCCAGATGATCGTCTGGTCCTTTTATCCCTATGTTGATAGACAGATCATTAATATCACAGAGGCACCGGAAGCAGTTTACGGTATAGGTCCATACACCAACCGCTCTAAAACAGGAGATAAATTGAATCCACTTGCAGTGGACTTCCCAAACGCAATGTTTATCAGTGTGAAGTACATCGTCCCCTCACCTTTGCAAATTTGCCAACAGTCCAGAAAGGTGGCTCTTCAGCATTACCGACGAGTCATTGCTACATATGGCGATACCAAGGAGGGTCCAGCGCCTTTCTACATTAACTCATATCAGGATTCTATTCTATTCGAGGACACACTGGCCATTTCACCACACTCCCACCTTCCAACGATTTCTTTTTGGATGTTTAATGGAAGAACTCTTTCAACTCCCGACGGTGAAAACATCTGCACTTCAGTGGCCACTCGTTGGGCTGGGAGCGAACCTCCAAATGTGGATCATCTTCTGTATACGTTATCCAGATTTCCAGAAGTTAAACAATTATACTTTCTTGATTGCCCTTCTGGACCCTTCCCTGTGTCACGTTGGTCGAACTGTAACATACAGTGGATGAGCAGGGATAAAATCAAGGAGCTTGTCAAGCAATGGATAGAAATTTTATTGGATTTCACGAAAGATGGAACGCTTTCTGATTGTGCACCAGACTCAATAGATTTAAAGAAACGAAAGGGCATCTTCCGGAGCAGTTGGGCGTTGCCACTAATAAGCTGCATTACCACCGAAGAATTCTTTTCTCTCAGAAACACGGAGGCTGAATGATTGAAGGTGAGTTGGATTAGCACTGATGAACTTAAATTACATCTCCACAAGACCAAATCTGAACTGACTATATCTAGTTAAAAGATCTCTCGGCGAAAATTAAAAACGTGGTGGGTCAAGTAGCAAGAGTATATTGGCTACCTCGTTTCAAACATGACTTCCGCGAAATCGTGGCTTTGGTTGTTTTTCAGTGTTCATCTTTTTCATCTTTTTTTCTTTTCAAGAAAATACTTGAATAGGAAGGGTTAAAAAGATTTTGTTTTCAACAATGGTTTGGTGCGCTAAATCTAGGGGGAGGGACCATACACAATGAGTGTGGCAGGCAAGTCTTAGCAAGCAATTTTTTCGGGAGCACAATTTGGAAAACAGAGTTGGGTATGTGGAGTTGCAGCCTGATACACCTGAATTGCTGAATAGATTCATAATTTGAAAATATAATCGCTGCACTTACTTTTATAGAATTGTGAAAAGTGAGACACATATGTTAATTTTTAAGCCTTTGAACCTCTCGACTTGTTTATCGTAATAAAATGTGATGATCCTATAAGCAATAATAGTTGAAGACAATGATTACGGCAGCTGGCTATGAGCCATTGTAGGGGCATGAAGTGGTAGTACAGTACTGCCAAATGACAAATGCGGATTTATGCACTTCTACGGCAAGTAAAAATGGTACCATGACTTCATCCAACATCCCACTTACTCAACGAACTGGACGTACAGCTGACTCTGAGTCTCATCTCCTTGAACATCATCTCAAAAAATAGGCGAGTCAATTTTTTTAGCTTGATGTACCCATTCAAGAAGAGATTTTTATCGACACTGTGTGTATCAATATAGAAACAAGCATTACAACTCAAAATGGCATCTCTGGCACATCAAATCAAGATTCGTCAGAGGGATAAGAGGATACGTAATTTCCTTCTGAAACAAAGAAGAAGAAGAGAAGCTGCTCTACATGTTGCGCGCGAAGAAATCTTCCATCATTCCTTGTCTGGAGGATGCTACTCCATTCCCGAGTACCAAGATTTCATATCTGTCCCCTCCTCTGGTCTACCTCTGCGAAGAGTCTTCGTTTCTATGTTCTACAAGAAAAACCCTTCATATCAACGCTTCTCGGAACGTTACCAGCCAAAATATAACTCATGATATGGGAATTTTCATCAAACAAGCCGATATATATGAGGCACCGATATAGACCCCATCAGAAAGAACTCGTTCAATTATCACAAGGATTAACTAGCATCTAAACTAGTAAAAGAATGACTTTTGCTATAGTGTGACTATGTAGGACATGATGGTTCGTGCCGAATGCAAAGAAAAAAAGGGGGGGGGGGTTCATTAATGACTAAGCTGAAAGACCCACACCGCAGTACTACATCAAAAACTACTCCCGTCTATCACCAAGGTATTTTCCGTTAACTGTTTCATCTTCCACGTATCTGGTCCATTCATAGTACTTGTTTATATGGTCTGGGATATTTGCGTTTCCTTCCTCGAACTAATTGACTCCCGAGGATATCGCCGCGTTACGACTTGCTATAGCTTTTACGCGATGATGAATGGCAGTGTAGGTGAGCTTGCAAGATGCAGTCGAATATGTAGGGTCGGAAGCAAGGTCAGAAGCCGATAAGACTAGCATGGAACGAAGAAGATAATCATGCTGGTACAATATTAGTGATCCACTCAAATATTTTAGCTAAAGAAGTGGCTTACATCTGAAGCGATGCTTGGTATCTCATGAGTCCACACGGAGTCATTCCAAATAGGATGATGCGGGTATGCTTCCTGAATGAAGTGGTGAAAAAGCCGAAAGTCTACCATGCTAAAAACTGGGCTGGTGGTCTGAATAGGGCGAGGAATTCGTGAAGCAAGTGAGGATCCATGTATTGAAATCCCAGAGCATGACCGGCCATTCACAATTGAGCCCTCTGTGGTCGCAATAGTCACAGATTGGATGATTTTCTTTGCACTGAAGCTCATATCAGTATAGCGGATATTGAGGAGGCTTCAGATTAATACTTTGATGCGGGCTTTCTTGCAATTCAGACATCCTGTTCTAGATTTCTTGTGCCCCTTGCGGGCCTTCCTCTCGCTGCTAACGAGTATCTGAGACGGAGCTTCCAGCGAAAAGTTTTGTGGAGCCAACCTAGAGTCACTCTTGTAATCTTCCATAGTCAAATACTCAACATAATCTGGTTATAGATATTTTGATGTTAGAGGTCTCTGTACTTGCAATGGTGAGGGAAGAGAGGGTACCGAGGCTTTGTGAACAATCGAAGCTCGTGTAATCTTGAATTAAGCTCTTTATAAGCATAAAAGCCGTCTAATTCTCCATATCATTCTACAATTACATAGTTCTCAGCCCCAGTGATAGATTATGCCGCCTAAAACAAGACGTGTCAGCTGGTGAGATGTTGTGGCTGCTTTGGCTTGTTTAGCGAGAACCACTCCAATAGGGGAAACACAACAAGGTTATTCCTTGCATCACATTTCCAAGTGACGCTAGTCTTCCAAGTCCACAACATTAAGGTCTAGATCCGTCAACGCCGAACTCAGAATTATAACAGAAAAGACCGAATAAACGGTATACGAAGTCGCAATTCCAGTGTCCGCAGCTCCCCTCCAAAATCACAGGACATGATGCTGAAAAACGAAAAACGATGATCACATGACTTGAGATCCGCACATCAATGCGAACATCACTTCGATTGGACTTTCCCTAGACATTTTAATCTCAGCGAAACTACACTATACTCATTGGCCAAAGATTTAGCTATGTTATACGATAGATCTGATAGCAATCTCTTCAATGGAGACTGTTAATTTTCGAACTCATGTTTTCCTTAATGCAGAAGTTTACATATCCGCAGTTGTTGAATCATCAGCTTAATTGTCGTCAAAACATCAAACATGCTGCTAGAAGACTACTAAAATTGGTGTTGATTGCTTGAATGCTTTCACTCAATTCTATTTTTGAGGTCATAGATATCTTCTCTGATGTTAGCTTCACGGAAGTCTGAGGTCTAGTTGACCCCTGCAAACAAATCACATTAAAAATGGCGGATGTACAGCCCAGTGGCATGTCTTGAATATAATTTCCTTTTCATCAAATTTCTTTCTAGACTTGAATGGCAAGCAAGAAATTACTCACTTTAGAGTGAAGAGATGAAAGAAGTTGGAACCTTTCTCAAGGCTTAGACGTCTCGTCTTGTCTCCAAGCAATCATATGCAAAATTATGAGGGGCTACCTTCATCTTGTCTTCTTAGTCAGTCATGTATACCTCTTAACTGTATGCTAAGAGGTTGATTCATTAAATGTATAGATCTAATCCCTACTTCAATACTTTGAAGCCTTCATGCCAAGACCTGATAATAAATATGTTGTTCTTCAAATTTTGTTTCTTTATGTTTGATAAATGAGCAAAATAGGGACCTAGCTCCTAATCCTGGCTGTATAATTGTTTCACAGTCCAGCGTTTTGGTATCCAACTGTTGAATTATCAATCATGTGTTCATGAAGAGGGCACTGTATTAGCTAGCGAGGCGCTAGCGCTTCTTATACAAGTACTAGCTCCCCATAATCAAGAATGCTCGAGAACAATTACAACTAGAAAAGACTAGAGGACTTCACACTTATCAACAAAATTGATACCAACACCAATATTTTCGAAAAATACCAGAGCTTACGTATTCTGAACCATCAAATATTTCCTCTCATAGTGTTTCAGCATAAACTCACCTTTTCAAACACAAGTGTTTTGGCAGAAAAGCCGAAAATCGACTCTAAATTGTATTATAATTTTCGAAATCCTCGAACTCTTACAGCTCTTTTAGAATACTATTGCCCTTCCTTGTACATTCAAGCTAGCAGTCAACTGGTCGACCGAAAGCCTACGCGAACAGACTATCACTGTTCTGTATCAATACGATCCATTCCTTCGGTGTGTAGAAGATTTACTAGCGCGGTAAATGTGAGCTTTAACCTTAAGTCTTGCTCTATTGATAAGATCTATACTTACGTGCCTAACTAGCAGCATGAATTCATAGCCTCTGCCTTTATCTCTGAAGCAGACAACCCATACAAACGGAGATTCATTGACAATCTTCCAGAGTCTTCCAACGGAGATGAGTCAAGTGATCTGATGGAGAGATCTATAATGTCCCTGAAATTGTGTTTGTTTGTTCTCAATGCGATCCAGATTTCTCCAAAGCATGTCAACGTTCATGATCTGTGGTTGGGATAGCTATTGTGGGAGAACTAGGGGGAGGGCTCCGAGGGGACTTATAAGAGGCTATTACACTTGAGTTTAAGGGGCTATTATGAGGAATGGATTCAGTTTGATAGGGCGAGCTGTATAAGCTTTTCTGTTCAGCTGTACTATTGATGTCAACCGTTGAGCAAAACATCCAGATATGCAATGTCGGCGTTTTAGAATTGATTCATAGCACTGCAGCAAAATAATTTTAAGTCATTTCAACATTATTGCTCCTTCTTTCCTTGCCATACCAATTTCTGCAAATATATCTATACAATCATCAAAGTAACTTTGCAGCTGTTGTTCCTCATTCCCAAACATTCCGAATAACAATATTTCTTCATTATGTCTTCTACACAACAAACACAATCCGAATCATCGAATTCCGCCAACACTGACAGCACTGGAACCTTTAGAAGTCTTCCTCGTGAGCTTCATGACATGATATGGTCTCAAGTTCCAGTAATCCCAGGCCGATCCCACTGGTCAGACCGGCGAGAAGCAATTCAAAATGAAAATCAAATATTCTGGAAACCCCAACAACCGATCTTTGAACGCAAGAGCCGTAATCCTTTCCTCCAACAGATACATGTTTGATCATAAGATCACAAAGTCCCAGGTTGTCAACACCGCGAAGGACACCTTTATGTTCAATGGGATCAGTTCAGTTAGACGAGCATAATCAGCATACGGGAGCTGCTATCACCAAAACTGGTGCGGTGGACTCGGAGCCTGCATGCTATCCAACAATACAGAACCTAGTCGTCACACCGTTGCTAGATTTTAAAAAACCCGGGCCCATAACCATATTTGATCTGGCTCGACCGTCTTCGCAAGGAAATTGATTTTAACAAGTTTATCTTGGGGAAAATCCTACGCGAGCTTCTAGAGTCTGTCAGCAAAGTACAGACTCTTAAAAAGACAGATCTTTTGACTGAAGAGGAGCAGATGCCGGGATCCGGACCTGTTGAGCAAACTGATGGTCGGCTCATGGATCTATTTGCAGAAGACGATGAGTTGCAAAGTCGCTATGGAGAGAGGCTTAGAATGCCAGAAGTTGTGTGCCTGACGATGATGGAATTTCCTGAGGAACTGGGGAGAGTAGATCGCAGATATGGTAGACCTTGAGGGTCTCATAATTGCGCTGGGGAGATTTGATGTAGTATGAGGGGTTTAGAGCTTTCGGATAGATTCTATATCTGATTTTATCATAGTGAAATGAAGTACCATCATTATGTAGCAAATATACAGATTTCAGAATGGAACCATATTATCTCGTTATTTCAATCAAGTGAATTCAGCATATCAAAAAATAGAATCACTAGATCGTGGTAAAAAGATGTGAAGCGTGTGGCGTGATATGTGACTCTCACCTCAATTCACTTGTAGATTACCATATTACAGCGAGCCCGCGTATGTATAAATGATCTAAGTATGCTCTGGGATACTTTATTCCTAAGATCTTCGCAACAACCAACAAAACTCCGCAAATGGCGACTCCAGTCTTTAAGTCGAGATGAAGGCTCGAATCCTGTCGGAATAACAGCATAGCTGGACCCGAAATTTTGGAGCCTCAAGAGCACCGGGACAAACGACGAGTTTCCTCCACAACTAATCGAAATCAAGAAGTACGATGTCAAATTTGAAGCACTTGCAAACGGACAGGCAAGCGATTACAGTAATCGGAGACCCTGGATCATTAATTTCGAGGTCAAATCCATTCGCAAATCACAAAACTTCCCAAAATCGGTCAACTTCATTCCTTGTGCTTTGCATCTTTCACCAAGTTGCTTCAAACTCGACTACAAGATTAAGAATCCAATGTTCTTTCGTCCTTCTTGCGACGTCCTCTTTTTTCGGGAATTTAGTCACTTGTTGGAGTATGCTGTAGCAACGAAAGGTATTGTTACTAATCATACTGCGTTGGGCCTGGTGACAAATGAGACTTTTCCAAAAGTCGAAAGGTTGGTGGTAGAATTCGAAGTTCGTAAGCCAATAAATTGGACTTTTCACGACGTTTTGGTGGGGCTTTTCCCAGTTATCAAGGAGGTTGGAACACTGAAGGGACTCATATTGTTGGTGGGACGACAGTCCCTTCGAGGAGGTGAAATAGGAACCTTTCGCATCGATGAAGACCTAAAAAAGCCCGTTGATGAAAGCCCTGGTGTATATTCACCCCCAGTAGGTGTTTATATGCCCAAGGTAACTTGTATGACAATGGAAACCTTCGAATCGACATTTGATTGGTATGAGTTAGGTCAAACGGACGGATGAATGGTGCTTATACCTGCACTTGGGTTAAGACTTCGAACACTTTACAGCACTAGAGTGGGTAGTGGTTACTTCTGAATTATGGCTGGGCGAGATTTGCAGCCAGAGGGTGATGTGGCGAGACTAGAAGTAAGAGATGATACGATGGTTTCCCTAAAAGAAATGATCTGGACTACAATTTATTTGATGTGCAAATGCCGTATATCCTGTGACTTTCGGATCTTTAAGTTCTTTTTGCAGAGGTATCGTGTACAAACTCTGGAACAGGCGTGGCAATGGACGACTCTCAAATCGAATAAATCGAGTGCCCATAACAAATTGAATCTTTTCAATGACCCGGCAGTCTTATCAGAACCAACATATACAGCATAATTTAAGCATATACTCTGTGGCTACTACTTTCCGGGTGACGTCAAGGTAGGCGTCTCATTTATGTTGTGCCGATTCGATGATTTGGGAGCTTCCGGATCCATCGGGTTCCATGGACATTTGATTACTTTCTTCCTTCACATTTTCTCGAATAACATTCACAGCAGACTGTGTTTCTTTCCATGTTGCTCTAAGATATCTTACAGTATTCCAAAGAGATACCGGCGGACTCCGGGGCAGGACCGGGGGAGAAATAGAGCGAGCAAGATCCACGCTTACAAAATCTCCACGAGTTTCCCTTTCAAGCTGCAAGATTGTTATTTGTCGTCTGCAATAATTGCTATCATATTCAATCTTATGGAAATTTTTATCTCTTCAAATCACCAAACTTTCCCAGGAATTTATATTGTTTCGAATATCAAAAGGCATTTGAATTTGAGTCCACCAGGTCTTAGTCATTGAACTACTTAGCTGACTAAGCCCGAAGAAACCCCTGCACGTACCTGTTTCTAAGCAACCATTGTTCTGTCTTGCTTTCGAGTAAACAGTATTCATTATCATCAAGCATATGCAGACTAAATCAAGCAAACTTTCAAGAGAACGATTTTATCGCTTGGGAAAATTAAGCCAAAGGAACTCAATCACAAGGACAACTACATAAACCGCCAATTCACCATACAATAACTCCGAGAGTTCGAAAATCTAAGAAATTATGTCTGAATTGGAAGCAACGTCTAGAAGCTTCATGAAAGTGCCAGAGATGCGACTTGCAATCTGGGAAGCCTTAGTCCCACCACCTAGGCGAATATACATGCAAAGATCCAGCATGTCTCTCGGGGACAATAGATGCTGGGTGGCTAAAGTCAACTCTGATTCCGGGTCTCCCACAATTCCAAATCCTCCTGTTCTAATTGGGATATGCGCTGAATCCCGGGATTATTTTATTCGCGAGAAAGGATACACTATATTTAGCTGTTGCCTCATGAGCCCAATATACGTGAATTATTCAAAAGATCAGCTTTGGTTCGAGTCTTTATCTCGTCTTTGGGGTTACGCCAGGAACGTTTCTTATCAAGATCGCCAGGGAAGGCGCAACAGCCAAATGAATGAAGAAGTTTTGCAATTATCCAGAATTAAAAAACTTGGTATGAGCTTGACTGACAAGGATAAGATAGGGCGGTTCTCTGCCCGTATAATGATTCATATAATCAAGAGGCTCCCCGAATTGGAAGAGGTTATCTTTGAGCTTCCAAAAGATAGATTTGACGATTACAAAGCTAACGTAGATGGAAAGTTAAGCAGTTTCGAGGAAAGGATACGGGGCCACAATATCCTCGATCCGAGAGCCCCTCCACGGCTTATTTTCATAATGCAGGAAGTTGTAGCTCCTCCTGAAGATATATGAGCGCAGACTTCTGGAATTCATGTGGAGCCTTAGAAATGAGAGGGGAGGATGGGATACCTCGTAGGTGGTGGGATGCAGCAGTGTGATGAGTGCTCAGAGACACTCAAGGTCTCGGATGAAATCATATCTTCAATGTGTGATGCACGATTGGAACGAATCATTCGAACAAGTAGGAAAACTTGAGACTATCGAACTATCCAAAGCAATTGATCCAAAACGCATCAGCAACGACCATAGCGAAGCATTTACTTTGTTTACCAGCCTTGGACCCGAACTTCGTATTGCCATGTGCGAGCTAGCAGTGGCAGCTGCAACACCTACTTTGTTGGAATTGATATATCCATTTCCATATGAACCAGAACACCCAGAGGATTGTTTAAAAAGTGCAAAATGGGCCTACCGCCAATTGATCACAACTTCAAATCTTTTGATGAATCTGAATACTACACGTTTTTCAAGAGTTCCGAGACGTGGCATTAAGATATATGGCCTATTGTATGTTCCAATTATCAGCCCAATGCTATTCCGCCCCTCAGTCGACTTTCTCAGTTTCCATGATATGCATGACATGAAAGAATGTACAGATATGGGCACACCATATAAGTTCTACCAAAACTCTGGGGTCAAAGTCAAGAGAGTTTCTATTGCTGCTCATCCAGTCTGGCCAAAATGACCCTTCCGCTCTAGTACCGTTTTTCGGCAAGAGCCCGTGCAAGATCCAACCCGAGAGATATGGAAGCTCATCTTGCTTTTCGAGGATCTCGAACACATTATCTTCCACTTCCTGGACATTTGGTTTTACGAAAATTCATGGAAGCAACATGGCCTACCCAGACCCCGAGTTGAGATGAGGTTGCAGAGGTTTCTTGGAGACCATGCGCATGGACAAAAAACCCTACCGATTAATCTATAAGGCTATCCGGATGAGCACAAATCACTGCCCGATAATTCAGCGCACCCATTACCATCACCGCGAATGCCAAAAATTGCATACATGACCTTGGATGAACTTTCAGCTGCTCATCTGAGGAGACAACCGTATATGTGATTGCTCTCGCGTTGTACCCAATTTGGCATGGTATTACCCCTCGTCCAGCGAAGACTTCGAATGCCAACACAGAGCTCATAGTAATTGAATTAATCATCAAGGACGCACTCTGCACGCTCTTGTAACATCTCGCTAGGTAGTTCTCGAAGCTGGAGGGTTTTATCGGGTTTATATGGGCCAGACTTCGAGGTTATCTATGTATTATAGTTCATATTTGATCATGTGCCAAAAACTAGTCAGGTGTTAGATAATGCAAATTCGTTGGTTTTCGACATGAATAGATATTCCATAGACTAAACGGCTCTTTAATTGTGATTGAACGTCTTTCTCGTGCTAGAGTGGACAGAATCTTTCGACTTGAGTGCTTTTTGGAGTAACACTGTTCAAGGTCTAGCGGTAGTCAGGAATACTAGTAAATATGGACCCAACAATGCTGCTACTATTGCAGCCTTCCTTGAAAGTAGGACTAGCGCCAGAACTTCTGTTAAGGAATATATGCTGGTACGTGATACTTCAGAAGATAGTTGGAGTCAAGGACATGGTGAAAGATAAAGAAAAGTGTTTGAGGATGTTTTGGGTACCTCTGTGAGTTGTCGGTCGAGGTAATGGAAGAGGCAATGCTCGAATTACACTTGATGACTGGGGGATGTAGAGCACTTCTACGGTTACAAGCTGAAGATCTCGTGAGACGAAGCTATAACCACACACATCATGGCTCGGATCTATCGCAACCGCTTTTCGCCACCAGCATGGCGCCACAATCTAGTGGTAATTTTTCATGTCCTCGGGAAGTTGGTGATGCAAGGCTCATCAATAATTCTACATGTCCCAGTGCTTTTCTTAGTATCAGCAGCCAAGAATAGAATATTGCTCTTTTTTAAAGAATTTCCTGCGTGATAAAACTTTCTGCCGTAGTATTTCGTCTCTTAACAAAGATTAGCTAGAGTCTTTAGAGAATTCGTTGCTCTGTATCTGCAGAAGAGCTTCTCGTCCATGTTGCGCTTCGGTATTATTGAGTTGAGCTCGTGGAAATTACAAGAAGCTTGCAGTAGATCTTCTGCAGACGAATGAACAGATCCGTATCTAGAACAGATATCCTTCATTTTATTGACATACCATGAGCAACAGATGCGATATCTTCAGCGTTCGCAGCAACCTTGTTCAACTTAACGTGAGATTCTTTAGTAGTTTTAATACTCTGCAAGATTTTGAGTTTGACGAAAGTTGCGACGAATGTATAGTATCGAAATGTTCCATTATGTTCGTTTCTGAACCCTACGACAGTAGGGTTGTTAGTCGGCTCCTATTGAATACCCCCGAGAATCTAGGCTCAAGTTGCGGCGGGAAATTTGGTAGTAGATATCTGGGTACAGTGCATAGTATATGGCCGACAAGCTATAGTGTTATCGCCCACAGAGTTATTGACGCGCATTGAATCAATGCATCTTCGCTATTGCTCGGAGTTCTGTAGACAGAATTTCACATTTGGTATTTGATTGTCATTCTGGGATAGTCTAGATGGGTCGTTTATAAGGAGTCTGCTCAAATATATACTGACGTGATGTTAGTGAGTACTCATGGTTCCAGGAGCAAAGAGTAATGGAGACAAAGCTTGTAATCTAACTACATTCGCGGTGGACAAAATCGACGGCAGATTTTGTAACTCGATGTAGAACAATGGAGATGGAATATGTGCGGGCAGGAATAGTGGACCAGACCCAGAATGCGCGAATCGGATTCGAATGATTTCGAGGAAGTAGTCTCGCAGTAGACGTCGATGAATTCCTGAAGGATATTTTCTTAAGAATGACTGGCATTTTATTGCGACTGGTCGTCCGCGTAGGAGGAGCATTGGGTTGAGTACAGTGTTTCATCTGTGAGAAGCAGTTGTCGTTGCTCTCGATTGCTGATGAAATTCAGTCGAGGGCACTAAACTGCCGCGAAGACTTCACGAATATTCAAAGCGTGTATTTCTTGAAGTTCCCGTAATACATTCCAAGATCCATTCATTCCGTATGTCTTTCTTCTTTTCACGGCTCTTATTATGATCCACCATGATTACTTCTGGTGCATCTCTTCATTTGCGTTAGCTGGGATGTTTTGAATTAACTACCTTTGTTATCGAGCTAGCTATCTTGGCAAAGCTTCCTGAATTTGGATACATAACTCCAACTCCACTACCCTTCGATATTTTTCCTTTGATCTTTGAGTAATAAAGTAAGTTCATACAAAGATCCACAGCTTTATAAATGACCTTTTTGTCTCCGTAAGGATCAAGCATAGCAATCAAGCGCATAGCAAGACTTCTGTGTACTTCCATGTGCTTTAATCAATATAGCACGCCACACCCCACTCTCATGATTGTAGGCTCTTCTAGTGCATCCATGATTCTCCTTATTGTTTCGAACAAGCCTACAAGCAATCATGTGCACATAGTCAAAGGTTTCGCGCATCTAGATCCGCGGTCTCTGCGAAGGTGTGGCATCTATGCAACAAAAGTCGAGAGTTCCATGGTTTCGAAGTAACAAGGACTCTATACCATCTTTTGTGTTGTAACCATGCAATTCAATCTGATTCGTCACACAAGTAATAATATGATAGCGCTTTGCTAATTCTGTTCATGATTCCTTATGTAGTTGAAGTCTTATTTTCGCTCTTATCCTCGTGAATTTGTCGTGGAGTCCATGGAGATCTGTAAGTTGAATTGTTAGTGAGTTTATATGAACATATTGCAGAAGAAACTATCAAAACTTCAAATATCCATGCATATGGCTTACGATAACGCTTCTTGAGACTTGGAGAGTCAAACACCAAGTGATTCTGTGAGAATATAACCTGCTGTGTAAGGTTCGAGAGCATCTAGGACTCTTCTGGTAAGTTCAATTGATAAAAGATGCTGACAACAAAACTGATCTCGGTGACATCTTCAAATCAAGTCAAAACGACCAAAACTTGGCTGAAGCTTAAAGAATTTACACTTGCGTATGTGTGTTTACAGGCGAAAGAACACTGAGCACCTTTTTTCTCTTAACGAATCTTTTGAGTCAAGTCAATGATATCTTACAATTTATACCTTCAATTAGTACTTGTAAACTCAAGTTCTGTATCATATAACAACTCTTGACTCTTCAAGTTAAGCAAATTGGTTGGTCTTTCAATTAATTTCTCGCTTCGAAAGGGGTAGGAAACATATCCAAACTGAACTACCCCAAACAGCATTAAATTTTAAATACAAACAAGATACACAACTAGAAATTCAATCAATAAATCAAAAATTTCCACTGATATACGAATGGGTACTAGCGCAATCTGACTCGGTTTCGCTCAGCCCTCGCACACTGTCAATTTTGAGTCCAGCAGAACAATCTTCCACGCCGACCGCTTTTCAAAACGCGGAATAAGCTATCGATTTCAACAAAAATCAAACACACGCGACTCTGTCTTTCATCTTAGCAACATCTCTTCTGCCTTACTGTATCAGATAAATTGTGCTCAGTCTAGATATATTCTTTAGAGGCCACTAGCTAAGTATAATAAGCCATCATGGATAAAACCCGTCAAGACTCCGTAGGTTCTATCTTGTTTATAAACGGAAATACTTTGTTTGTGAGGATATAACTAACTATTTAATGTAGGGTTCAAATGCCCACAGTGTTACTGGCACACCCACTATCCAACAAACCAGTCGAAGAACCCAAACAGGAGCTGCAATTAGAACACAAGTCGCAATTGCAACGCAGTCAAACTTTTTTGAGCTTTTTGGAGAGTTCCCGCCCGAATTGAAAACAAAGATCTTGAACATCGCCGCCCGTGAGGTTCCTCGTACCATCGAGATGATACCACAAGGAAACCATCGAGGATACACACCTGCGCTACTTGGAGTCAGTCATATGGCCCGCGAAGAGGCTTTGAAAGTTTACAATGCGTTGCTACCAGGATCTCCACAGCCTGTCTACTTCAACCCGGACAACGATACCCTTATATTGAATATTGCACTAACGATGGCAACGATTTTTCGAATAGCACCACCTGTGTTATTGTCAACTGCATTAGCACCACCTGCATTAGCACCAATCGTATTGCCACCACCTGGATTGACGCCAATTGCATTGCCACCAATCCCATTACCGCCAGCTGCATTGACGCTGATTGCATTACCACCACCTACGATGATTTCATTTTCATTAACAGCACCTGCCCTGGATAGATTTACGTTTGTCGAAATCCTTGACCCTAGTAACATGCCCGACGTCCCGGAATGGATGGCTTCCATGGGAATCAAATCGTTTGTAGTTAGGTTAGGATTTTGACCCGTTTTTGGAAAGATCTCATGGCTCTTGTTACACGTTGGGGCTATAAATACGAAAAAATCCAGCTTTTTCTGTCTCTTTCTTGCCAAATGGAGTATTCGGGAAAGCTTCGATCATACCTGATGGTCTCATTGGCACAATCTATCTTGCTCAACCATTCACCGTTCGTATTTCGATCTCAATCAGCACAATACCTTCATTCTTTCAAAGCAACGGTTGCTACCTCGTTTTTTCATCCCGAGCCGTGAAATATGTTTCATCTCTAATCAACCACGGCAGTGCTCTCCTCCTCTCACCAACTTCCAAAAGTTTTTTCAGTCTATGACTATTTGGATTTCCGGAAGTATCAGAGACTCACTGCGCAAGTTGAGTACTGGCATGGCAATTTAGGAGGTTCAAAACAACATTGCAGTCAGCGAAGAACATCCAGACAGTATTTCCAGGAAGATTCGATGGGAGAAAAGCATAGTTGGTGAGACTCTCAATACCACCAGCTTAGTCATTTACTTTTTGTTCTGGATTCAGCTTTCTACAACATAACATCTTTGTCGCTTCGACGACAGGTACCAGATATTCTACTTTCCTTGCTTTTTTGTCAATCATGGATATTTTTGCTCAGAGAACTTTTCTTTGTTGTGCGGTTTATGGTGCTAGAAGGCGTCAGCTAAACATCCTGTAACTTTCAAATTACACATGACAAGGCACAACGGTTCAGAATGAATAGGCCTTTAGCGTCTCGTTCTATTCTTTGTATGTATTCCATAGGTCTCAAATAAACATTTTAAAGAATTCATGCTTCCAATTGTGCAGCGTTAAAAGCGTGGCAGCTACCATTGATTTTGCGGTGTAACGTGAAAACTCAACGCATAAAAGCCTGCACCCTGTCAAGACTCTTGTATCGACAAATAAGTCTCTGGTTAATGCCACAAAGTCAACTTTTTATGTTCGGCTGCATGATGGAGTATGTGTATAAAAGGCTAAAGATCAGGCTGGGAGCTGCCTTCGGTGTATTTTGAGGCGAAGCACACGGGCGCTTGCATGGCATATGTTGCACCAAATATGCACATGCAATTAATGCACAAGGCTATGTTTAGGCTTCTTAATGAGATTATTTAGGCAGGCATAATTAAATGGCATGTATTAAAACTTGCTGAATAAATATTGAGCCTGAGAGAACAAATTGCGTACAAAATCGTGGATCTTCAAAATCCTTCTCGCTAAGCAAGTTGGGCAGCTTAGAGTTGTAAAATTTCGTGATTGTTAGAAGTATATGCATGTGGTTCGAATCGATTTCTGGTATCCCTGAAATTTCGAATACCTCTTGATCATGAGAGTATGCCCAATGAATACACGAAGAGAAAAATTTATTGGCATATACCCTGAGAGTGATAGACTTCCACCTCTTAAAGCTGGAGCTGCTATTCCCCTCCAGTTATTTCCATATCTATGGATATTGCGAAATCCGCGGCTCAAAATGACTTGAACTAGACGATCTGTAAAGTCACTCTTGTAGGTTCAGAGCTCTCGCTACGACTCAGGTCAAATTGGTAATATATGTGTTCCATGCTGGAGGGTTGGCTCATCACCACCGCACAAGCTACCAAACATGTTCATTGCCCAGTCCCTCACGCCTTACAAGTAATATGTTGGTAAGTTATGTGTGCCAAAACTAAGACCGAGTCCACAGTCCAGGATTATCGGAATCCATTGAGGAAGAAGAGTTGAAGATATCTGAAGAATCGACGAGAAGAAGTAAAACATGAGTATACAGCATCCAGGTGCCAGAGCGCGCTCCTGAGTGACTGTTAGTAAATGAATTAGTCAATGAGGAACCTAGACTTACTCGGTGATGTCCAAGATTCCCAGAGAATTCATTCCAGTACTCAAAATAAGACCGACAGGAAATAGGAGGAGCCAGAGGAGGAAGACGCTGTACGCATGTTAATTCCTTGATACGCTCTGCATCCCATAAGACGGGACTGACCAGACGGATACAAGGCTTCATCCTTCGCCCTCTAATGCCATCGTCCCTGACAAAATATTGACTGGGGCGAAGAAGCATTCGAAAAGGATGATAGCAACTAGAATCCCTCTTCTCCCTGGAGAAAGAGGATGAGTTGATTTCGGACTATCGTGAAAACACTCGGTATCGATATCTACTGAATGGCCTTCGAGTATGTTTTCAAGTGGAGGCAGAGATATTTCGGATATTGTAGCCATCTTTGAAGCTTAGCCGGATAGCAGCGAAGTTGCATAGGAGAGAAAGAATGCCTATAATCGCAAAATATCCGTCTAATTGATGTGTAATACGGGGATTGATGATTTGTGTTTTGTAAACAGCAAATATATGAATAAGAAGGTGGGAAGTCAAGGTATATGACAGGTCAACTACCTAGTAAAATAGATATAGATGTGTGTGTGTGTAGTTTATAGCGCCAAGATTTGAGTGAAATTTGATATCTTGAGTGCACAATTCTAGGTGACGGTTTCGTTCATGGGGAGCCATTCATCGCATCTATTGGGCGAAAGAATTCCTTATTGCTGAACTCGTCCGCACAATGATGCTGATAGGCCGGGGCTCAAATCAATGCGTCATGACTGCTCCTTGCCCCACTGCAGTAGGGTGAGAGATTAAACACAAGGCTTTCTTGGGTACCAAGAGGCGCCAGATCTTAAGTCGTGAAGCATCTCCCCTTTAAATATTCCTATTCTCGAGGCTCAGTGGTCGGTAAGGCTTCTGTCAGGTTTTACTACATAGTTCATGCTGTGTAAGTTTAGGTTTGCTCTAACACAGCGTCTTCGCACGGAACACCGCTCCAACACGTACACAAAAAGTATTGTCTCGCAAATTGCGGAGCCTTCTTGATTCATTCATATACCAGCACTACACCCCAGAGAGAAGAACAATATCAAGGAACCAGTGGAAACACAGAAACCGACTTCGATTTGCAAGCGATATCATCGAAACTGAAACGAGCAGTATTCCGTAAGGTCCGATAATCATTGATGCTGAGTAATGTTGTTGACTTTGTAGTAGTACCAGTTTAAGAGTCTTGCCCATGGGAGACCTAGAATATATGCTGAAGATGGAAAATGGGAAGGCAATGCACCAATGTGGTGGCTTCCATTTGTGTCAATTTTTACCCCTAAATGCATCCCTCTCCACCGAAAAATGGGCTTTGAGATCCGAGCCTCTATCAGCCGATATCAATTCAATCAGTCATAAAATGGAACCCCGGATACAAAATTCCCATACTTCGATTTTGACCATTGTTTCCCGCCGGCCATCATGCCATTCTCTCTCCCTCTTGACTCTCGCACTCCTAAACATCGACTCTTCACTTCTCATGAGCGCAACCTTCATCTGCCTGAATTATAGCAGAAATTTAGAGACACCCAGCTCGACTATGTCCACAGTAAGTCTTTCCCGAACCCTCACCAAAGAGTGACTCTAACAATTGCAGATCATCACTCTCATTTTTGACTCCTTAGACCTTCAATTCAATTCTTCACACGACGTCATCACATTCTGCAGCTTCATCCTCGCGACGGGTGTCTTTACTCTCACAACATTTTTATGGATGACACATGGACCCGACTCTTTATGTCCCTCGTGGCTTTTGCTAGTTCAAGCCTATGGATATTGGATAGGTTTTAATCCTGTGGAGTTGGTGCTATGTATCTTCCCCTTGAGTTTTAGCTTTTGGATGATGCTCAATTGGGCAGTGGACTTTCTCCAGAACCGAAGAAACGGACAATATCTTCAACAGGTAGAGGGTAACGATAGTGCGGTGTATTTAGTTTGAGGTGTTGTGGGTTTGAGTTTCTTGAAAACAAGGGCAAGCGTTCGGTTTTGTTTGTCGCCGTGAGAGGTTATGCTTATGAACGGGCATGTGAAACGCTCGCGGGACCAAATACCGTGTTTGACAAGTCTTCATGAATATATGTTGCGTAGAAAGGTAATTTAAGAAACTGTTTCGGATAGGTATGCCTTTTTGAACTTTGTGTATGAAATTTTTGTCTGGGTGTATCCTTCCGATTTCCCTGATCCGTTTCCTCTGACATCGAAAGTTTGAACGTGCGAATGAAAAATCAATTACTGGATTCCCAAACATGATTTGAACTTAAGAAGTCTTCATATTTCCCAGAATAAAATCTTCTTCCAAAAAGTGACCGATATAATTTACTCGGTCGACTTTCGTAAAACGACCTCAAGACCATCCCACCTACCAGCTCTCATAGGATCAAGCTTCCTCAATTCCGAAAGCCAGGCTTTACAATCTTGTATTTCATCATGTTCAGGCAGGCGCATTTCCATTTCACATACAGCAAGTGTGTACTCAAACAAAGCATCAAAAACCCACTTACAGTCCTCACCTCCATCAAGAAAATCCCTCAGATTAATAAGTTGCTGCTTGATATATTCAATACGATCTTCTCGAGAGAAGTTTGGAGTTATGGTTGCATGACCAACAGACTCGGTGAGAGTTGACATGAGAAATTGATGATAGAACCATACAGACTGATCATACGGATATGCATCATTCCACATAGCTTTAGTGATAAGATCAAACTCTGAAGAAATATTAGCATAACTTGTAACGCAATATACTGGACGTAAGTGTACCATCATCCAAAAACTGCCGCCTCTCAGTCGCGGTCGCCTGCCGCTCGTCGAGCAGTCTTGGTATTAGTTTACTTCGGTTGTGCCAAGCCGAGAAGTTTTTCAACTCCGCGTTGATCATTCTTGTAGTGTATGCAAATTCCGATTCGACCATGCTTGAGCCATTCAATTTGGGATCTTCTAATTGTGAAACAACAGTACGTCGGTATCCCCAGCCATGGAAGTTTCGACTATCTCTTGTCAACATCTTCCCCACTAAGACAAGTTCGCGCTGCCACAATCCTCTCGCAACATCGCCAGCCAATCTGTCATTTGCTTCTTTTAATAACCACAATCGATAGTTCCATATCCAATAGCATTTTGGCCAGCCCAACATCAATGGAAATATAAAATCTAAGTCTGCCTGTATCAGATCAAGAATCGTAGAATTCTTCCCAGGATTCAGGAGGTGCGGGTCTGCCCGGATCTTGGTCAAGTCCTCGGAAGACGCAGAGGTAGAGGAGGATGAGATTACGCCAGACGTCGAGTTCTCGGACAGCCCAGAAGAAGGCAATTGGGTATCCAATTCCAATGATGATTCCGATGATTTCGAGAATAATCCATGAATTAGCAAACGCCTGCGGATGTTCCATATCGTATAGTATTCGGGATTCTTTGATAGTAGTTTAGAAGTTAGGTCGAGTACCTCACGGGTATATTGGCGCTCTGCAACCTTTCTAAACATTAGAAATACCATCAGTCAGCTGAGTATTGACATACTTTGAGCTGAATTAGTTCCACCAAAGCTTTGTATTCTTCAATATCCTTTTGTTCCTTCAGCTGCGCCGTTATTGATTTTTGTTCAGTCGTCGCAATTCGTGGCATTCCATGCTATAAATTTAATCAGTCTCAAGTCACCACGAAGTCTTAAGAGACATACGCTTGCCATCTTGAGAACCTTTCCTTCTATTATTGGAGGCGACAAACTGGCTGAATGATAGTTGGCGGGCGGGTGGCTGGCAGTTCAGCCTTGTGAGATAGCTCTTGGAAAATGCGACTCATGAATTTGGAAAGTGGGGCCGGAGTCTTGTCATGTAAGCTCCGATCGAGTGTATGTCGGCTCAATATCGGTTCACGTTGTTAGTCCTTGCTTCCAATATTATCAATATCTCTCGTCCCATCTCGTCTTTTATTTTCTGATAGTTCTCTTTTCTTCATATGTCCAACAACGGGACCAGAAGGATTATCGCCATTCTTACAGTATTACTAACTTCAGCAGTACAGCAGTACATCATTGGCAATGCATGAATTGAATGTTTCTTAGGGTCGTCTTATTTGTGCTATTATCTCACCATAGGTTTCGCCGGTGCCCTTATCCGGTCAACGTTCTTTAGCCATTGACAGGAAGAAGACGTAGGGTAGCTTCGAGGAATTTTCCCCTGGACTACGGATCTACCTATTCCTCCCTTTTCTTTCGGGAAATCAGCGTGAGGTCTAATATTTCTATCTACTTTCCATTGTTCTTTTTCGCGAGAGAGTGTCGATAAGCCGCTGTTCCTTCGCATCTTATCATTGGCCTCCTCGATTGTCACTCTTCATAGCATTGCTATGTCTTCTTTTTATAATGATGGGTGGATCAACAGCTCTCCAAAGATTCTTTGTTCTCCGGACGACTCAGGTTATGACAGTTCATCTCCCAGACGAAGGTTAAGTATATTAAGTGGTGAGCGACTTGTCTACCTTTTGATGCATGTCATTGTCTTATATATTTGCAGACACTCATTCGACTCATGACTCTGTCCTGCCACGGTTCCGGGATGAAAATGGGAAAGAATGGAGAACGAGTCTTTCCATGCGGATCAAAAATGTGATCAATGGAGTTCCTATTGACCAAAATCTGTCAACCATTGCTCCAAATAGTCTTCGGTTTGATGGATCATCAGATAGCCCCAAAACTCCAACTACTTTATCCTCTTCTACAGTACCTCGACCCAATACCAAGTCTAGACCAACTCTTTCGAACACGCTTAGGGCTCGAACATCGGTCGACTCGACCCCAACCAGAAAGTCCACTAGCTCCTTGCATTCTCCCGATCGATTTCTTCCTGTTCTGAAAAGATCTGATTCTGCGGCACAAAGCTTTCGTGCTAACAAAGATCCTGGAAGTCTCTCGCCTTATGAAAGATTAATGAGACATAGTAGTGCAAGCCTTGATGCTTTTAACCCACGTCGACGTGCTACATCACCAATTCCACTAGCTTCTCGACCCGATTCCAGAAGAATTGTTTCTGCAAATCGTGGCCGAGGTATGCAATAGATCAGGGGTAACAATTGTTTTCCATTCTGATCATTTTATAGGTGCTACTGCCCTTATTTTTCAGAGAAGTGCTCCAACAACACCCTTTGGGGAGAGGCAGGTAAGTGCAAGTTTGATTTCCATATTTCCTATGCTCTCTTTCCTCATATTCAGCGAATAGCTATGCAAGATGAAAAATTGAGAAACATTCATCTTTTCTCTGCCGTACTGATTACCACAGGTCAGTGTAGGGACCGTATGGGCCGTCGGAGGAGTGGCTCCTGTGAGCGCTGGCATCTCAGATGGGCGCGGCGGTATGCTAGGCAGTGGGACTAATGCACCATTGTATACAACATCCTTCTCCGCTTCACGTCCAAAAGCACAAGAAGACTTTGAAAAACATGAAGACAGGCTGGCACAAGCATTGGATATTGACCGCACACAACGCGTTTTTGAGTTTCGAAACCCATTAGCCACTCCACTCATTACCCCACTCGATTCTAGGTCCAGGAGGCATATCTTTGACACCAAGACTACATGGAATGGAACAGAGTGGGTGCTTGGTGGACCGGAGCAAAGTCCGTAATTTTGTTTTATGCTTTCCATATGTACAGATTGAGATTCTGATGAGCATACAGAGCAACAATTGCCGCAGGAACCTCGCACGCTTCCTGTTGCTCCTTTCAAATAAGTTTTACATTCGCTGCTATATTGTCTTTACTGATGTTCAGCACAGTTCTGGATGCACCAAATTTACGAGATGACTTTTATTGCTCGGTTCTCGCATACTCTGGAACAAGCCATACACTGGCCGTTGGCCTGGGCTCATTGCTTTATGCATGGTCCGAAATGGCAGGAGTTCATTTGCTTCACGGCGGAACTTCAAATTCTTCTTGGTTGACATCGCTAGCATTTTCATCCACACAAGGAGCCAAATCAATACTTGCATTTGGCAGGTCTGATGGATCTCTGAGTTTGTTGTCACTCTATGATAGTCTATTGCCTAGATTCGAAGTCCAACAGCCCTGTCCTATAGCCTGCGTCACTTGGAGACCTTCGATAACAATGCGACCTTCGCGAAATCCACTTGCCCCGGGTATGATGGTGAAGACAGAAGATCTGATTGTCGGAGATGAACAAGGGAACATATATTACTATGTCGTTGAATGGCCTGATGCATGGGAAATAACTCGCGATGGCTGGTCTGGCTCTATGACACTCATTGCCAAAATCTCTATTCACACCCAACAAATATGCGGTCTCTCATTTTCCACAGATGGCTCATCATTCGCCACTGGAGGTAATGATAATCTTTGTTGTCTTTTCCGTACAAATGAAGTCACCCGGCCTTCTCGTGGTCAACTAGGCACCGCAGAAGAAGTATTCCTTTCCACAGCAGGTATGCGTCGCATACATAGCGTAGCGGGTCAAAGTCGTGTCAAAGAAATCACTTCCGGGGCCGAGAAACATCGTTGGGTTCATGGAGCGGCTGTCAAGGCTATTGCATTTTGCCCCTGGAGAGATGGCCTTATTGCAACCGGCGGTGGAAGCAATGATAAATGCATCCATTTTTTTCACACATCTTCCGGAGCCTGCCTAGCTACCATCAGTGTAGCAGCTCAAGTTACTTCTCTTATTTGGTCCACTACTCGTCGTGAAATTGCAGCCACATTTGGGTACGCGCAACCTGAACATCCATACCGAATCGCCGTCTTTAGCTGGCCAGACTGTAAACAAGTTGCTGCTATTCCATGGGAAGGCGAGCATCGAGCATTATTTGCGATTCCATATCCAGGTGGCCCAAATGAAAGCCATAGTAGTAGGGAAGGGGGAAGGGCCTTGACAAGAACGGCCCAAGAGGGTTGCTTAGTTGTGGCTAGTAGTGATGAAAGTGTTAAGTTTCATGAGGTGTGGACAAGTAGTATGAAGGCTACTAGTGGAGGTGAGGGATTACTAGGTGGAAGTGATATCTTGGAGGGTTTGGAGGGGATTGACAAGGAGGGTGCTGTCATCAGATAAATTTGTGATATGGCATGGAGATGGAGGATGGCGAAGCGCAGATGACTGTTTAAATAACGTGTAAGGAGATGACGTATACAAGAGTCTGTACATCTGTGCGAAACAAATTGAAATAAGATAAGGAGAGAAATGAAGAGGGATGGGGGAAGTTACTAGATGAAATAAACGATGAAATCAGAGAGATCAAGGGATGGAGAGATGAAGAGACGATACCACACCTGCTTTTCTTTTGGAGGTTGCAGACACGAGTACATACAAATTTGCGTATTCTTCTGAATCAAAACAAACAAATATTCATTACCTGAAACTGTACTTTTAACTTCATATGTCTGTTCCGAGAAGTATGAAAGAGAATGTTGAGAAAGTGCAAGAAAGAAAAATGAGACAGGTCACTGGGGGAGTAGATTGAGCGAACACATAACAACCTGATGTAACGGTGAGGGAAGCTCACCGGAAGTAGCTACAGAGGTGGATGATTATAATGATGATGATTACGACAATATTGATAAGGATAACAATGAGAGAAGATTCTACCCTTTAAAGGGTATTGCTTACCTAGGTAGGTAGGTAGGTAGGTAGGTAGATACTTACAGAAGGAGATAAGATAAGTACCATGTACTAGATTGTCAAGTTGGATTGGCATGTATAAGTCTATGCATGCATCGGCATCGATGCATCTCGATGTGACTCGGTGGGAAAAGCGAAATGAGAGAGAGGATCGGGATACTTTGATGAGAAGATGAGAAGATGAGAAGGTGAAAAGGTGAAAAGACGAAAAGGAGTATTGTATTAGTACTTCGGCACTTCATCACAGAAGGGAATAAGTACCAAGTACTGAATTCAGTATATATAAGATAGATAGTTAGTTAGTTACCTATTATATTACTCATTGTAAAGAAATTGAGATTTGTAAGTCTGTAAATCTGCGAATCTATAAATCTGTAAGGTGAAAACTCACCGGGAGGAAGTGGAGTAGGGTTAAAAGAAGAGAGAAAAGGAAGAGGAGAGAGGATGAGACAATGAGAGAATGAAGAAAGATAAAAGCAGATCAAAAACACAATAGGGATTCACCGGGAGCTGGAGGCAGGAGAGGTTGGAGGGGTCACGTGGTTTGTCACACATGATAAGTACAAACATCTACGCTAGTGTCTTGGCGGGGTGCACCGCACCGGGTTAGTGGTTTTCAAGAGTATACTCGTACTCAAACTCGTATTATCTATACAGCAGGCTCATCTTCAACGTTCGCTTTCACACGCCCACACATCTATCTCTATTCAACACACACCATGAACTTTTGATATGTTTTTTCAATTTTGTGTTCATCTATCTACGGAGGTATGTATCTCAACGCTTCGATCAATCGATCAGTAGAAATCCGCCAGATCGACATGTGCCTCTTGGGCTTACTTGCTGTACTAGCTTCCACTTTGTTCACTCCTCCACTTCTCCATCGGACTGCTGTACCAACGTACTATCTCTCCGTATTTTGCAGCAAGCTGCACTATCGACTGCTCAATCCCCAATCCCAGCATGCAAAGTGCTTAGCAAGCCAGTAAACATTGCTTGAACATCAAGTTGCCTTGGCAAATATGATGATCCGAATGTTGAACTCCAAACACCTTGCTCACGTGGAAAAACAACGATGGGTGGTATTTCTTGAAAGCAAAAGAAAAAAAGAATGTTAAAAAAGAAGAAAAGGAGGGAGAAGCATCCTCCTCGCAGACAGGTGTATGCTGAGAGATTTCTTGGATACTTCTTGTGTTCCGGTACGCCAGGCTGGCAAGAAGGACCCTGATTTGAGATGCTTGTAGACTGTTTTCTCGAGCATCTCTTGAGAGATTTGGGAGAAAGATCTCCCAATGGTAGTTTGGTCGTTGCTTTGCCCCTCGACATGCGGCATATCTGTAGAGACGCTATCCCATGTGTCGTGTTTCGTATGCGTAAAGTGGAGATGGTCATTGATAACATTTCCAGGGATTTTCGACACTGGATCGAATCGCGAGGAACGAATGCTCGGTATCATCGTTTTGTATCTGGAGGATTGAGTGTTCCTCAATCTAAAACGAAGTCGGTATGATGTCATCAACAAAGTCGAAATGTAAGTCCTGTAGTGCTCCCAGAATTGTTCCTGCCTTATGAAGCTTTTGGAGAGAGTTGTCATTCTGGATGAGACTGGCTATCTTGCCGCAGCTTTTCCTGCGGATTTGGAGAATATTCATACATTAGATAAAGCACATTAAGGTACGTCAATTCCCTCCGAAGATTACATTAGTTGTTTGCAGGAGCAGATGCAGACGAATCTGCATCCACAACTCCACCTGCGCCAGCATCTGGAGAAGAATCTCCACCAGTGTGGATAGTCTGCGCTTGGGCTTGTGTTTCAATTTTAGCCGCGGGGACTTCTACCACCGGAATGGCTTGTGCGGTGGTTTCCGGGCCCTTTGATTCGGCTGCAGTCGGGACGTTTTCGTCCTGCTTTTTGCTTTCTGGGACTGGTGTTTGACTGGGTTGTTTTGATTGACTTTCTGGCTGAGAGATAGCTTGATTTGGGGTTTGAGTCGATTCGACATCCTTGACAACTTCTTCTTCGCGACTTGAATCTTCCGTGGGCTTTAGGTCGAGATTTCCTGTTCCGGGTGTTTCCTTGGGCATTGAGGCTTGAGGAGCGGGAGCGGGAGCTGTTTCTTCAACTACCATCGGTTCTGGTATTGAGGCTGAAACTGGCAAATTATTTTCTCTGTTCAGTGGAGTACCGGGGTTCACAGCTGGAGCCTGAACACGGCCCCATTCCAAAGTTGAATTGGCATTGTATTTATTGTCGGAGATAGGTGCGGAATTTGAAGAATCTTGCGCAGTGTCTCCATTTCCTGAGGCATTTGCTTTGGTAAAATCCTGCTGTCATCAAGTTAGTGATAAATTCGTATCTGAATTCCAATGATTGAAAGAACACTACTTACTCCGCGGGCTAGTGAAGAGTATGAGGCGACTGGTGAAATTTCAACTCCTATCGATCCCACCGATGGTTGGGGAGCTGAATCCTCTCCGACGTTGATGCGCTTTGAAGAACCTCGAGAATTTCCCTTCCACCAACTTCCCATGCCGACACCTCTAATCTCCCCATCACTCAAAACATGCTGTGCATCTCCATCACCTCTCATGTTGCTTTCTTCCATTTCTAGGTCCTCTCCATTTCCATGGTCCATAATTCGCTTCCCACTTCCGTTCATTTTCGTTTCCAGCCACAACTCGCGATCTCGATCAACTTCCTGGTATTCTCTATCCATGTGGTGTTTCATCGCAACATTTCCGCGCTCCATTCCATTAACTCCTTCAACCCACCTAATGTTCATGATCAAGTAACTCAAACCGTCGTGAGCACGAGTATTCTTGCCTCCCCATTCACGACTCTTGATACCATAACGGATCGTGCTGAAGTACTTGTCAAGACAGCCCAGAACAAGTACTGTGACATGGAGATCGCGATTGTTACGAACTGGCATAGGACCTCTCGCAGGAGGGCGGTCAAAAAATTCATCCGGCCCATCAGCCATCGTATCCAGTTCTGGCTCAACAGATATTCCTTCATCTGCTTGATAAAGATCCAAAAGTTTGACATCAATATCGTCGCTCCATTTTCCGCAGATCCAACCTTGATGAATTAATGCCGCAATGATGTCCGAGTCATCCGAATAGACATCAGTACCCCATAGATTTTTCCGAGCTGTGATTTGTGCTCTGCTTGGCGGCTGAAGATGAACACGGGAAATCTTGACTGTAAATGTACAATTGATCAGGTTTTCGAAATTTGCGCTGCTTCTATTCGTACCAGCAAAAGCGCGATTGTAAGGCACTTCGCCGGTAGAGTTTGAACGGTACAATGAGAGATTTGCCTGGTAATATTCGCCACCAAGATGGCAACGAGGGTGCTGCGAAGCATCATCAATGATCTCTTGTGAATGAACTCGGTATTTGGGCATATGGAGATGGCTGTTCATAGGAGGAACTTTCGGTCCTGCAGAATTGTGATTTGGTCCTGCGGAATGGTGGTGATGGTGATGGTGATGATGAGAATGTGGATTTGAGAGATGATGATGCGGAACGACAGAAATCTCTCCGTGAGGTGGAGATACATCACCATTGGTTCTTTTGACGCTTTTAAAGGGCGTCACCGATTGAGATGAAGGTGGCGGGATGTGATCCAAAGCACCGGCGACTCTGTGTTGGTGACTAAACAGGTTAGATGGATCATTAAAAGAACAGAATGTGGGAATGTGAACATACGTATGTCGATGTGCAGCATGTTTTGTACGCTTTCCTCTGCCATTGGGAGTCTGTCGTCCAGTGCTGCTATCGTCATCATTTCTATCTTCCTCCTTGAGCTTACGGCGTCTACCAAATGGACGAGGCATTGTAGAGCTACCATTTTCAATAGGCGAATTATGAGCAGAAGGGGAATCAAGATCTTCACGGCGTGAGCCCGAGAAAGGCAAACCACCAGTAGTGGATCCCGCAACAGGACTAGATAAACTCAAAGCCACTCCACTTCCAATGCCAGGAAATATTTTACCAAACTCACTCTTGATACTAGGTTCACCAGCGGGACCAGGTTGCTGTGATTGTGCACCTTGTACAGCTTGAGGGATGGGTGAGACTCGACCTCCCCTGCGGTTGTCTTGAACACTTAGAAGTCCTCTTTGGTTCTGATGTTGCTGCATCATTTGAGGGGGTGCTTCTTCGACCAATCTTCTCTGCGGGGAATCATGCTGCGGGTATTGGGGATTAGGCGGCATTGATCCAGCAAATGCGGACTGTTGAGCTTTGACTTCCGCTCGCTGTCTTGCTGCAACTTGCTGTTCCTGCTGCTGCTGCTGCTGCAGCATTCTGTCCTCAAATGTTTGCTCAAAATGAGGGCCTGGACCCGATGCTTGTTGCTGCTGAGAGTGTGGCGGATAATGAGAGACGTGAGCGTAACGGGGATCACGTTGATCATTATTAGGGACAGGTTGATAAGCAGGGTGAATACCGTACTGAGGGGCCGCGCTTCTTGGCTGGTCGTAGACATTGCCATGTGGTGCATAAGATGGTGGCGGTCGCTCATATGTCGGTGGTTCAAACCCAATTCTTTGTTGTTCATGTCCAGGACGTACCCAAGTTGCTTGTTCGCGGGCGTCTGGTTGACGGCCATAGATTTGGGGATGATTTCGTTGAGACATCTGGTGTGGGTACTCTCCGTGTATGCCAGGTCGTGCCTGTTCCTGCATGACCATAGCTTGCTCCCGCTCTGAAGCAGACCTCTCCCTCTCCCTGTGATTTAACATCATGGCGGCTGCTGCTGCTGATTCCCTCTCCGCCCTATCTCTCTCTCGCTCTCGCTCCCTTTCTCGTTCTCTGTCGATGTGCTCAAAGACCGGGTCATGTCTACTGCTGAAACCACTGGGTCTCTGGTGGATCGGCTCTCCTCTAGTTAAAGTCTCCATCCCTCGAGGGTCTTGCTCTACTCTCCTACCACCCAGTTGTGGTTCGCCATGAAACGTAGAACGATCTCCAGGGCGAGACGTTGAAGAATGATATGTCATTGGCTGGCTGTTTGGTCGTGGAGGCATGTTCATGTTGCTACCTCTCATGCCTTGCGAGTCGCGCCGATCGTCCGGATGCTGGGCGATCGGGTTCTGAGAGGGTCTGTGACCGTAATGTTGAGGAGTAGCGTGTCGATGATCAGGCGTTCCATATTGTCCAGCACCTGGTGGTGATCCTGCAGAATTCGCCCGGTGATCTCGATGTTCATACCGTGAATCGGGAGTCCGAGGACGTCCAAAAGATGTATAGTCATTTGCCGCTGAGCTGACGCGCGGTGAAGCATGCGTCGCACTCCCATACATCGGAGGGGGTGCCGATGTAGTGATTGGGGACGTGTACTGGTTTGGCATCTGTTCACGAGTAGTCGGCGCTGGGCCTCCAAGTAATGATGAAATGGACATGTTACTTCCAGCAGTGCTAGGTGGTCTATTCAAAGGCGGTGGCAACTCTCGGCTACTTGGAAATCCGACCGGGGGCCCAACAGACACTGAAGGTCCTCGAGGATGTGGTGGTCCATAACCGTGTTGGATGGGTCCTTGGTGTTGTTGTTGTTGTTGCTGTTGTTGTTGTTGTTGTTGCGGCGAAGATGGTGGAGGCATACCCCGTCCTACAGGAGTCGAATGCCCAATCGAGGAAGAGCTCGGGTGTCTTGAATGACCTCCTCCATGCAGCGGCGGTCCTTCTTGATAACGCGGTTGAAAGTATTGTCCATCAGAAGTTCTTCGTTGATGATCCGGGTATGAAGGCTGGCCACTCGGTGGATGCGACGACGGTGGGTATTGTGAAGGCTGTCCGTTTGGCGCCGGTGGAAATGTAGAACGAGCGTATGGAGAGGCCGTATTCGTATTCCGCGAGAACGGTAACTGCGGTGGTCGACCTTCCATGACGCGAGGTTTGTCTATTTGTTATGGAGGTTGAGAGCTATTCGAGTTCTGCTTGAAATGCGGAAAAGGTGGAAAAGGTGGAAGGGGGTCGAGAGAGTTCTAGGTCCGAACTAAATAAGGAAACGCACAGGGTTAGTGCCGGTAATGGTTATCTCCTCTCAAGGGGCGAAGGTGGTGAATATGCCACTTACGATCTTGAATCCGGGAGGACTGACGAGGGTATCGAACAAGAATTGACTAACAAACAATGAACCCCGCTAATCAAGTACCCGTAGTGAATTCGCAAAGACGTATTTGTTGAGATCTGCTAATTAAACGGATGAATATTGTGCCACAGATAACGGTAAAAGGGGAATGATGGCGCAGGGACCTGTCGTGGTGGAGGGTGTTCAAGAGGAGGAAGACTTTTGAGGGTATCCAAAATAAAATGAAATGAAGCCAAATACCAAACAATCCGATATCGATCGCGTTTATTAAAAGTCAGTAGTATATTCATCCAGTGGAATATCAACCATGTTAATATTGAGTGAATTATAATCGAGATTGAAAATCGGAACCGAAATCTTCCTCTCCAGTGATGATGAAGGATGTTGATTTGGAGTGGTGAAGTGAAGTTAGATTTAGAAACCCAAGATCTCGGTGTACAAGAATCTTCTTTTCCATGAAGCTTTGATGATGAAAGTCAGACTAGTTTAATCGATTTTAGTTTGAGTTTTAGTTTTAGTTTCCTTTTTTTGATCAATTAGCGTCTTACTCAATTAGTGAATAATGGAGAGAAGCAAGTCTGCAGATGCCAGGATCAACTCACTAATGATCAGTGTGAGCTAAGCTAAGCATTGACCATTCCGAAATAGAACAAGCAGGAAACCCCGGGGGGAGGGACGTTCTCACGTCTTTCTATGAATCAGTCGACGGGAATTTCCACCTTTGGCCTTTGATTTCCATGAGATTGATGCCTGCTGAGCTCCTGACACCTGTAAGCAAAAGGGAAGTTAAGAGGGGGGGGCTAGACTGGATTGAGGTTAGACTTGAGCTTAAATCCTCAAAATGGGGTAAGGAAAAAAGGGCACTAGGATTAAATCCAATGATTTGTTTTTATTGTGATTTGGAAGGTGAGATTGATTATGAGTAGGGATTTGATCGAGATTCACTATGTGTTAAAGAATTATCTATTAAAGGAGGGATCTATTAAAGAATTATCTACTATAGGAAGTATCTATTAAACCAAGTCTCTTCTATTATCCATCCATCCAGGTAACCAACCTACTTGGGTAACTTGAGAAGGATATTGATTGCATTTCCGACCTTGCCGTTTCCTACCTAGGTCCCCAGACAGCCAGGTATCCCTTCCCATATGTTTCTTGACCGCACATACCCGTCATGTTGACACACACACTAGTCCGTACATTGCCTACACTACTATCACCTACTACCACCACCTACTACCACCACCCACTACCATCACCTACGCACTTCAAAGTTACAGTGTACATCCTGTCTTCACTTGACCTCACTTGGCCACAGAAGATCTTGGACATACCTCCCTCGGTAGAACAGCTTGACGTGTCTGTAACTTCACAATACGACGTATACCAAATAAATCTTCAAGTCGTTCAAATTCACACATCTACCAAGAACCGAATCAATAATAACCAATAAATCAATAAATCAATAAATCAATACACAACCCAATCTATCCACCATCAACTAATATAATCACCAAATCAATCGCCAACCGATCGTGCCAACCAAAACCTAAATCTACTCCAACATGCAAGCCAAGTACCCGCTCGCCATTCCCTTCCAATAAAGCGCGTCATCAATACTCCCCTCATCATTATGTACATGAAACTCTGAAACACATCTCAGCAAACAACGCTGCATACATATATACCTACATACATACATACTTCATCCCTACTATACAAACACACACCACCATTCCCCCTCATTCACCCTTTCCCCTCAAAAAGGAAAAGACATCCCTACAATCCCCCTTTCTTCCCACTTTCCTTACCCGAGCAGTGAATATCTGACATTCACTACCTACTCGCTAATCCGTAGACCAGCATTGCAACTTGGTTCCTGAATATTCAATGTGTTCGCTAAGGGTCGAGTGAATGTCTGGTGTCTAGCCGCGTTCGATCTATATGCAAAGAGAGCTACTGAGGATTCCCATTCAGAGAGCTCCTCACGGGGAAGAAAGTGAATTTTCATTGTGGTGATATGATATGATACGATATGATATGATATGATGTGATATCATGTGCGAGGTGGAAGTTTGACTAAAGCTGGGAGTTGTGATTTCTACATCGTATCGAATCTAGAAAGGAACGAAAAGAAAATGGTGAATAGAAATAAATATCATCATCATTATCATTATCATCAATCTGGACTTCTTACTTACTACTACCCAAATACAATACGGACGGAAAATGTGGAATTACCGATTATGTACCGGTACCTGAACATGCCACGCTTACCCTTGCTCACTCATCCGTCCATTCCCATTAAAAAATTGAGACCATGATCACAGCTTTCCAAGGTCCCTTGAGAAACTGCTAGGGGGATGGATGCGCTCGATACAACAGATAGATACCTTATCGCTACCTTATCCACCAAAATTCAAAGACATTCAATGTGAGACCTTAATCAGCAAGCATCACAAACATATTTGGGTTTGCTTGTACGATATACAATTGCAACATTTTCTAATCTTCACCATCATACTCGACATGAATGATAGGATTATCATCCAACGGCAATGAACAGATCTTCCTCATCTACCGGTCTATCGCTTCCACTTCCCGGCTCTCCAGGATCTTCATGGGCCATGTATCGAGCTAGATTGGCGGCGATTTTTCACGGCGCAGATACGTCGGTTTTGATCGCTTTTTGGTTGTTTGGTATGCGCACAACAGATTGAGTCGCACAATGATTCTTGGGTTGACACTTGTATAGGTCTGATCAACAATGTTTTGTATGTGATTATTTTGTCGGCGGCGTTGGATCTGGTTGGTATGTTTGAGTTGCTTCCCCTTTTTGACTGGATGCGCAATCTGAACTTTCCACTTGGATGTTTGGGATCGCAAGGTGTTTTTAGTCACTAACTCTTCATATGACAGGTCCTGATATTCCGAAATCTGTCGTTTTACTCGCAGACGTTCTACCTTCTTTTGTAACTAAACTCGTCGCTCCATATTTCATTCATAAGATTCCTTACTGGATACGCATCATCGTCTTCTGCTCCTTATCCTCGGGGGGTATGCTCCTCATAGCATTAACCCCTGACGACAAATCTGTATCGACAAAACTATTTGGTGTAATACTTGCGAGTCTCAGTAGTGGCTGTGGAGAATTAAGTTTCTTGGGTCTCACGCATTACTATGGGCATTTCAGTCTGGCAGCATGGGGGAGCGGAACAGGAGGGGCAGGTTTAGCAGGAGCTGGATTGTATGTTCTTCTGACAACTATCATTGGACTATCTGTCAAGATCAGTCTTTTAGCTTCTGCTTTCTTGCCTTGTATAATGCTTCTCTCATTCTTCGTTATATTACCTCAAGGACCGTTGAGAAGAGCGTCTTTGAGGAAAGATTACAACACACTCCCTGGAGAAGATTCGCTCAATCAACCTCTCACAACTTCAGATATCGATGATCTACCACCTGATTCAGCAGCGGCTTCTTTACTTGCACCTGGTCCCGCCATCGCATCAGAAGCCTACTCATCACACTCCCCCGTCCCTCTTCTCCGGGATTGTCTCATCACAAACCGAAATCAACATTCCTTTATAATCTCCACCGCGCCTCTTCTCTTTTCTTTCCTTACATGCTCCCTCTCCTCCTCGTCTACATAGCCGAATATACCATCAATCAGGGTGTCTCTCCTACTCTGCTCTACCCTACTCCTTCCTCGGGAAATCCCTTTTCTCACTACCGCTCCTTCTATCCCACATATGGATTTATCTACCAACTCGGCGTCTTTATTTCCCGCTCCTCTACACCTTTCTACCGAATCCATAATCTCTACATCCCGTCATTCCTCCAGATTGCAAATCTTTTCCTCCTCATTTCGCAAGCGTTATGGTTCTGGATCCCAAGTGTGTACATTATCTTTGTGGTGATTTTTTGGGAGGGACTTCTCGGCGGAGCAGTGTATGTAAATACGTTTGCGGAGATTATGGAAAAGGTGGGAGAGGCAGATAGAGAATTTAGTTTGGGAGCGACGAGTGTGAGTGATAGTGGGGGAATTTGTATAGCAGGGTTTGTGGGGATGGTTTTGGAGGTTGGTTTGTGTGAGTGGCAGGTTGAGAGGGGGAGGGGGTGGTGTAGGATGACTTAGTGGGGAAAGGGGATATGGTGAGGGCGGGGAGGATTAAATGATGAGAGAATGTAGAAGTGAAGGATGGAGAGAACTAAATGATGAGGGGGTCACCGGGGGTCACCGGCGTTAGGGATTTTTTCGTTTTATATCATGCATGCATACATAGATAGATACCTTTCAATTTGAGATTTTGTCACTTGTCCAATCATTGTTTTATAGATTCATCTTGATCTCTATCTTGTTACTTTACTCTTGCAAACACCTTGTATTTAACCCAATAGAGGTATAGTATTCACTCACTTGCTTGCTTTCCTGACATTAAGCTCGTGCTCGGTTGGTTATGAGGATTCACCACCCTCATCTCCTCGGTATTCTATGATTGCCTTGCTGGTTTTCTCTTTCTGATTTCCTCTTTGATTCTTGGGTTTGATATTCGGGTTTGATACCCTGATTTGATACTCTGGCTTGATACGTAGAAATTTAAATCATCCCGATGATTTGCAAGCGAAGCCATGTATCTATGGATGGATGAATGATCGATGTATGGGTGCAGGAGTTGGTGAGTTAGTGATTTAGTGATTTACTGGGGTGATATGGTGGTGACGATGGTGATGATGTACTGGTGGTGTGTTTTGAAAAGAGAAAAGAACTCTTGAATTGAGGTTTAGATTTGGAGTAGGTGTCAATATTGTCGTTTTAATGTACAGAGAGGCTAGTTTCCAAACTTGCGCCGCAAACTTGTAGATACAGAATGCTTATCACATGAATCAACAACCAATCGCTACCAATATTTGGGGTCTCAACTGTGATCTTCTTCATTGATGTCAAAACATTAGAGTTGTTCGCTAGAAGAAGCGTAGCTATCTATCTATACACAAGCACAATCATACAACACAACCCTCAAAACCAAACAAAACATGGAGATAGATTCCTCTTCAATCTCAATTACTAAGAATCCAACTGTTAGCAAAGGCTTAGATGTGACCAAAACTCCAATCCTACATGCTATCTATCCACCTCGAGTTACGCTCCCCAGATACATCTTCCCAGCCCAATGTTAGTTCTCCAATCAAATCGCCAATCGAAGTATAGTAAAAAAGGAGGATGAGGTAAGATTCATGAAAAAGACTCCAAGGTGTGATGTGAGAAACTAATAATAGTTTCCCCATCCCTGTGCCTCAGCCTTTAGATCTACAGCCCCAGCCATTCTAGTACATGGCACCTTTCAAAAAAGTCGATAAGCAAGTGTGATGTGTAACATCCAGATCGATTGCATCCGTGTGTGCGGTGCGGGCGGCGCTGCTTGGACAGATGCGATGAAACGACTATGTTTGATAAATAAAAGGGTAGGTGAGGTAACATAAAGGTAATTGATAATTGTCATCCTATATTTTTACTTTCATTCTCCTTTTTTCTTGGTCGTGCTTGTATCCTTTCCTTCTCTCTCGGTCTTACTTTTTCTCTCTGTTATTTGTTCGTCGCATTCGAGAATTATCAAACCCCTTACATATTACGATATTCAAAATGCGTTCAACGTTTCTGCTTCTCGCAAGCGCAATTACATGTATGCGATCAGCATGTGAAGCTGCGTATGTACCAGGAGCAGCTTTCGATCGATTCTTTACTATCTGGCTCGAAAATCAAGTGCGTTCTCATCCTCTTCTCCCATCTCCCCTTTATATCTCTCAAACCCCTAACCTCATTCTAGGACGATTCAAAAGTGGAAGCCAATGCCGATATCCTCAATTTCACCGCACAAGGCATTCTCCTTGAAAATTACTACGGACTAACTCATCCTTCTCAACCAAACTATATCGCATCAGTCGGTGGCGACTTTTTCGGTCTCAATCATGATGAATTTGTACGCATACCGCATAATGTGACGACGGTGGTGGATCTTTTCGAAGACGCGGGAATCACTTGGAAGGGGTATTTTGAGGGACTGCCAGGACCGGGATATATGGGAGAAGGAAGTACTGCGCAGGATGGGAAGGGATGGGATTATGTTAGGAAACATAAGTGAGTTTAAACCCCGAATTGCTTTCAATTAAATAGTCTGCCTCCACGGCAGTGGCCCTCGGAGAGCCAGCGGAGCGTCATTCTCTTTAGGGAAATGATCAAAAAGCCAATGCTAATATGAATAAATAGTCCTTTTGTAAGTTACGATAGTATAAACACAAACGGTTCACGACTTCAAAACCTCCTCTCCCTAGACGATTTTTCCACGACCGTTAAAAGGGATCCAGCGTCCTTACCACAATATGCACATATATCCCCAACATGTTGAATGATGGACATAATACCTCTCTAGCATATGGAGCCAATTGGACGCGATCATTTCTTACTCCTCTTCTTCAAAACGAAGCATTTATGAATAATACTCTCATTCTCCTTACTTACGACGAATCAGAGACCTATTCCAAACCAAATCGAATCTACTCCGTGCTTTTAGGGGGTGCTGTGCCAGCAGATAAAAAAGGAACTGTTGATACCACAATTTATTCGCATTACAGTATCCTTTCCACCTTACAAAACAATTGGGGTCTTCCTAATTTGGGTCGCTACGATGTTGGTGCTAATGTCTTTGATCTCTGCGCTTCGAAAACAAATTACACAAACATAAACCTCAATATGACGGTTCTCAACAACTCTTTATCATACCCTGGATTCTTAAACAACGATCCAGCAAAATGGGCACCAGTCCCTGTTCCAAATCTCCAATTAATAGGCGCAGGCGAAAAGGGTGTAGATGATTACACACATGCCGAATGGGTTAGTGCTAAATCAGAAAATACACCCTATGATGGAAGCGGAGAATTCTTCGACGGCGGAAACGGAGTAGCTGATGAGCGAAAACCGGTATATGCAACGCAAGGAGCGAATGTGATTGCTACAGCCACAGTAGCACAACCATATAGCGCGACTGCGACGCCTACGAGTGCTAGTACAAGTATGAGTAGTGCGAGTGCGTCGGCGAGCGCGACAAAGGGGAATGGAGCGGAGAGGAGTAGAAGTGTGGGGACGGGGTGTGGGAAGGAGGTACTGGGATTGTGGGTTGCGTTGGTTTTTGCGATTGTGATTTTGTAAATTTGATTTTGGTTTGATGGGGTTGCTAGAGGGTTCATGGTCTGGGGTGGGTATGTATTTTAGAGGAGTTTTCGGTTGTATATCTAGGGATGGGTTATGATGGGTAGATACCAATGGGAATGGAATTTAAGGCTCGTTTTCAGAACTTGGTCGGGAAATTTCGGTCTTTGAACCTTGGTGATTCTTTTCCCTCATTGTCGAAGTGTGTGATATGTTGCAGGACCGAACTGATTCGTGTCTTGTCTCGTTTTGTTTTGTGGTCCTGTGGTTCTTGTTGCTAGCGCAACCATCTTCCTCTTGGGGCGAGTTCCTCGAAGATTACAAGATCCGAGGTCCTGTACGTCTTCCTCTCAGGGGTCATCGCACTTGTCGAGTATCGCTTCTCGACACAGGATGGAGAGATACATCCTGGGAGTACATCCTGGGAGTCAGCATCTCAACTGTTTCGATCTTGGCGCTGCTCGGTCGGTACTCTTTCTCTCGTTTGGATTCTCGAGCTTGTTATTAGTGGGTGCGTGCTTTTCTTTTGCATGGTGGGGTGCTTGTTGGCTTGTTGGCTTGTGGGATTCGTGTGTTCTTTTGGGGTGGGGTGGGGTGGGGTAGGGATGTTGTATATGTGCTTGGGTAGGTGATTCTGGAGTCTACTTTTTGATGATTTGATTGTTTGGTGTTTGGTGTTTGCGGTTGCGGTTGCGGTTAGTGCTGTGTGTACGTGATGTTTGGTGAGATGAGATAGTTGTAGTGAGATGAGGTAGGTTAGTCTCCGTAAGACTAGACTAGGTGCCTGGGTAATCGTCATAGCCTTCTCTGAATTTTGAATAATAGAGTGTAGTACTGAGTACTGAGTAGGTTGTCGCTTGTCTATAACTTTATAGACTGATTTAGTTTAAGCTTAGACGCTTTTTATTTCGTTCTGTATTTCGTTTTTTGTTTTGTTTTGTCGTAGTTTGCTGGCTTGAGATTCTGAGATTCGAGGGCGTGTATGTATGTATGTATGTATGTATGTATGTATGTATATGATGTTGAGTATAAGATTCGTAGCTTATAGCTTGTAGATAGCTTATATAGATAGATAGTCTTTCGATGAATCTTCTATCTAATGTCCTATAGATTTTCTATAGTCCTCGTTGTTTTCGACTCGTCGATTAATCTTCTGTTATTCTCGTTCTTGTCGTCGACTAGTCTTCTATTGGGGAATATGAATGGATTCATTATGACTCGATAGTTTATTCTTATAATGCTTTCGTAATAGCATTATTCGATAGTTGGGATTTATGAGAACTCGACATTTTATTCTCTACTCCTTCGCTCGTTCCTTAAGCGTGTACCGCTTTTGTATCTTCTTAGAGATAGTCATTATATCGATCTTTCAGTCGAGCAATCGATTCATTTCGTTACGCTCTTTCTTAGTCTTGAGATATAATCTTTCGATATCTTATCTTATAGATAGTCTCGTCGGGATTATCATCTCAAGTGGTAGATACATCTATATTATATTACATATCCTCGTAGAATATATTATGTATACTCGTAGTAATATACAATATAATATAGAAGCGATAGAGCGATTTTAAGACCGATAGTCTCTCTCGTTTATCGACACTTCGTATCTAGATTACGTGGAAATAGATAGTAATAGTAGTCGTATTTAGAGGAATGCATTCTTATCGAAATAAGGATTCGGACTTACTCAACCGTTGAGGTTGAAGCCGATAGCAGTATGAGTTACTCTACTGGATGGATCGTAGGATCCGTATCGATTTCCTCGTCTTGGTAGTAACATCTTCGTCGATGATTTTCGTCGCTTTCGGTCTTGGACCCTCGGTATATTTATTCTCGTCATGTTCGCTTAATCGTGATATATCGAATCTGCTCCTGTTTAATCCTACTCCTATTTTCTTCATTAGTACTTCTAACTTCTCTTAAACTTATATACTCTACTCGATCTAATGAATCCTTATCTTCTGTGGTTAGTAATCTAGTAGGATGTCTCGATGGCTCTCTACTCTTTCTTACACTGCGCTTGTTTTCTTTCGATTCGTTGTCGTATAGTTATCTTCGATTCTTTCTTCGTGGTTTCGTGGTTTCGATTTTTCTTGTGGTCGTATGTTCGTATATTCGTATGTTCGTATATTCGTATATTCGTATATTCGTATATTCGTATATTCGTATTCGTCTTGTTGTTTCTTCTTTTCGTCCCTTTTCTTCTCTCATTTCCTGTATACCCTGTATTTCCTGTATTTCCTTCCTGTATACCCCTCCTTGTAAGCCCCTATATACCCCTATATACCCCATAGGTTCTATAGGTTCTATAGGTTCTATAGGTCCTATGTTCCCTGCATTTCTCATATTGTCTTATTCCCTATGTTACTTTCTTCCTATATCCTTCCTTGTATTTCCCCTCTACCCCTCTATCTCTTCCTCTTCACCTCCTCTTCACCTCTTTCACTTCCCCTTCCCTTCCTTCTCTTCCTCAACTCCACTTCCATCGCCCCCTCCCGTATACCCATAGACATCTTCTTTCTAGATTTTCCACGCACAATGACTTTTGTCCCAAAAATATTTTCCGACAAATTATTTGCACGTATTTTTTACATTGATTGGACCTTTTTTTCCAAGACACTCATCCTTGGAGTTCCGAATACTAAGATGTGAATGCCTCACCGGGGGTAATCTCTTTGATTCTATTACTCACCGGAGAGCAACATCATTAACCTTATTACTCACCGGTAGTAACATCATTAATTACCTTGCTCGCCGGAGGGTAATATCAATAGTCTCATTACTCACCGGTGACAACATCTCTGATCTAGGCACTCACCGGAGAGCACATCGTTAATCTTATTGTTCACCGGTAGTAACATCTTTGATTCGGTTACTCACCGGGCGTTCATCGCTTTGGATTCAATCTTCATTCATCGGAAATAATTTTTTGTGTGGGAACTTGCTTTTTTGGGAGGGGGGTAAGGGGTGGAAGACAATGAGGAGGAAGATTGGAGGATCGGAACTTAGAGAAGGGGTAGTGATGAGGGAGGTGGATGGAAGGAGTTTGTATGGCACTCGATGTGGTAAGCTTTTCATATCAGATATTCTGTTTGAAAGAGGTGGTGATTACTAGAGGCTTGAATCGATGATACGCTAAGTGTATGTTTCTTTTCGTGAAGTCTAGTTGTATAAGATACATAAAATATGCGCCTCATAGGGTTTGTATATCAGCTCTTCTACTCTTCCCTGTCCCTTTCCTCGACCCATCTTACCCACTCACCAACCCTCTAGGTCTCAACCACCATCCCCCAATAACCCCCGCACACCCCGCCATACAACACCCTGTGTAAATAACCATATCCCTATACCTCTCAACCCCATACCCTCCAAGCACCACCTTCTCCCCCAACAACCCCCCACTAATCGGACCAACCAATACATTCCCCACTCCCTGCAAACAAATGAAAATCGAATAAATACTCACCACACTCCCCGGGTCACTACAAATCAGCTTCCCCATCGCCACTCTCATCGTACTAAACCCATATCCAAAAAATCCATACATGATTCCATACGCGATAAGCAAACCCATTGATTTTGCAAAACCCCAGAGTACGAATGAGGAAATCGTCGCCATGATTGTGCAACCCACCGCAAGAGCATTGACGGAGAAATTCTTATCAGACAAGTAGCCACATGCGAATTGGCCCGCGACTTGCGCTACACTCATGACTGCCAAAATTGCAGCTCCTTGCGTACCACTCAATCCGATATTTGTAGCGAAAGAAGGGAGATAAACCCCTGGGTAGAAAAATCCCATTCCGTAAATCAGTGTTGCAGATCCATAAATATAGAAAAGTTTATTTTTCAGAAACCCCCAATTTGTGCGTGCCAATCTACTGCGTTCACTTGGTGGCAATCTCCCTTTCAACAGCGGCAGCAAAGGAACCGTCAAAATCGTAATCCCAACTGCGATAATCCTCAACGCGGTTTTGTATCCATATTTCTCGAGCAAAAATTGAATAATAAACGGCATTCCCGCGCCACTCACTCCACTCGCCGCACTGATCAATCCAAACGCCATCCCCTTCCTCGCAATCCACCATTCATTTATCATACTTATGATAGGATATGTGAGGATCAGGAATCCGCAACCGTACATTACGCCCTGAGTCCAGATCAATCCCTGCACGGAGTCGCAGAAGGAACCGGCTACGAGACCAAGGATGCAGATTGGGAGGCCGAGCCAGATTTGATGGGTTTGGTGCTTGGGAAATCGTTTGGTGAGGGAGGCGGAGAGAGGGGCACCGAGGTAACAGAGACCTTGGGAGATGGTTCCGATGAGGGCAATTTGGGATTTGGAGGTGGTGAATTGGGGGAGTGTGAAGTAGTAGTCTTGGAAGACTCCAAAGGAGATGGGGAAACCTTGAGTGGTGGATGTTAGCTATTCCTCGGTTACGACTTGATTAAAGCATGATAGTAGAACGAGCGAAGAGCATAGCGAGAATCGGTATAAAGTTCGAAAAAAGGAGACAGAGAAAAGAAAAACAAACCCCATAAGATTGCTTCGAACACAAATGCCGCGATCAATAATCTCCAAGCTGCCGGACCTCCATCTACAGGCTTGAGTTGTTGATAAACTCTTTCCGGATCCTCAGCTTGAAGTTCTGCTTCCGTGTCGCTTGTACTTCTAATTCCATCTCCTATCCTCCTGGCATCTGCATCTATGTCCGTTACATTTGCTGATTCTAAGTTTTCAACATTGGAATTTGTGAGAGAATATGAAGTTTTATGGTTTTGGTGCGGATTATCGAGCAATTGAAGTTCTACTGGTATATTTGATTGTATCGCTGGAGAAGATTCATTTTGATGATGAGAAGTATGTGACGTCATCTCTGGAAATCAATTGATGTCCTATAGTATCAGAATAGAATAACGAATTAAGAGACATTGAAGACTACATTTTGATTTTTGAGGATTGACCTTATCTATGTATTTTCGGCCGACTGATAGTAGAGCGTGTAGGGTTCCGATGACGGCAGACATGACTAGAATGGAGCATTTTTCCATTTAGCCCATAGATAGCTTTATTTGTGGATTGTTTGTAGGGCCGACAATATGCGTGGTGGAGTTCGTGGGGATGATGATTAATTGACATTGACACGCCCTTCATGAGTAATAATTTGTTAGTTGGTCAATGCGGAATCTTTAGCGAAGGGGCTCATGGAAATGTTTGTATGATTTAGAGATACATTATATTGAACTGTATATACCCTCAAGTATCTATATACAACAAAAAGATGGTGTATCTAGCTGTTTATCCAAAATTGTATGGGTTGTCATAGATGATAGATCGGTCCAACATATAGCTTCAAATAAGCGCCTCATCTAACACCCTACCTGTCTATCTCATCGTCTCCCTCATCGTTTTATCCAACATTCCAAAAGCTCTAATTGTAATCCGAGTCGAGACAGCAACGCTCAATATGCCTCATCTCTTCCCATTGATATGAGCTTCCCTCCCGAATTCGGCACACCAAAATGATTCATTCTTCCGTCGCGCTCCAGACTTTCTCAATCTTTTTATCTCCCAAATCATTCGATTCATATACTCCTCGTCTCCCCCCAAAAAAGCTATAACATTGTGTTCCTTTTAAGCTGTATGATTTGTGATACTATTTCGCTCGCTTGCAAGTTCTTTCTAAAAGGGAAGGAGCCCTTAAGCTATCTATCTACACATGACTTTGTTGATTGATCAGAATGGCACAATAACAACATGGCTTGATTGATACTTACTTCAATTTTGTAGCAAAACTTGGCGATAAAAATCGTTTTAATGTTAACCTTAAACTCCGCTTTCCGACATTTGCGATGGTTCTTCGTTATCCGTCTCATCAATCTCGTCATCAATCCCGTTATCCGTCTCGTCATCCGTCTCGTCATCCGCCTCGTAACCCCTCTCGTAGCCCCTGGCGCCATTTATCGCCTCTACCCTCTCAACACCCCACTCAACATCTTCATTCCCTTCTACTACCCTCGCCCAACGAAAACCTGCCAAAAATAAATGAATCCTATGTTCCTGGATGTAGGGTGTAAAAATTTCACGCGTTATTGGGTAAATAGCACATGCGTAAATCAAATTCTGCTCTACTTCTATATCCAAATCCAAGACGTCTTCTCCTAATTGGAGGGCCTGCTCAACTAGATAATCCCCTGGCGAACACATAAACTTGATGACTCCCTCGAGTTTGAGAGCAGAAGCTGGAAAGTCGGGAACACGATCACTTATAGCTTCCTCGTAACTTGGTAAATACACTTCTTCTTCATATGATGGTGGTGATGGAGATTGAATTGCTTGATTGAGGCCATCCGAATGCTGCTCGGTTGACGCGACGTTTTGCAAAGACATCGACATTCTGACAAGCGGTTTAATATAATTATTGCTAGTGGATAAAGATATATTGGCTGCTGGCAACAGTAAAGTTCGAAAGCAATTTGGGCGCTTTGATGCTGATAGATTGAATGATAAGAATGTATTTTGATGTAGTAACTATTCCGATTTTCGAAAGATGTTCTAAGAAGCTATATCGAATAACGATTGAATGAATTGCTCAATAGATACGGTCGAAGGATACGATTTTTAGATTCTTATTTCGTCAGATGATAGTATAATGTGGATATTCAAATGTTTGATATTCGAATGTCTGATATGTTGGATGATGGTAAGTAATGAACCTGGAGTGTTGATTAATCGAATGGTAAATTTGTGCTTTTGACAGAAAAAGAAAATTGCTGAGATACTAAGGAGTTCTTACAGGAAACGAAGTAAAGCTAGGGAATGCTAAGTTAGTATTTGATCTAGAGTGACAAGCGTTAACTAGTGGCTGATTATTACTACTAAATTTACCTGGAAAGTAACACTAGACTGCTTCTCGAGTCTTCCACCTCAATTAAGCTTTTAGGATAGTATTCCTATGTCACATGGATAGGGTGCATTCATACATTCTAAATCAGTAGTGAAGTAACAGAAGGTAGCTGTATGCCGAAATTGAAAATTTTGACGATGGAGTAGTAATAAAGGGGTGAAAGTAACAGTCAATATTTCACTCAATATGAGAGACAATCAAAGTATGGATTTACACAGAAGATACTATTCGAATCGTTGCTCAAGTACTTGACTCCAAACTTGAACTTCTATCTTCATTTGAACTTTCTCCAAAAATTGATTTAATATCTATTTTTAAACTTGTATCATTCTGGTGCGGACTAAGGAAATTTATTATCACAATTATTTGTTATCATTTGTTGAATGGATTCACTGTCCTAAATGTAAACTAGCTAGCATTAATCATGAAGAGATATATTTCTCTTGATTACATATTCTTAATATGATAGTCATTACAATGCAAGCCTCCGTATACCTACATTCTCGTTTCTTTCATTCGTCTCGAGGATTCTCGCTTAGAAGCTTCCGCTTTCGTCTCAAATCGACATTAACTCTTGAACCTTATTCACAAAAAGCGTCTTTCCTTACAATCACATCAACCTCCAGGTCGCTCTTTCTTACATCTTCTCAAACACCGGGGAGAATGATCATTATCACCCTTCAAAATGAGAGAGACTAATAAAATGGTTTGGAAGATGGTTTCGAATGACTTGAATAGCACTTAGCCCTTGGAGCTTGCAATTCGAAATAATTACATGTTTTCTTACTTCTTATCGTAAAATAAATGAAAAACGTCATAGGAGTTTAGCTGGACTACCTAGTAGATGAACTAGCTCAGCTAGTAGGTGATCTAGCTCGGTTAGGGATGTCAGATTGCACTCCAAGGGGGAAACTATTATTGCTTGTCGGGGGCAAATATCAATATCTAACAAATGAGATAAAGGATTATTTTACGAATAAAATGATTCAAAGGTTTCATTTGATCGCGATGAACATGAAAATAATCAACGGACACACAAAAGAAGCATTGAAACAATCAATTTATGGTCCTGCAACTATTCAGTACATGATCATAACCCCGTTGACTCCGGGAGTCATATGTAGTCACTCAAGCTTAGATGAAACCAAGGATCAAGCCAGAAAAAGGCATTTGCAGATGTGCAACAGAATTAAGAATTGGAGTAAGTACTGTCATCGGTATTTGATGGGGGCGGGGATGATTGGGCAGTCAATAATGGACTAGTTTACTGGCATGTCTCCCCGGCCGGACCCTGGCAAGTTCAAGAGATGGGTAAAGTCCATATTTGTATGCACATAATACCAACTCTAATCAGAACCTCTATCATAGCACTTGCAAGGATTATTTCACCCCCCGTGCCATTCTTTTTCTGCACTTCTCAAAGTCCAAAGATGACCTATTAATTGATACCAGTGCAAGATAATTTGGTATTTCGACTCGTCGACATGCATCGATCGATTAGACAGGTCAAAAATTGACGAACTGAATGGCACAAAATGGATGACATGCTTCGGATGAGGCAATGATAATTTACTGGCCAGCCATCCTTTGCATTCCCAGAAACTAACAATACGTAATTGCAGTCGCAGATTAATACTCAAGTCCCAACCGGTTCAGATATGGCAGTCACGCCTAATGAGCTCAGTGCAGATGCCAAATCACCAGGGATTGAAGGCCTATTACTATAGTAACTGCACCAGAATGAAACCACTTGCATCACATCTTGTGATTGAACTTGCAATCAGGATCATATGATAGAGCCAGCTTGGTTCATTTTAACTTAGGGTATCAATGGTTAAAGTTGAAGACCACAACGTAGGGGCTTATAAGTAAACAGATGTTTTCGTAATCGCAGCCAGAATGCTGACTCAAAACCTGGTCAGAATGGTAGCTTCAGGAAACAAGGGTGTGAATTACTATGATCGTTCTGCTTCTAAAGCATTCGTATTGATACCAGGGCTATCATCTTTATTTTGTGCTGATTGACATAGCTGCTACGAAATAATGGCATCATTTCTTAATCATGAGAAAAGTGCATGTGAAGAGACGGTATTTCAAGCCATTTGGGCACGTACAGAAGTGATCATGTGTCACATTTGAAGTGTGTATAATGAGCCTGCACGAGATGAAGTTATTCAAATGATTTCACGGGGAACTCCGTGTAGATGATCTGTTCCAACCCTGCAAATGAGGGGACTTCACGGGGTACATATGTTTACATCAACATCTTCACTTTACTAAATATTTGAAACCAGTTAATGTAGGTATGTCAATTCCATGGATGAGATGATAATTTCGATATTCTTATTCTGCTAATATCACGCTTCTTCATATATACCTACTCAACCTTCGTTGGCAATGCCATACTCGTGATGTTCTGTCGAAAAATAGGCTGTATGTCTGAAAATCCACGTTGTCTGTACGAATGTGCTGTATAATCGAACTACTAGAAGTGTTTAGGTTTTGATACAATTGTTTCAGCTGTCTCTCTATTGGATGCTCAAAGCTAACCAGTACTTGTTTCTAGCTAGCAGCGTGGAAGTGTTTCTTTACTCACCAGACTGGTACGAACGAGAGTGATATGGTTGAAATCAATACGTGCAGATTGAATTCAGATTGTCCTTGCTGGGCTGGATGGAAGACGAGTCGAACTTACCAATTACAGAATGAGCTGAACCTACCGAAGCACTCTTACTAAAACAGAGAATTCAAGCTTTTAGAGTTCTTGAAATAGAGCTGATCCTTGTTGTACTTCCCTTGGCTGCCAGTAGCTCCGGGTATAGTACTTTTTAATTTCTTGGGTGGGGGGTAGTCTTGATTCGAATAAGTTAGCGAGAGTCATATGTACTGCCAATCTTGGATGGATTAAAGACCTTTTCGAAGATGAGAAAGGGAGATGGGGAGTAACTGCACTGCATACCTCCTTGGCCTATTAGATATGCAACGAAACTGGTAATTTTCCGGCGAAGAAAAACTAGGAGTAGGTAAGCTTTTTCACTCGAAAGATCATGACAGAGTGATTGAGTGGCTCCAACTAGCTTGGCACTGATTCATGTTAGTTGGTTTTAGCGGATGGGGGATACGGCTGTGTAATATATATATTTATTGAACTATATCCCACCAGATTAAGCATCTTCATGAAAAGTCAACACACAATGGACCCCCTCGAAGATGGATTTCTGGGTCGTTATCAGCGGGACAAACAAGGAGATTTGTCCGACCTAAACGAATTACCCATTTCAAACCCACTTCATCCATTGAGACTAAATTCTATCCCATCACAGATTTCTGAACCGCCTCGCGTACCTAACTCAACATTTCTTCGGAAATTCATGGCCAGATCTATCCTCTTAGCTATCGCATCACCAATCATTCCTCAGACATGCCATTTAGCAAACCTACCCAAGGAAACATTTCGTATCATACTAGGACATTTACCCCCATCCTCAGCTTCGTCGCTAGCACTCACCTGTAAAGGGTTTCTCGCGGCAGTAGGAAATGACCCTTTCAAGGCACTGTCGAGGGATCGTTGTGAGACATATGTTCTTTTATGGTTCATTGCAAAAGACCTACCCCGTCAAAGTGTCTGTCATTCTTGCAATCGACTCCATAACAATGAAACCGCATTGAGATGTTATCGAGATGGAAGAAACGGATGTGGAGAATCTCAAAAGAGGCACAAAGCTCTGAAGTGCCGATTAGACACTCGTCTTGACTGGGACTACAAAGAGTTGATAGATGAAGATTTTAGTCCAAGGATTTTTAATATGGCTATGAAGCATTCGCTCCACTATCCAGATTGTGAGGAATTCTTGACTGCACTGTCTGGAGAGTGTAGAGCTAAGAGTGATTGGCGTGGTTGGATCGAAGAATCCCAAACAGATTGTCGAATTCTCCGGGGATCCTTCATTCATCGTACACAGATGGTTTGGATCACACCCACAAACAACCGAATGCCATTCGGTTTGACTATGGAACAATGTGCTCACACCAGGGTATGCCATATGAACGGGATTATTTACACAAGGTCCTATGGTCTTTCAAGTGGCGACGACGATGCAGATTCGCAGAGTCTTTCGTGCGATTGGGACTCCCCAGAGATTACTTTGAATGTATTGAAGTGCCGTCGTTGCTCTACACAATGCCAATTGACCATGAGACCCTTGCCCGTGGAAGGGTCAGGAATGGCAATTTACATTACTAGATGGGTTGATCTGGGATCCGGCACATTGGATGAGAAATGGCAAAGATATTTTCAACGAGGTAGATTCGAATTCGAATATCAGCAGCAACCAGATTCGTTATTTTTGTCTTCGGTATTCGAGAATGATGGTGGATTTCGAAGCAAGATAGAGGATCAACGCTATGCATCATTGTTCCATTCTCCAGTGCCCGAGAACTGAGAGACACAAGTATCAGTGGAATGAGGTGCAAACGCCACGATCTCTTCCAACAACCATGGTCGTGATTACTCATCATTGTCTCTTCAAATCCCGTGGTTTTGATTCGTCGTCGCTACCAGAATCTATCAGTGATTCTGTGCCGCGGGGTAGTTTTGGACCCAAACACGCCAAACACGCCAAACACATATTGGTGAAATCTGAACATTCAACCGTATCACTCAAACATATAATTGTATATAGTCAATAGATAGCTTCTCTATATATTACAGTTATTATTACCTATCTAGGTATATTCCTGGGTACTGTTATCGATATCTAATGTTGAACCCCCCCTGCATCGTTTTTGACAATGTGATGATTTCCATACCTATGCCCCGCCATTATATAAGCCCGTGCCCTTCGAACTTTGGGTCTTGAATTTTTGATAAAAACTTCCCAAACCGCAATCAGATCATATTCTTCATATTGAAAACTACTACACCCCCTTTATAGATAACAATATGGAGGATGACCGTGCAGAAGTCGATTTGGGGGTAGCTGTCGATGTGGAAAATATTCTCGAAGAGCCAGTGGCGCAACGCCAACCAAAGAAACGTTTCGTGGGAAGAAAGCAAGCTGCGGAAGCTGCTGCACGCAATGGCAACAATACAACTCCTGGGACAGTGATGCCATTCAAGGTCTGTAACTCAACATTCTCAGATTTATTTCCCTAGCTAATGTTACCCATAGTTGCGACTCCTAGAAGAATTCGAACATTAAATCAAGTGCCTCCCGAAATTTTGAATGATCCTGATATCAATGCTGCCATCGCTCTCCTTCCACCAAATTATTCCTTCGAAATACACAAAACTATACATAGAATAAGAATGAACGGATCAAAGAAAGTTGCGCTGCAGATGCCTGAAGGTCTACTCTTATTCGCAACCACAATTTCGGACATTCTCACACAATTCTGTCCTGGAATCGAGACGCTCATAATGGGAGATGTTACATATGGAGCCTGTTGTATTGATGATTATACCGCTCGAGCTTTAGGCTGTGACCTGTTGGTACATTATGCGCATTCATGTTTGATTCCAGTGGATGTTACAAAGATCAAAACTCTCTACGTTTTCGTCGATATCAGCATAGACACGGCACATTTACTTGCAACTCTGGAGAAGAACTTTGCCTCAGGAAAGACCATCGCCATGGTAGGAACAATTCAATTCAATGCGACATTACATGGTGTTCGAGCGCCGCTCGAGAAAGCAGGGTATAATGTTCTCATTCCTCAGATTTCCCCTCTTAGCAAAGGCGAAATCCTTGGATGCACATCTCCTCAACTATCAACTGATGGTGTCGATATTATTCTTTATCTTGGCGATGGTCGTTTCCATCTTGAGAGTGCAATGATCCATAATCCGTCGATACCAGCTTACCGATACGATCCCTATTCTCGAAAACTCACTCGTGAAAGTTATGACCACAAGGAAATGCATACTCTGAGAAGAGATGCGATTGAAACCGCGAAACCTGCAAAGAAGTGGGGACTCATCTTAGGTTCTCTTGGTCGTCAAGGAAATCCACACACCATGACAATGATTGAGAGAAAATTGGAAGAGCGAGGAATCCCATACATCAACTTACTTTTAAGCGAGATTTTCCCTGGAAAACTAGCTATGATGAGCGATGTCGAGTGTTGGGTGCAAGTAGCATGTCCAAGACTCAGTATCGATTGGGGATATGCTTTCCCCAGGCCTCTGCTCACGCCATACGAAGCATTGATCGTATTGGGCCAAAAAGAAGATTGGGCAAAGAGCAACAACGATGTCTATCCTATGGATTACTATGGAAAGGAAGGTCTTGGCAGAACCAAGCCTATCTCGAGTATTCCAGTTGCTGGCTGAAACCCTGTTTTTGCTACATACTCAAAACCTTGCCCTCCCTCTTACTGCACGATATTATATAGTTGGTCAAATTGCCCTCAATACTATGATAACGCTCGGTGAATTGGGTTCCATATATCTACCAATATACCCCCAAGGACACTCTGTGGTGCCATCCCATATCCGCTAGACAGCAATCGGCAAATTAAAACTGTCGCCATGTTTTGAGCTACCTCAACTGGTATACGGAAAATGACGAATCCGAAGGGTCCAACACGAGGGGCATTTTGCGACCAAATTTCCCCGAGAGAGGTTCAAAGAAGCTAGTTCCGAAGCTGTACCCCTGCCTTTCAGAAAGCTATTTACTTCCGCATATCGCTCGTTGTAATACCTCCGAGGTGGGTGAGACTACTTTACAGGAACAAATAAACTTGTTCCCAAACTTGTTAGTTTAAAGGAGACACCAAACATACCCACAACAGTATCTGCGCTATTGAAGATACTGCTATTCAATGACACTGTTACATCTGGCAATGAAAATAGAATAGTAAGGTAGAATTCTCGGGTCGTTGACCAGTTTTATGAGGCTTCAGGTCATTCAGTGAACTTCATGTTACGATGTTTGGATCGATGACTGGTTCATTGGAGGGCACTTGGGGTTAGGACTCAGACTTGGCGCTATTGCCTTCAAGACTAGCTACTGGTGTTGAAATTCCGAGATCGACATGTCGTGGGCTGGCTGAGCAGGCCGAGGACATGTTTGGAAGTGCATGTATGGGGATGCGAAATAGCATATAGTTAGCAATGAAGATAGAATAAGTATTTTATAATGTGATATATTTCTTGAAAGTTATGAACTTGAAATCCTCTAGTGCATAACAATCGATGTAGAAAATGCGGCTACAAGTATGCCGTGAGTACACAATCCAAATACACAAGTTCAATCTCTTCGAATAGTTTTTCTTTATGTCTGCTAGTTCTCCCTTTTTGATATGATGCTCGCAGTTTTATCAACTCGCAATTCGCGACACGGCGGCAGATATTCGTGATGTTTGCAAGAAATTTTTTGCGCCGGCTGTTGTGCAACGAGCGAGCGAACGAGGTTTAGGGGCCCGCTTTCATTTAGACAGATAACTGATTGGGTTGATGAGATGATATGTTATTAGACGAAGAAGATTACTCATTCGCAGACTTGAAGATCATGCTGGTCTTCGTATCTGGGGATTGGGGATTGGTGGTGTGGCAAAAGTCTTACTTGGATGCGGATTTTGAAGGAAATAGTCAGGTAGGTAGCATATGTTGTCAAAGGGGGGGTATGAGAAGGGATTCTGAATGATTTTGAGACGAGGGTCTTACTTGTCCTGTGAAAAGTGGAGAGTCTTTCACAGGGAAACTTAATGTGTGAATTTGAAAATGCACATATGTTCAGAAGACGGAAGTTCAAAGTTAGACGCTTGATTTGTCCAGTGCTCCGTACGTAAAGAAAATGATAAGTAACGCTAAGCCTCGCTATCAACCATACTTTCAGAAGTAGTGAAACGTCCTGTCTAAACTAGTGATCATCAAATCAAAGGCTCTTCCACACATAGCCGCATCCCAGAAACTTTTCTTTTTAGCCATCAGAGTGAATTCTATCCCTTCGATAGGCATCTTTCTCAGACTCGGAAGTGAGATCAGATGACCGGATAGGTGATGCCTCGAAAATGCAGAAGATTTCATCTCGATATCTTCTCTTCGCCAAAAAGCTCCAGAGATCTTTCAATTCATCTGGACTATCGACGGAGAATCTTTTCTCGGATAGCAGCATCAAGTCCAATGAGATATTGTTCCAGCATCGAGATGCCGTTTGATAGGCGTACTTTTCGGCGGTTTCTCCTGCCCAGTGGATGAAGATGGATATATCTCCTTCTATGCACGAAAAGTTTCGAGAGAAAGCTTGAGTATTGATGATCTGTATGAGCGTAGTCGAAATCGCTGAGAAGTCTGGTAGCGGAACGATTCCAAGAGGCGTATTGCAAAGAAAAGGAGGTGAGCCATCTGAAATATTCATAGCTCGAATTTGTATACCAGGAGTCATTGAGGATTGAACGCTTGATGAGGATTGATCAGACATTTCTGGAAAGAAATTTGTTAGGTCTGTGAAGTATGATTCAAGAGAGCTATAACTCACTGTTTTGAACTCCAGGGAGATGATAGATATCCCGTCAAAAGGATTGTATTGCTTTGAATGAGGGGTCCATGACCAGAAAATAGAAGAATAGGTATGATATAAAGCTGGAAAAGTATTCAGGACGCTAAGCTCAACAAGTGTACAGCCACAAATATTCACTAATACAGTCAGATTGCGTTTGCTTGACCCCGAACAAAAACGTACTTGATCCTACTGCTGAATGTTCTAAAACAATATAGAAAACTTGATTTAATGTTTCAAGTGGAGTCTGAGTCGAGGGAGGTTTTGTCAATAGAAATATTTCCAAGTAAAACATGATAAATGGTGCCTGGATAGTAAAAATATCCGGCTGCCTTCCTGATTAATTGCTTTAAAATGATGTATTCGCTACCCCTCGTGAAGAGTCTTGACATTGGATTTTTCAGTGTGGTCCATGAAGGCCATTGGGGTGTTTTTGGGGATGAGTGGCCTATTAAGAGAGCAATGTATCACGTCGCGATAATCCCTATCAGCCAGCAATTCGAGGAGAAACTCGAAATTAATCCTATACCGTGGACCTTTCTCAATTTTGTACAACTTCATTGTTTTACCCCAATGCCATTCCACCTCTTGCATTTCAACCATTCCGACCACTTCGACCATCCGTCGCATTCTGGTGGCACATCTCCATCCCAAACAACAAACACGTCGACGATCTCGGGACTCGCTTCCAAAAGAGGGACAAATTGAAGGTCGATAATTCGCTGGAGATTGTGCAGCATCTGCCGCCAGTCTTGAGGAGAGTCTATATCGAGAAGACTTTCGCAAAAGATTGGGGGCCCGCGACCCCTTCCACTATTGCAGCCCCCTTTCTCGACCAAAGTATCGAGCCAGACTTGCACTTTTAATCCACGATCAACGAATAGTGCCGATTGAGGCCTGGGTGAAAGAGACTTAGATGACGGAGATTCGGGTGAAAGAGGCTCAGATGAAGTGAACTCAGATAAAAGAGCCTCGGGTAAAATAAGCTTAGACGAAGGAGACTCAGATAAAATAAACTTTGGTGGAGGACTCTCGGGTGAAAGAGACTCGGATGGAGGAGATTCAGATAAAGGAGACTCGGGCGAAGCAGATTCCGGTGAAGTAGGCATATTTATGTTTATCGAGAGAACAATTAAGTAAACGAAAATGACTCGATATATAAAATGAAAGATTAAGATACTGTTATAAACTTTGTGATTGTTGAAAAAAAAAAAAACCACATCAATGGGATATTGAAGTAGGTGTTCTCAAAAATCCATAGTTTTCCAAGCATTGAATCGAGGCTTCCGATTCCGGGTGGTAACTTGCGCTATTGAGATCACCAACTCTAGAAAGATAGTTCTATAGCCATTTAGGGAAGGAATCAAGTGCAGCCTGACTCCCTCGCTATAAGCGTTGAGATTTCTACTCTTGCATACTAATATTCTGCGTCTTTGTGCCGGTGAATGTTTCTGATTGTATACTTTCGTTCTTCGAATTGTTTTGAATGATTCCTCTTTGAAATGAATACCATGCATGCAGACTTGATCAACTTTGTCGCTCTTTTTTCTTTGGTTTGGGCATATTCTCTGTGTCCCGAACAAAACAATAGCCTCGAAAGTTGACATACATGATCTTTGGTACTGGAATAAAAGCCAAGCTTCAAATAAGTTGTGGAGTGACAAAAATAACGAGCGGCAGCTTGGGAATGTGATGATCGCCGACATTGAAAAGACTCTGGAGCACCAAAATTTGAGTAAATTGCATCTGAATGCCTTCGAGGCGAGCTCAGAAAGAGCGTGATAAGGTATTCGTTCTTTGGCGATGCAATTTTCTCATCTCGGTATTGCGTTGTTTGAACCAGTAGATCGAGTAACATTGGCAAAAAAGATGGCCATAAAGTTTTTCAATCTCCCAGGACTATCTCGTTTTTCTTTATGATGATAGAAAATTTGGAATTGCATTATGCAATCTGGTCCATTCGAAGAAATGAATCATTCAACCTTCCAGTTTCCCTGACTTTTAAATCAAAGATGGTCCCATCTGAATTGTGGTCCATGATCCCAAGTAGTTCTGGTCTTTTCTTAGTAGGGAATGATCTCTTTGCCATTCACTTCCTCTGGAAAAGATACAGATTACTGGTTATGATGCGAGAGATTTCATGACTGAATAAGCCGGCATGCTTTATTTGTAGTGCTTTACAGTATGGTTCATATAAAATTCCCTGTAGATTTCTTCGAGAAAGCAAGCCATTTTGATTTTGGCCAAGAAGGATACCTCCAATGGGCTTGGCTGATCAAACTCCGGCAATGGGACACTACATCTGAACAGGTATGATTGACAACATTGGGCGCATCTGAAGAGCCTTAATTTGTCTATGATACACATCGACCAGAAAAGATTAGTTCGCTCTGGACTTACGAATTTGCCAGGTTGATGCAGGCCAATGGATCTCGACATTTGGTGAGCTAATGCTATGTGGTTCGCAGCTACTTGATGATCATAGAACTTTCTGGTAACAAAACTCTGAGGACTGTTAGACACACTCTTGTCCATCTGCGTGGGAAGTCCAAAAGAGATCAAGGCCTAAGCCCAGACCAAATATTATCACCAGTACTAAGGGCCGAATGTTTCGGGACAATTAGATTCACTTACCAATGTAAAAAGAGCTTGAATGCTGGCGGTTCTCGACTTAAAAAGTGTGTCCAAGATTGGGAAAAATATCTTGGCATTATTCAAGAGCTTTAACATGAGGTCTCCATCTTTTGAGCACCCCCCCCCCCTGCCATAATATTTGGATTTGGCTTTCTTTGCGAACTGTACTTTTGTGCAATCAAAAGAAGCGTAAGCGGAGCTCTGTCCATAGAATCTGTCGTCGCCAGCAGCATCCATGAATCTATGTGAAGATCGGTCATATCTTCTTGGCCGTGGGCCTGGTTGATTGTTTCCAAACGGATCATCAGGAATAGAAGCATGAATAGAAAAATCAATGGCCTCGTGATGTGGAGAAGCAGTGAAGGTGGATGATGCGATTGATGAATGTGTGCTATTTAAATGCTGTGCAATTTGAGAGACAACACTTTCGATACTAGCTAGCCTGGTATTTAGGCCATCAAAATCTTCAACCCGGTCCAGGTCAATTTATGTTCCCCCACGAAGGTCTGAAGGAGGTTGACTTACAGCTTTTTGGTAACATTAGGTCTTTTCTCCTGATTTGAAAATTCACATTGGCGATGAAACTTGGAACAATTTGTGCATTCCGGGAGTAAACGATCACATCTTACCTTGCGCTTTTTGCATTGATCACAGACTTGGCCACTTATTTGAGTGTTCCTCGTGCGCAATTATCCCTCCATCTCGATCTGCTAGCCACGGCCGTTTGTATATCGAAGATAGGCTCTCCCGTGTTAAATATGCGGTGAACAGTGTATTGGTATTGAGTGATAATATCACTATCTTTCTAATTTGACTTATGTTTAAGAGTAAACACATAAGAATCTGTGAGAATGACGTTATACTCAGATCCCGTGAATACCAGACGTGAAATCCAATATCATTTTTGCACTTGATATAGTTATTAGTATACTGGAGTTATAAGGGAACAGAAGTAACCTTTGTCATCATTTCATCATTAGCTAACCTTAAAGCCATGTATGCATAAAACGTGACCAGGCGACAATCTCGTTTCCCTCGAGCAACGTCGCGTCTGTGACCACCCCGCTTCGTTCACACTGTACTGCCACCTCTTACAATAATGTCGAGACTTGTATCATGTACCTACAAGGAAGCTGTAGTAGATGCCCTAAGCACTCGAATTTCTTATTTCTTATTTAAAATTCTTTCATACTACTTTTAATGATATCAAGAATCACAATAACTTGGATTGAAGTATACGTACCAGAACTTACATTTTCAACTACCAAGTCAAAATCAGCGAAACCTTCATTCAATACCCTACTGTTATTATCAAGCATCCACCAAATATGCCTTCACTCCGTCGCAGTAAGCCCCCAAAGTGTCCCCTCCTCGCCCTACCTCGCGAAATTCGGGACGAAATTCATCGATATGTTCAAATGGGACAGCGAATTGACAAGCCAAGAGTAACGAGCTCTGACTATCTCAAACCAGACGACAATACAATTTGGCCTAATGTTCATCAACTCCTCAAGGAATCCGAGTATCAAGAACGAAAAGATCTCAGGGAGGTTTTCCAGTCAGATGCCGAAGACATACTTATATTGGCTTGAACGTGCGAACAGCTTTACAAAGAATCAAACCAGGTTTTCCACAGTGAGAATGCGTTCTGGTTTGCTGGCACTTGGAGTTTGTATTGTTATCTATATATGATTGGCGAGGAAAAGCGACTGTGTATTCGCCATATATTTTCCGATTCAGTGGACTTCAGAGAGTAGATGCATTCAAGTTACTTGGCGAGTGTAAATCGTTGAGGACTCTCAAAATAGGAGTCGAACAGGATACGATGTCTGGTAGTAAGCAACCAAAGTTGGATTTATTGACGGCAAGAGGCCTTTCTACATTGAGGAAAATAAGAGGGATGGAAAATTTGGTGGTAGATGTGGTAGAATTGGACCGACCATCCAGACAAGCTTACTTGTTCCCCTACACAGGATCGCTGGACTTACCTTCAAAGGGTCCATATTTCAAGCCGGAAAAGGTTCAGGAATTTGCAAGGATGTTGACAGAAGAGATGAATTGGAAAGAGGAGATGCCGGAGCAGAACAAGATCTAGGACGTATCATTAGAAGAGGAAGAGATTCTGCAGTCGGAGCTAAAACCCAACAAGTCAAAACCATTTGAAGTTTCCAAAACTCGAACTCTACGCTCAAGTAAAGTCCAAAAGTCGACATCCACACCCAGGAGAAGAAAAGTGACAAAAAAGGCGAAGATAAGTGGAAAGGGGAGTTGAACTCGCCGCTTTGGCCTCTCAGGATTGATTGACCGTGGGTGGTGGGACATGGAAGTCTCAAAGAGCTAGCGATTAATGATCGTATCAACTTTCGATATACAATCTGCCGTTGGTCTTTCGTCTACATTTACTTGCCTCCCGGTATTGCTTCCACGAAGCTCCTCATCGACTGTCATTCATCACCTCCAACATTTCTTTTCAACCCATCGCTGTAGGAATGATTCGGACACGAACCTCATCTAACCCCCCCCCATGCTACGATCTTACGATCCCAAAGACTCACAATATCTTCAACCAGAAAATTTCCCTTTCTCCTTCAACAATCCACGATCAATCGATGCGCAAGCAAAGGTCTCCCGAGCCAATCCACTAGTTCCAACGATGAGGAATGGCGTCGAACAACGTGTAAGTGAATCACCAATAAATATCAAACCAAATACTATCTCCAATTCCACTCTTTGGTGAAGGCTATACAATCTCAACATATACGACGACATTAAAGTGCTAAATACTCTTATGATCTATGATCTCTTCTCGCTCATGAAAAGAGCCGTTGTATGTCTAAATTGGAATGCGATTAGACGGAACGACACACATAACTATCGCAGAAGTCTTCACGTGAGATTATTAAAACTGCAATCTCATAGAATGTCATCAAATTAATCATATCAACCTAAATCAAGACCCCTCTTTCACCAAACAGCCTCACGTCATACACATGACACCACAAACAAATACATTTCTGCACTAATGACGAATTCGAGCCTAATAATATCATCTCATTCACCATATATCATTTTGATATTCTCAAGATTCAGATTCCTATGTAAAAAGTATGTTGCAAAAGATCCCCAACGCCACAAAAGGGATATGTCTATGCCCAATCCGTTTTCCCATCATCATGCATGCAATGCGAAAAGTGAAGTTATATTTTCTAATGGACTAATCGACTAATAATCATCACCGCGACTGATCACCTCTTTGCAGTTTGGTCTGAGGACGATTGTCTATTTCTTGTTAGCGAGTGTTTCTTTCAACGGGCATGGAAGAGCTTACATGTTCAAATTGCGCGGTGTAAGAGCCCTTTTTATCGACAAGAGGTGGGTAATCTTGCACAATACCATGGGAGACTAATGCGTTTAACTGTTTTTGTTAGATGCTGTGCTAGAAGTATTGGTGAATACAAACTTACTCCGAGTAGGTATTTATCTTGGCCTAAACGATCCAAATATCTTCTGCAGAAAGGTAAGGTGCCAAAGTTCTTGTTGATAACATTAAGAAGTTTGCCAGCCGATGCGATACGTAATGGAACATTAGGGGCATCAGCAACCTTCGCGTAATGAGAACATTCGAGCTGTAACTGATTAATATCTGTAACCAGGAGGTTTTCATATATGAACTTACATCATCTCGAACATAACCATTTCCGGTACTGCCGAAAGTTTCAATGGCGAAAACCTCTCCTTCTTCCATCTTTGTCTGGTCATTGCTCTTAACAATTGGGACACTCTTTCCACCATGGATTTTCCATTGTAGAATATCATGACCATTCAAGTTTCTAATCGGCTTGACTTGATAAGTTTGACCCTTGATCTCAACCTCGTAACTCTCCATTGTCTCCTGAATGTGCTCGCCAATTTCTCCCAATCTCGCATCAATTCCGGCTTCCTTGATTCCGGTATTGGTAGCTTGCTTAACCGCCTCGAGAAGATTATCGTACATGGGATCAAATGCAATAGTAAAAGCACTATCCACAATCCTACCGTTGATGTGAACTCCGAAATCGACTTTCATGACATTCTCATAAGCCAAAACGGTCTTGTTTCCAGCGTTCGGACTGTAATGAGCAGCAATATGATCTAGATTGACACCAGTTGGGAAAGCGACACCACCCTTAATATTGTCTCCCTCCTCCAATCCAGGGTGACCAGTCAAAGCTCTCACACTGTCCTCGATTCCTTCCGCGATTTCCGTTAAGGTCTGCCCGGGCTTAATGTTGGCTTTAGCATATTGTCTGACCTGTCTATGAATCTCGGCACCCTGTCGATACTCCTGCAAGAAATCGTTGTTCATGCGATCCAAATAACGCTTCTCTTCGCTTGTAGTTCGATAGTTATTTTCGTCTCTATATTCGACTTCCTCTCCAACAGGGTACTCGCCGCTTGGAAACAGGTTCGACAGGAGAACTCGTGGAGGCGACGATTGGACTTTAGGGTTCGCTCCAGCCTTCTTCTTGGGCTTCTTCTTCCTCTTCCTCTTCTTTTTTGCTCCTCCTTCCCCGGCACCTTCACCATTTACTGGCTCCTCTTCATCGTCATCTGAATCTTCGGCCTCGGCTTCGGGTTGCGCGTTTCCATTTGCCTTTGCTTCGGCGGCTGACTCCATTACAGCATTGGGGTCCTTCACTGTAAATTTTGTTAGATCGTATTCCCCAAGAATAGAGAGTTATAGCGCAACCCCCCCCGAAGGAGGGGTTGATTTTTACTTACCCTTCAAATTCTTCAACGCGTCAGTAACCTGTGCTGCCATCTTGAATCACCTTACAACAAGACCCTCGAGTCTTGTTTCCAATGCTACAGATGTATGTAATTGACCTTTGTATTAATAACAAAAGTCCAGCCGTTGGCAAAATAATAATTAATTGAAAGAGAAATCTAACAATTGCTTTCCCCGCCAAGGTGGTGATGGGTTAACATCGGGATAAGATGTCTCGGTTAGTAGTAATGTTTGGGCAGACCCCTGTCAATCACTGGAAATCTATGCCGTCACTGGCATTCCAGGCTTAATATATTAAATGTAAAGTTCCCATGGAAGCTCTCTCATTTCATCATTTCTTTTCCCTATAATTCCCCAATTCAACGATGAGGAATGCCACTCTTCTTTCGCCCCTCTCCTTTTGTCGTCCCACGAATTCGACCACAGCGATTTTCTTTTCATAGTACCGCTATCTACAGGAACCCCGCTCAAAACCACTACGAGACTTTGCAAGTCGCTCCAGATGCTACACCGGCCGAAATCAAAAAGTACGATCGCCTCCTTTCTCATTCTCAATTGACGCCAATATACTAACTCAGTCTCCTCAAGATCTTTCTACGCTCTCAGTAAAGTTCATCATCCCGATCACAACCCCTCCGACCCCTCTGCATCAAAACGCTTCGTGAAAATCTCCGAAGCATGGGCTATCCTCGGTACTCCAGCCAAGCGACAGGCCTACGATCGAGAACACCATATACATTCTCATGCTCACGGTCACGGTCATAGTCATGGAACGGGCCATCGTCCACCACAAGGTTCCTATTCGTCTAGCGGGCCAGCAGGTGGTAGACCGGCTAGCGGGTTGAGTAGACGCCGAACCCAGTTTCGTGGGCCGCCGCCTAGTTTCTATAGAAGTGGAGGATGGGGAGAACACAGTGCGAAAAGACGAGCTGCGCAGGATAATGGTGCGCCAGGTGCGGAGGCTCCACCGAAGACAGAAATGGGCGGAGGGATGGGAACGGGTCAGATGCCATGGGGCCCGGAAGGAGATATCCCACACTTTGATAAAAGAGCACATACACAAACACATGATAACGTGGATAGAAGGAGGCGACGCCGGATGAGTGAACATTTTATTCCGGCGGACCGAGAAAGGAGCACCTTCGCGAATTTCGTCATTCTCAGCGCAGTAATATCTATGAGCGTCGCTATACCGTCATACATTTATGAGAGGGTGACGAGTGCTGGAAGGCCAAAAAAGATATAGTCACATAAACATTGACCCAAAAAATATACCATAGAATTATCTATCCTTAATGCACATATTTCGGTCAATTACAATAAAGACAGTCACTCCGTTGCAATGCTAAAATGCGCGTACCACAGAAAATGATATCAGAATTACACCTCTATTCTACTATCGTACGGCCAACTCCCAAATCTCGAATAATCCTGCTCTATGACTCGAATGTGAAGCTTGTACCGATCTTGTGGGTAGCTTGGTCGAGCTTTTGGGTATCGAAGGAGGCACCAAGACCAAGGGTGGCACCAGGTCGGAGAACAACGTTGTAGGCAACAGCGGCAACACCACGGTCGTTGATCTTGACCTATAATTTCCTTGCATTAGCGAAATTTTTGAAATATTTCTGCACAAACTGCTTACCTTGGCGAAGGAGAGTGGGTCAAGTCTGTACTTGCTAGCAACCTCGAGACCAACAGAGTTGGTGTTCTTGGAGTCCCAGGTAGCCTTGGCACCAGCCTCGACTTGAGTGTTGACCTTGTGGTAGTATGAAGCGGAGAAGACGCTCAAGTTGTCAGCAGCAGTGATGGCAGCACTGTAAGTGGGGGCAGTGTATCCAACAGCGGCAGAGTAGCTGGTGATAGCTGCCTTTTGGACATCATAACCAGCGGTGGCACCAGCCAAGAAACCATCTTGTCCGATAACAGCGTCAACGGTGGCAGTTGGGCCCTTGAGGAGATCGAAGAATGCGCGTCCGTGGAAGTTGGGTTGCTTGAAGTGAAGGTTGACCTTTGCGCCCTTCTTCTGGGTGGTAGGAGCGAAAGAACCGAGAATCTCAGCCTTGAGACCCTTGGCAATGGTGTCGTTGATCTCAATCTTGGTGTCGAGAGCGTTGAGGGTGTTCCATGTTTGAGTAAGAGTCAAGCCTGTTCCGCCGTCATACTGGATTAGTAACTGTGCACAACCGGGTTGTCTGATGAGAAAGAAACCAAATGGACTATGAACGGGGAAATATTGTAGAATAAATTGTTTAAAATATATACCAGTTGGCTTGTCTGTGAACTTGGCCTCTAACTGCACACAGGAAACTGTCCATCAGCGTTTGTCA